AGTAACTAGAATTGTATATTTAATATATTAGAATATATAGATAATAGATAATTAGAAGTAAAATATTAAATTAATAAACAAAACTAGGATATAGAACGTTAGCGGATTAAACAAAAAATCTAATAATTAAAAAATGCGAAAAAATATTTAAAGAAGTTATATAAGTTATAGCTTAATATTAAATTATATAATAAAATAGCTAAACTATATACTAGGATAAAACTAGAACTGGATCTTAATCTATAAAAATATAAAGCCTTAAATATAGGTTTACTATAACTATTTTAAACTAAATTAATATAGCCTTTTAACCTATTATATATACTATTATAAAGTACTAGAGAAGAACTTTTTATACTAAAACGTAGGGAATACTACTAATATATAGCAATAAATAGTATAAAAAAACGTATAGTATAAAAAAAGCTAGATAATAAACTATAACAAGTTTTAATAATAACCCTATAGTAAATAAAGTTTCTATTTTAGCTAGCAAAATCTATAATAGCTTAGGATTAAAAGTCTTAAAGTCTATTCTTTAGCTAGAAGCGCAATGCCGCTTTTTATTATTATTATTTAATAGTTTTAGATTTTTTATATTTTTATAATTAACTAAGTATCTAGATATAAGATTTCTAAAGGGAGATAGTATATATAATAGTTATCTAGCGTTGTATATAATAGCAATATATAATAAATTGTCTAGCGTTGTATATAATTATGCAGTAAAAAACCTATTCCGGAATATTACTACTAGGCAAAAGCACTAATCTTTCCTTATAGGGGGAAATATTATATAGCAAATAAAGGTTTTATAGCAGTAGTAGTTTTAAACTTTTTTCTAGTTCTAATCAATTAAGCAATTACTAACGAATTCTAGACTTTTTAGTTCTAGACTTTATATTCTATTATCGCTTTGCTTTTATCGCTGCTCCGCTATATATAGAGTTTTTTATATTAATTATAATTTCCTACTTTTAATAATACTTTTTAAAAGAAGCTATAGTTATTATATTTATATTAAAAGGGAATTTAGCTATAATAATTATATATATAAATAAAGGAAAAATAGGTAGTATAATAGCTATAATAGTAGTTATAGCTTATATTTTTATAGCTTATAGTTTATTAATATATTTAATAGTTTTAATATATTATACTTTTTATTAAAAAAAGGTTCTAATAATTAAAAACTATAATAAAGATTTAATATTATTAAATATATTAAATATACTATAGGTATTAGCTATTTAACTAGTAAAGGTAATAATATTTTCTATAAATCTTTAATATATATATAAGCTAGTTAATATACTTTTATCTAGATACTTTTAAATAATATTAATAATCTTTTAAGCTAGGCTAAGCCCTATAGGCTTATTACTATTAATTATTATTATTATTATTATAGTTGCTATTTTTATAGTAGTTAGCTAGCTATCCTATAATAATTTCTATTTATTAAGCTAGTAAAAGGCAACTATAATAAGCTATGCCCTAAAGTAGGTATTATTTGAATGCTTATAATAAGCCGATTAAAATGCAGCTATGCTGATAATAATTGCTATCGTAGTTGTTGAGATGCTGATTCAGGAGGTGTTCATGGGGAGGTGGGCTGAACGGCGATAAGAAACGAATTGCTATCTCCACAAAGAGACAGATCTTACAAATTCATGACTTGCTTGGCTAGTTCGCGACAACATAGCGGACCCAGAACGACACATTGAGTCCTTTTTGAAGTGATAGACCTACTAACTCTACATCAACTGTTCATCCCTAAATTACGCTTCAGTCTCAATCTTTTGGACTAGAGAAGCTATTTGTTGAAAGCGCGTGATAGAAAAATTGTTCTCCGCATGATCAACCCTTGCCACAATCTCCTGGAGATCAGCCCTGAGAACCTTTCTTCCTTCCTGGCATACATCACTCACTTCTACCAACCACCCGGGGTCCCGCGCTATGGGTGGCATGCCTTGCAATCATCGCTACTCCAGCCCGCCGATCACGCTGATGAATGCCGGTCGCGGCACATTTCGCAATCTTGGTTCCAGCAGCTCTCACAACCTCCTGGTGAAAAGCGCAAAGTAGAGACGCCGCTTGCAGAGGTGTTGAGTGCTTCAGGAGCCTCTTCTAGTTGCACGTGCAGTCGCGTGTGGCCACCACGTCCACCTCGTCCATCTCCACGTCCTCCACGTCCTCCACGTCCTCCGCTTCCGGTATTGCTTGCTGATTGATTGGATCCTTGGATAAGTAACGAAAATGCATCTGGCCCGTGTGAGGTTTTGGGGTGGGGCACGTTATGGGCACTGATGGGTCGATCTGGATTGATTGTTGGCGTATTTGGTGACACGGGTTCTGGCTTTTTAGTTTCTTTCTCTTTGCCGATGATGAAACAGCAACTCTCGTATTCATATCTGTCCTTCGTCATAGAGCCTACGCCGATGAGACTCCTAGCTTCGTTAGCCTATGCACATAAATCTCCCAAAGGTTTATTGTCATACCACCCTTTGCCATTCTTCACCCTATTTAAAAATCTAGCAGATAACATCATAAGCTTTCATGGGAAGACTTTTCATGGCAGTAAGAAGATCTCCTCCATCCATGCTCACCTTTACTGGCACGCTCATGTCAGTGCTTGGGGTATTTGATCATTTGTATGAGGATTGCTGCTGGACACGTAGCATACAAAAGTCCATAGAGTCTGCCATGACGAGATGGAGATTGGGTACTCAGGGCCGAATTGTGGAGACGAAGGGTCTTGATAGAAGAATGTACGCTTGAATGAGATTACAACCGGCGACGGCAGTAAGTGTGTCATTGGTTTAATCTAATCAGAAGCAAAGTGGCAAAAGTGAATCATGTTGTACTAAAAGTGAATTCTCTTCAGCGCAGCGCCCTTCACTTGCAACACGCAGCCTTCAACAGGCAGAGAACCTTTAATCATCGCACATTTTACAGAAGAGTTGAACCGTCTTGCAAGGTCATGTCCTATATCTGGGGCTTGCACGACTTACATGGGGCAGGAGAGGCAGGATAAGTCTGCAGTAAAAGACGATAATTCAGAAATGGCTCTATGAAAAGGGCAATGAACTATAGAGTCTACGAGCACAACGGACAGATATCATCGTACATGGACACGTTCTAAGTCAGAAGTCCTTTTATAACCATAGATTCTACCTGCTATAGAGAAGATGGCCTGAGCAGAATCCATCAACCATCCTTTTGGCCCATCCAATCTTCACGTCCTTATTGTACTACGCTTCTCTCACGTCTCCATGACTAACATTCGCAACTTCTAAAGACCAAAGCCTTTGAATAATGTAGGATGGGAGCTTAGCGGAAAGGATATTTGACTACCCGGACAACAACCGCTCTTTGAATCCTCTTTGGATGTCTGTTGCTTGCTGTTATCACTCCAATCTGGACCAGCACAAAATGAAGGTCCCCCCGGGATCCATGGGGTAGTCTTGTCGCGATTCTTTGCTGAGTCTTTGTTCGCTTCTTCTTCTTCCTTGCGACCGGTGCGACCCTAGAAAGTAACGAGGGAGGCGTAGGTTTGAGGAAGTGAGATAAATTGGCGAAAAGGTCAGGTCTTCGAGCTGTCTGCTTTTCGCAGGTCTGACAGGAGCAGGACATAGAATATTGATGATCTGCTTGTCGATTTGACGGTCCAGAAAATAAAGGGCAAAATCATTTTGTTTTACACTCGAGACTTTCACAGGAGAGTGAATCTTTATCATCAGTCGGCTTGTGTTCTTGATTATCTGCTGCTGCATTGATGCTATGTCCTCCATCATCACAATTTGGACATTTGCATCCAGCGGAACCGAACAGACCAGTCCCTTTGATACACTTCCGTTCCACCAAACATCTAGAGCACCAGCATGGACCAGATGAGATTCCTTTCGAACATGATTGGTTTGAAATTTTCGAGGTCGGCTGTCTTGTTGTGCTGCAATCTTTGCACCTACAGAAAATCGCATGCTCTGTAGCCAGATCCTTTTCGTCTTCAACATTCGCTTTGGAGAGGATAAAACAGGTATTCGGGACGTCTTAAATATCCTTCACCGTTTCGCCGACCGAGTAGAGCAACCTATCATAATCGGCAGTGAATGCGATTTCCAGGAGTGACCCAGAGAGCAAAATGGTCTTAATCAGTCACTCGTGACGATAGTCATGATAATGAAAAGGCAAAGTTCTGGATCGAGTAGAGAAGCTTGCTGGAGTGTTTGCCCCACAGGTGATACATTACAAAATAGGTCACCAGACACACCACGTAAATCTCTATACCTAAGGCACTTCGATAGGTAGAGGCGACGTTCCATGAATTGCTCTCCCGCCTGCTCAATCTTGCATTACATATTGTTGAATTCGCCTTCCACCATGCTGCACAGTCGGCTCGCAGCTAGGGTGACTTCTCTGGGCGAATATGAAATAGAAGTTACTTAAGGCAGGGGAGTCCTCAAATAGGGGACCAAGACTGAGAAGTATGCTGCAGGTGTTAACGCTAGCAACAGGTTCTCCCTATTTGATCTTACCATCCAGGGAATTTCCCGCCTTTTTGAAGTGGTTCAGCCAGAAATTCATATGCAACTGGAGCGTGGCGAAAAATGCATACAATTCCTCACTTGCCTTTACCTGCCATATAGGCAATCCACCTTAGTCGTCATTAATCTCCCAACCTTCAGGAAAGCTTGTTGCACGTAAGAGGCGGTAGTCATACTGTACATTTTGCGTTGTTGTAGCCATTGTAGGCCCTAAACGCTGCACACTTGACAATATATCGTAATTGCTTACTTAGGAGAAAAGTCTTCTACTGCAAAATTGACCACACTTGAGTGCTGTAAGGTGCAAGGTAGCTTTGTGCGGGAATGTGATACGTGTATTCCATTTTCGAGGTAGGTACTCCAAGCTCTTAGGTCCTAATATATGGCCTTTTCAATGAGCACCATTTCAATCGCAGAAAGGTAGAATGTCCCCTGGATACTTTGCATCATATGCTATTGCGCAATTCTGTCAAAAATACCAAGGCCGGACGCAAAGATGACAGCGCCATTAGGGTGTTGCTCAATCTCACCAATTTCTGGGCGTTGTGCAGTTTTCCCGGGCCAGATGGCTTGCAGACGTCCTTCGTTTCGGGTATTGTCATCGCACTCGCAGTTTCGAAACAAATGCGTCGGATTAGGAGAGTGCCAAAAAGTTGTCTCCGTCAGCCTGCCAGTTTCCAAATGCTCGAAATCCTTAGTGAGAGTGCGTAAACTAGACAGTGTTGCAGCCAGGAAGTTTTTCTTCATAGGCATGCGACTACAACAGCAAATCGTTCCTTCTCGTAACTCACCAGGTCGCGGGGAGGGTAAAATAGGATCTTCTAACCCCTCAAAAAAGAATACAAGGGTAATCTTGTCTATCAATTTGGTCCAACCACCTCTGCTGCCGATAGGAATGTGTGAAATGTCAGCCTTCTTTAATTGAAAGTCCCGTGGCTGATGAATCACATCAGCCAATTCAAACCCACAAAACTTCTGACTCCAAGATGCAGCCGTACGTCTACGGCTGAGCTTGTCTAATAAGTGCAGAAATACAAGCAGCAAATTCTCTATCGTGAACGGGCGCTGCGCACCAAGCACGGGCAACTCAGTGCCTAAATGTTCTTTAAGAAGGCTGTAAGCATTCAGGGGTGTCGCAGATTCATCGGCGCAATCTGGGAGATTGAAACGCAGAGTGCGATCGGCTTCGCTAACGCATTTGATATGTTCGCGAACTAACTGTAAGAGGATCGACGTTTTTGAGACCATCCATGCCTGCTGCTTTGACGGTGCATAGAGCAGGACTTGCTCTGACATTGATCCGGTAAGCCAGTGGGTGAATGATCGTTCCCGATTCTCAAAGGGGCTACGGGCTGAGGAGGCTTGTGTTGTAATTCTGCTTAGACTGATGCCTACACCGTGGATCAAAGCATTCGCGGTAAATGCAGTACTAGAATGGATCCTCTCGACCTTCCTTAAAGGTGCTGTAGACTCTTCGACCCTAAAACCATTTTGTATGAGCGTACCAACAGTTATTGCACAAGTTCCGCACCAGCCAATGTAATGCATTGTATTTGGTCCCCCTTGAAGATTCTCCAGGTCATCTGTCTTGTACCAGTTTTTCGGCATCTGTACGCTCCAGAGCTCGCGCCTGAAATCGACAGACTCTCTCTTGTCTTGATCTACGCAAATTAGATGCCATTGCATGTGGCGACGCTCCTTGGTTTTTATTGGGATGAGAGAAGTATATACGCCTTCTAGACATAATCCTCCTTGCTCAAGCATAGCGATGTCGGTGCCACAGAGCGCAATCATCAAATTGAACGATATCTGAAGTCCCACAAAGTCTTTCTCTCTTGCCAAAGTTTCTCTGAAGATGGCTTTCTGGGGGAAGAGGGGATGCCAGCACGCCTTTCGTGTCACAATATGCAGGGGCAGCAAAGAAATCTTGATCGCGTCACTAACTCGTTGCATTTGAGCCTTGGATATTGCTAGCCCATGGTCTGTTATAGGTCTGAGTGCTGCTGCCAATGAGACCAATAGACTGTCGATTCCCGTGTCCAGTAGCGAAGACAAATTTGTAGTTATGGATAAATGGACTGTCGTATTGGAAAGAGAGTCAAGGTCTTTCATAGACTCCTCTGTGGATTTCTTGTCGAAAACCTTCACCAAGAACTCAATCCATGTTCCAGGGAATGGGTGGAATGTCGTGCGATGTTCCCCCGAGCCAGTAATAGTAGCAGCGAAATTGATGATCTCCAGTATACCCTTCGAGATATCAGAAAATTCTGGGATTTTATACTTGCAGTATTCCTCGCACGTTAAACATCGAGCATTCATCTCGTCACCAAACAAAATCAAGACGTCGTTCAGCGTTCCATACCCTTTGCAATCTTGTTGGTAATATTCTTGAAGTTGCCATGTTATAAGATATCTGCTCGAAAATGTTTCGACGTTTTGAACATATTTTTCGGGTTTGAAAGCAGAATCAGAATTATCGAAACCGTCAGCGGCGTCAAACCAAGAGTCGATGGAACCAAGGAGCATTTTCCAAACATTACCGTTCGCCGGGGTTGCGTCGACGAGATTACTACACGAACGCAAAAGTCAGCTCAGTGGGAGGCAGCGTTGAAGACTTGATAGCGATATTTATCAAATCTTGAACGAATGCGAAGAAATTATTACAAGAACGCTTACAGTTTGAAGTCTGCCCCTGAATCGAGTCTCTTCATTTTCTCAATAGCTTGTGCACTCTGGCCAAAACGAATGAATTGGATACCAACTTGTGTGTTGGTAAGCTTTTTTTCAGCGAGGTGATCAGCCAATGTCCCGATCTCTCGTAGAAGATTGACACCAGGCCGCCAATTTCCATCAGTCAAAATGTAGAGACTGAGTTTGCGACAACCCACAATGGGTTGGGTTCTAGGATGCTTGACAAATCCCACCGGTCTAATCACTCCAAGTTTTTTCTGGTAGTCATCGAAAATTGTAGCCAGACCACTCCTTATATCGGGCATGTCCCGAACATCCATAGAATTAAAATGGCTTAATATGGTGGTCGCATTCAGACGCTTCAGCTTCTTATATGGCGCTAAGGAATAAAGATCAAGGCGTTCGCAACCAGCATTCTCAAGCTTCTTCGCGAGCACTTCCAAGACTCTGGCCATTTGCACCTTAAAGATCCTCGAGGATGTTGAATTATCGATGATAAATGCCTGTATCTTTTGTTAGTGCAGCTGAAGGCTTGGGATTTGCCACCTACGTGGTCGCGCCCTCTCACTTGTTCCATCAAATCGTCATCTGGACAAGAAATGTTGTCTCTAACCGTATGCAGTCCGTCCTCGACAGTAAGCTCTGGAGGCGGCGTCCAATCCTCAGCTCTCTGGGCTATATAGGTGGTGGTTTCGCTGGTAGCGGACAGGGTGCGACCACTTAAACTTGACGAATAATCAGTCGAAAAAGTGTCCCGAGTGTCTGCCCTCCATGAAGGACGAGCTACTTGCGCTTGGCGGTATTCATTTGGAACAGTATAGACTGGCTGTTGGACAAAATAAGTACCGCCATCCGGACTAGATGGAGACTGTTGTTCTGACTCGGAATATTCTCGCCGATAATAATTATTCAGGTTGGATTGGACATTGTGGAAAGAGCTTCTTCGATCCCGCGACATCTCGCCCGTGATATCTAAAGAGGTCATGCTATCTCTCATCTGACTGGAACCTTCTGGCTGCAAGTGATGTTTTGATCCGCTAGATTTCCTACCGTAGCCGGGTGGAGGCCTTCTTGGCGGTGGAGATTGAGGGGAAAGGTAGGGGGATGGTCTAGGTGTCACGTCATCAGAGATGCCGTAGACCCGCTTGATTGTTCGTTTTGACTTCTTGTAGAGCTGCTTCGCGTTTGGCCGATGTTCGTCCGTGCTAATTAGCATTTCATTGACAAGGCGATCGATGATCGGTTCAGTCAGCTCGTCATGTAGAGGGCACCGTGCTACATCTTCATCATGTACATCGCGGACTGTCTGTAAAAGCCCTGCCCCGTCATTGTGGAAACAATCTTCACGCCGGCCGGAAAGTCGAAATAGCTCTTCACTGCGTCGACGTCGATAGTCGACGACTTTGTCCCAACCTTGGCTTCCCCAGGTCACGACTTCACTGATAACGCAGCCGATGGACCAAATATCAACATCCTGCTTCACTTGAAGCGTACTGTTCTCCACATTGGAATCAGTTCTGTGGCTTTCAGGAGCTCCTAAGATACGTGATCAGTCATGAAACCATCGAATTGGACTCAGTAAGGTCGAAGTACCGTAAGCCCTTGTGCCAAGAGTGTCCCTATCTGTTGCACTGTCAAGGCCAGTGTACCTCCTGAAGTGACTGAGGCCCAAGTCAGCGATCTTAAAATGGACATCATAAGGACATGAGGCGTTGGGTTTAGTTTTAACAAGTATGTTAGTTGGGTTAATGTCTTGATGCCAACTATAGAATAAGCCAACGTTTGCAACATGATCCACTAGGAGAGCCTACCCAAGTAACATTGAGCCATTACCGTCCTCCGACCTTTCCCCGTGGATAGTGGCTAAGCCATTTAAGACGTTGAAAAACTGATTCCAGAACACCCACAATTGTTCTGCATTGGGTGGACTGGGAGTGCGAGCAATGAAATCTTCTAAAGTGCCCCCGTCTGCGTATTCTAGAATGATGTTGTACATATTGTCTCTTTCAAACCCGCCGTAGAATGCGATGATGTTTTGAGGAGGCCTGTTATTAAATCTGAGATGCTTGAAAGCGTCACTTTCGGTCTCATAATACTTCCTCGCATCATCCGTACGGTATGTTTTCAGGGCAAAGGTATGACGGTGTCGATGATTGGTTTGCTTCGTAGTGTGTCAGACAGGCTTGGAGCAGAGGTCACTTGACTGTGATGGCTTACCCGGTCAAAATCATCTGCCGGCTGTAACTCGTTGCAGTCCTCATCAACCTGGATCTTGTACATTGTTGCACTTCCTCCCTCTTCATAGACCGCATTCATTGCAAGAATTGGTAGTATTGTGTCTTGTGATATACGGTAGCCCATGTCGTACCTCATAGTTTGCACGCAGAATGCCCATTGCGCTTCGTAAAATCGGGAAAAAAGGTTGACATGGGTAGAGGTAGGGAAGTTTAGAGGCTCTTTAAGGTATGGGAGATGTTGATCTTGGAGATTGGGATGCTTTGCGAAAACATATATCATCCGTCCATGTCCAATGGTGAGAAGTATCGCAAATGTTCGAAGACAGTGTTTCCGAATGAAATCGGCCTTTGGGGTTGGTTTTTCCCAAGTTTTGTATAGAGCATTAAGGAGTTTTTGCACTCTGCCTACGTCAAGCTTTGTACGCAGAGTTTTCTCCGATACATAAGGGACTTCACGATCATTGGCGGGGCCAACTCGCCCTGATCGCCAAGTCGGTGGAGCTCTTTGCCTTCCAAATTCGTTCAGAAACTCTTGAATGTCCGGGTCGTCGTCGGGCTGCAGCTGCTCCATACCGGGCATGGCGGACTCTTGGGGCGTGGGCGCTGCCCGGTCTGACTGGTGGTGATACTGGACGCTTGATGCGTTAGCATGCGCTGAACGCAAATATGATACCTCGAAAACGACAGGTCTGAGATAATGGAGTTGAGAAGAAGGTCGAAGAGATCCGTCATCAACTACTCACATTGAGGGTTCCATGCAGCTAACAATCGTAGGCCTAGCCTTGTCGCTGGCTTCACACTATGCGCGTGTCGATCTGGCCGAACATGACTATACTAGTACTATACCACGGGCGTTGGTCCCTAGGCACCTCAATAATTTTGCCAGGTGTAGAGCCATGGTATTCCTTCAAGACATCGATCTGTGGTTTCGTCCTCTAGAAATGTGCCATCATATCTGGGTCCGAAGCCAAGCTCAAAGCTCGCAACCGATACGCTAGTTTTCATTTCGAGCTCGAAGATTGCGAGGGTACCAAGGGAAATCCAACCTTCCAATTCAGGAGAGGGGTTTGTAAGCTGTAGCTCCGGTGGCTCTGGGCGGCCAAGCATTGGCTCGCTCTTGGAATGTGGCTCATCAAGCATGTTCTGGCAGGCCATCTGCAGCTCCTGTGGCGTAATTCCCTTGCTGCAGCAGGGCGCCATATAAGGCATATAAGCCGGCAACCCTAGCGTTGCAACCAGCTGCCTGTCAGCTTCTCCGTCATGGCTGAGCTCGATCTGGAGAGCTGCGACTGGGTGTACGACACAATCCCTCACTATCGCCTGAATGAAAAGATCATCCATAGCTTTCTATCGGACATCTGGCCCGGCGGCTATGAATTTTTCATTGAGGTCCGCTGTCCCAAGTCCGGTGCCTGATAACCCCACCTAACGCTAGCCTCTCCAGCTCCGTGGCAATGTCTACCGATTTTTCGTGCCAGAACCACTCACCAAAGTAGGTCTCTGTGTATAGTTGGCGTCTCGTCGAAGTCAAGGTTCGTCTGAGATTGACGATAGTCTGCACAGTACCAAAAAGACTGCCTCCTAGCGCGACGGTACAGCACTGGGTAGCAGACCTTTCCTGCCCAACCTATCTGGAGAAGGAGGCACGACATGCCCAAAGGTGGAGACTGGGTTCTTACGATGGCTCTTATGTAGCAAATCGATGGTCTGGCGATGCATGTATACGAAATAAAAGGGCGTTCTTGAAGGCGTGGAGCAATTTCAAACAAGGCTGAGACTGAAATGGGACGGTTTGGCGCACATTTCCTGCACCTTGGCGAGAGGTGCATGTCCAGGGTACCGTAATATGTATATAGTCGTACCGTAATGTAGTAAGGCTTTTACTGTTTCTGCCTTGTGCCATGCAGAGTGCTTCAACGGCTTGTCTCTTTAAATTGTCGTAGATCTTCCGCAAAGACGAATACTTCAAGATTTCCCATGGGATAGCAACCATTTTTATTCAACTCATCCGATCAATTGTGTCCCATGGACCATGTCGCAACCATTTGCGAGGATCCGCTGAGCTTTCCCAAGAATCTTCCATGCAGCAAGCAGTCGGAACACACTCTCAATGCGTTCAATTTGCAGATCGTCGACGATGGGTCGCGACTATTCTGCGCGCGATGCAGAGAAGGGTTGACCTTCCGGGACTTCAGCCGTAATGCTCAAAGTAGGCTCTGCATATGAAGTCCGTAGATTCGAATCATGCATTGACCAAGACACAGCTTTCGAACTCGCGACTGTAGAGACGCTTGAGCAATTGAACGTTCACTTAGGCGTCATTCCAGTGAAGGTGGAACCGAATCCGGCATGCAGGTTTCTGTAATCAAGCATATCAGACTCAAAATCTGTACACAGTCTGACTGGCGGGATAGTTTTGTTCACTCGCTAGGCCAAAATTCCCGAGAATGTCTAGATACGACTCGGGAAATGTTGTTGCTCGCGTTCTATTTTCTCCAAGTCAACCCTGAATTTCTGGACTTCTTGGTCCTGTTTGGCCATCAAGAACAAGCAACCGACCTTTACTTCAGTGCCTTTCGGCAAAGTTCTCGCCTACTTAGGCGAGAACAAGGTCTGGAGATACCTGAATGGTCTTGGTCGGGCTTCGAGCTGCAACTCTGTTACGGCCTGAAATCGGTAGAATCTTCCACCAGTCAGAAACTCTCGTCCTGGTCAATTCGTCACTATGTAGTACACCATACATTCGACATAGTATTTATTAGAGCCAATTGGATCCTGATCAAAGGCAATAAAGATATAGAGCATCGAATTCGCACTGCCACACATGCCAGTGAGTCCAACTTACAAGATACATTCGACCACCTGAATAGCGCTTTTGTTGCGGCACTCGACGTGCATTTGCTTCTCTGCGACTGGTCAGCGGCAAATTGGCGACTATATATCAAGTTCTTGGAGAACGAACTCGACCGCCTGACCCAAGGAGTCATCACGAAAAATGCAGACATACCTGTCAAACCCAAAGTAGGTAACGACATTATCGCTGCGCTGACCCGCAGAGACACGCAAGTCTCTCTGAATTCTCAAAGAAACAGACCGTTCGCACTTCCTAGGGCATTATCCTTTCCTAAAACTTTATCAAGAGCCGGAACACAGGCTACAGATACAATACCAATGGCTTCTCTTCCTTCCCCTCAAAAAAGACGTTCACAACTCTAACTGGCAAAAAACAGCCCTTGCCACCAGGGATGAAGGTGACAGCTTCGGACCGGCCAGAAAAAGACGTTCGCCAGAATAGTTGGGGCCAGCAAGAATTTTCGTTCTCTGACATTCAAGACGTTCATCACCTGGAGGAAAAGGCGAACGAGACGATTGCTGTGCTGAAGCTCAATCTCAATGTCATGACACAATTGAAAGAATACTATTTAGACGTTTTCAGCAATTCGTCCGTCCATGCAAGTCTCAAATCGCTCAAAGAACACTGCACGCACGACCTGGACCATTTCAGAAGCCGAATCGAGCAGACACAAAGCGACATCAAGCTCCATATCCTAAGAGTGCAAGCGCTCTCACGCAAGATAGTCGATCGCAAGGCTCTAGTGAGTATACAAGGAGCCTACCTTCGAGTTTGGCTTACGGTTTGCTAGCTCTCTGCTCTTCTTGAATTCGAAAATACTCAGGTCAACAAGCTGCTCGCCTTGCACACAAAGAGGGCTAACGAGAACATGTTGGACATGACAAGGGACATGAATCAACTTGCGCGCAAAACGAAAACAGAAACCGTATCGATGAAGATCATCACGCTCGTGGCACTGATTTTCTTACCAGGAACCTTCGTCTCGGTAGGTCTCTGATGCTTTCTTCCCATTTAGGTTCGGTGACAGCGCCAGCAAACTCTGTTGTGGCATGAGTCATCTGCGGAGTGCAAAAGGTGTTTCCATTCCTTCAGTCATGCTGCAGCTCTTTGAGCAGGCCGTCGTTGCTTGAATGACTATGCTGATCCTGCGAAATGACTGTATAGACCATCATGAGCACCGATATAGTCCACTGGAACAATAACAAGCGCGAGTACCAGAGTGGGGCTTTGAATGCATATGTATACACAACGTTGCCCATCACGAGCATTGTGGTGCTCATATGGGGGGTATGGCAGTGGATAGAGCTGAAAACTGACAGGAAACACCAAAAACAATACGACGTGCGTCTCAACGAGCCAGATACTTGACAATCGGAGCGACTGCCTTTCATTCCACTTTTACGGTCATTCAACAGTCAATTTGGTTTCGGGCAGCGCAAGGTATTTGCAACGGAATGGGTAAGCAAGCGTAACGACGAAATGTGATAGATCAATACGGCAACGTCAAAGGAAATTTTCAAGTCTGGAGTGCAGTAAGGAAAGTCGCTAGCATTAGTCAAATTTTAGTCCTAATGGACTGTCTTTAGCCCTAATTGATCATGAAACCCAGACTTGCGATATACCTGATCCGGCAGAGTGTGACCTCGCTGATGCCATGGAAGCAAGAGCGGTGGAGTTATACCCTGCATCCTACTCGACCATTTTGCCACACCATCCCCTTATGAATGGCGTCATTCCATTTGTCGTTCTCTTCTCCCCCGTAACACCAACCAGCTTCAATACATTCGTCTTGTTCCTCGTTGTCGCCCTCTTCTCCATTCTGCCTTGAGGAATCTTCGTCCTTGTGGGGCGAATGGCCCGCATTAGCTTTGACCGATGCTTTATCTCGGCAAATGATGAAACAGAAAAACCAGCGATGTTCGTTGTCTGACACCTTCCCGCCAACAGAGTGGAGGTCCCTAAAGTCTATGAGTGAGAAAATTTGCTGTCCTCTTGTGCTACTTACCATTCGCGGTAGAACCCTTTCCAATTAAAGAGGCTAGTAAGAAAGGTGTAGACACTCGGTTCTACTGCATTTAGAACAGCTAGTAAATTCACTGGATGTGAGTCTGCCAGGAAGATAGGCAAGCCAGTAAAGTCGTTTGTCAGACGCCACCTCTTGTCGCAGTCAAGATGTGCCCGCAAAAGCTTGTACTCGAACGACTGTATGGTAGAAATTGCAGTCATGACGAGTTTGAGCGGCTTTATGGAAATTTTCAGAGGCCGCTGAAAGGGTGTAAGTAGTGTGGCAAGAATGAAGACGCACGTTGAAGTGCGACTGATGAGAGCGGACAACCAAATTTAAAATAGTCAAAAATGTGGAGAAAGAAATCAGCCACGGAGTCATAATTCCACCTAAATTCAAGATGGCTTGTTACAAGTCTTGTAGGTTTCCTCTTGCTTTGGTCTGTCGCAATAATGGTGACGCGAATGCCGACCACAACGTTCAGAGTCATTTATCTGCAACTGATTTACCAGCAACGTCGCTTGCCATAGTCGACGCAGCTCTCGTACTGCTGTTGGCTTCTTCATAATTAGGCAAAACATCCTTTTCGCGCACGACTATAAAGTCGAAATTCTCACAATCATTTTTGTCCTTCTTCGGTGGCCCTAATTTGTGCAATTTCCTTCAGACATGAGACAAGAATCTTTTGTATAGGGGAAGGTCATCTCACCATCCATGCCAGGAGCTCCCACCTCCAAGCAGTCCGTCAAGAAACTCCAAAGCGTCAGAAGCATGGTTTGTTGACGACTGCACTATATCTTGCATAGCTTCAAGAGAATTAATTGGAATACCGTTGGGACAAGCAGAGGACAATTGATATCTTCCCAGGAAATTAGATCGTGTTTTACCAGCGCGGAGCAAGCGAGCCTCGACTTGCGGCATGATGCCTTAGGTATTACAAGCTTGTGTCGAGGTGAAATTTCTCTGTCTTGAGATATGATGCTGCCAGGTCGAAAGTCAGGCTTGAGCTCAAGCACAAGTAATGATCTTCATCTCTTGTCGATCGTGACAATTTGAGAGTAGTATTGTCGAAGCAAGATAACAAGTCTTGCCTGTGTCCATACCCCTGTCTTGGGAATAGCGCGCCGTGATTTGCCACAAACAATTGAAGCCGTTTGCCACCATACAAATGTTGTACAAGGGTTTTTTACCATCAAACTCAATTGGATTGGAACTGGATGATCCCAATGTAGTCAAAATTCTGTTATACACTTCGCACGAATCAATGCCATGCCAGACATCACCGGAATGTAGAGCCTAACAAGACGTTCCTACTTTTCAGCGAAGCCAGGTACACTACAGTGACCTACTCGACACGTGTCAATTCCATTCCAGAAGAAAGCTTGATAAGTCGCTTCCGAAATCCGATAAGCGGCAATTTTACGCTCGTAACTCAGAGGATAAACGGCTACGGAAGTCAGAACCTGAAAAGGGCGGTTTCGAACATACAGTTCATTGCTCTCAGCTTTGACTGACCTCAGCTTCGAATGATAAAACGACTTCCTTTCACCCGTTGCACTAGTCCTAGTCGTCTGTAAGGCTATAGCCATCTTATTGTGCCTTATTTGGGGCGCAAGACGTCGAAAGACAGCCTCGTAGGTTCAATGTGGGAATCATGGTTGGCTCTTTCGCAGCCATGGAACTATACGTTGAGCGCGCTTTGATCCGAACAAATTCCTGGAATTTGAAGTCTAAGGTTGCTTTTGAAACAGCACACTCGCGGTGGCTAAATTGCATTTTAGGGTGCGAGTGACTCTAGTCTTTGTGAGGCGTGCTGAGACTACTGCTCTTGGCATTGGCATGAGTAACGCCAGATCGCATGTCCAGTGTGCTGCTTTTTTAATTGAGGTCATCCGTATGATTGACTATGGCGATGTTCGAGGTCACTTAAAGCTCGAACGTGGAACCGTATAGCCCCAGAAGGAAATCACTACTTGCTGCCAGCGATAAAAGCTTCATCATCGACATCACAGCAATCGCAAGCAAGGTCCAAAGCTCTCTAAATCATTTTGTCGCAAAACTTCCAAGCGAGGGGAACAAAGTACTCATTCTGATGCCGTAGCCGCCTGGTCTTTCCTAGACTGTGCTGAATAGGTGGCGGGCGGCGTGGTCCAGATTGCGGCGTACTCGCCAAAGATCCAGTGTCGTAACTGTCGATCAATATCAGTATTTATTTTCTGATGTTGAGTATCTTACGTACGGTCCAGAAAGGAGGCTCGTCGTCAAATCCTTCTGGAGTTTGCCAGTCATGTATCAAGAATGCGTAGACTCCAATTGCTGGTACAATCAGTTGACTTGAGGAGACAGTAGAGGCAGAAACCTCACCAACAGATCCCGTCCACTGTGTTATCTTGACACCTCTTATCCAATTCTCGTTTTGATATTTCAATTTCGACCTCCTTCGATACCTCTTTTCAAAGTTGAATTGTTGGGTAAATGGGAGCTTTTCGAAGTCGGGAGGCCATTTCTTCCGAGCTTGGTAAGGATTGTTCTTTCCAGTGATAGTATATTTCACGTCCACACGGCGCTTAAAGAGATTTTGTATCCAGCCCATGTCTCATGATTTGTAGTCGTCCGAATTGACGAGTGCAAGGATGGGTGATAAGCCCAGCCTTAACGCCGACACTTATCTCCTTATATATCATTCTTGAACATGACTCAAGTTGAGCATTGGCACACCTCCTCCTCGCGACTCGTCATTGAACGGGCGTTGAGCTTGCATTCTTCTCAAGACGAAGTCTGTACGTTGGCTGTGGTGCGCTCAGCGCAATCACATTCCCATCGGAGCACGCACCATGGCGACTGTCAATGCTTCGACTACTGATCACCAAGCGAAGACTTTGAAACTGGAAAATGTAGGTCATGTTATCATCTGTGCATTTAGGCCATGGTACAAACGACTAACACTCATAGACTGAGAAACGTGACACCTTGATAGCCATTGAGAAAAAGTATCAAAAAGCATGGCAAGACGCGGGCGTTTTCAACGCAACTCCTCCCTCAAGCTCAGAGACCGTCGACCTCTCTCCATCAGAAATCCGGAAGAAGTTCCCCAAATATTTTGCAATCTTCGCATACCCTTACATGAATGGTAGACTCCATGCTGGACATAGTTTCACCATCAGCAAAGTCGAATTTACGTGCGGTTTCAACAGAATGGAAGGAAAACGTGTTTTGTTCCCCCTAGGCTTCCACTGCACGGGCATGCCGATAAAAGCTTGTGCAGATAAGCTTGTGAGTGACGTTCAGAAGTTCGGAAAGAATTTCGAGAATTATAAGGAAGAGGAGGATGAAGCAAATCTCCAAATCGGCCAGCCACCAGCTCCAACGCAAGCCCAAACGAAGGACGATGTCACTAAGTTCTCCTCGAAGAAGGGAAAAGCCGCTGCCAAAGCTGTCAAGATGAAATATCAATTCCAGATAATGCGCGCCATTGGCATAGCAAATGCGGAGATACATGAATTTTCAGATGCTCAATACTGGCTAAAATATTTTCCACCATTATGCAAATTAGATCTCAATGATTTAGGAGCACGGATAGACTGGAGACGTCAGATGGTTACGACCGATGCCAATCCCTATTACGACGCTTTCGTTCGATGGCAGACCAACCGCCTACATGGATTGAAGAAGATTCAATACGGTGAGAGATATACAATCTACTCTCCAAAGGACGGCCAACCTTGTATGGATCATGACCGGACAGAGGGCGAGGGAGTCGGGCCACAGGAGTACACGGCGTTGAAACTCAAGGTCAAGGAATGGGCTCCGAAAGCTGCAGAAGTATTTAGAGACAAAATCCCTCAATCAGCAAGTGTCTACTTCGTCCCTGCAACACTACGGCCAGAAACTATGTATGGCCAGACTTGTTGTTTTGTGGGGCCGAAGATCACATATGGATTATTCAAAGTATCAGAAAAAGAGTATTACGTAGTGACAAAACGTGCTGCGTGGAATATGGCCTTCCAAGGGACCTTTTTCGGCAGCGAAAATTTTCCGAAAGATATAAGTGAACTCCCACTGGTGGCGGAGCTAACTGGCTCAGATGTAGTTGGCACTCTTGTCAATGCACCCTTGTCTGTACACACCCAAGGAGTACGCATTCTACCCATGGAATCTGTTCTACCGTCAAAAGGCACTGGTGTCGTCACATGCGTACCATCTGATAGTCCAGATGATTATGCAACTGTCATGGATCTGACAAAAAAAGCCGAGTACTATGGCATTCAGCGAGAATGGGTAGACCTTGAGATTCTCCCTCTAATTCAAACGCCCTCATACGGTAACCTGACTGCCAAATTTCTCGTCGAAAAGTTGAAGATCAACTCGCCAAAAGACACGAAGCAACTTGCGGAGGCGAAGGAAGCTGCATACAAAGAAGGCCACTACAAAGGCACAATGCTCGTAGGCGAATTCAAAGGCCAGCCAGTAGAGTCAGCAAAATCGAAAGTCAAAGCTGCCTTGATAAAAAATGGGGACGCTTTTGAGTACGCTGAACCGAACGGTCACGTTGTCAGTCGTAGCGCAGACGAGTGCGTTACAGCTTTCTTAGGCCAATGGTTCTTGAATTATGGTGAAAATGATCCTCATTGGCGGAACACAACTTTCGATCATGTCAAGAACGACTTAGAGACGTACTCTTCAGAGACACAAAACGGCTTCGAGAAAAACCTGGAGTGGCTCAACCGGTGGGCTTGTGCGAGAACGTATGGTCTAGGCTCGAAACTCCCTTGGGATCCAAAGTTCCTTGTTGAAAGTTTGAGTGACAGCACCATATATATGGCATATTACACGATATCCTATCTTCTTCACAGCGATGTATTTGGCACGCAGCCGGGTGTTCTGCCAATCAAAGCATCGCAAATGACGGATGAGATCTGGGATTACATATTCTGCCGCCGTTCATACTCCCCAACTCTTAATGAATCCTCGGGAATCAGTCAAGAACATCTCAACCGTCTACGTGCCGAGTTTGAATATTGGTATCCTCTCGACCTTAGCTCTTCTGGAAAAGACCTCATACCTAATCATTTGACATTCTTTCTCTACATCCACCTCGCACTCTTCCCACCAGAGTACTGGCCACGCAGCGTTCGGGCCAACGGTCATCTCCTTCTCAATGGTGATAAAATGTCCAAATCAACAGGCAATTTCCTAACCCTCTCTGAAGCTATCAAAAAGTATGGTGCCGACGCGTGCCGCATTGCCCTAGCAGATGCTGGCGACGGAGTCGAAGACGCCAACTTCGAAGAGACCGTCGCAAATCAAATCATCCTCCGCATGCACACTCTCAAAGAATGGTGTGAAGAAGTCCTTTCCTCCGCCGAATCTAGCAGCCTTCGCACTGGCCCAGCCGACACATTCTGGGACACCCTTTTTCAAAATGAAATGCGTACTCTCGTCCATGATGCCCACTACCACTATTCTAACCTCGACTTCAAAGCCGCCCTCAAACCCGCTCTCTATGACTTCACTTCCTCCCGAGATTTCTACCGCGAAGCCACCACCGCTGCTGGAATTGGCATGCATGCTTCCCTAATCCGGCAATATATCGAACTCCAAGCTCTCATCATAACGCCTATCGCTCCCCATTGGGCCGACTACATTTGGCAAGAAGTCTTGCAAACAAATAAGGGCACAATCCAAAACGCTCTATGGCCAAAGGTCGACCCTGCAGATCCCTCATTGACAGCAGCCCGCGAATACGTCCGCGCTACATCATCTTCCATCACCTCAGCAGAAGCCGCACAACAGAAACGCAAAGACAAGGGCAAAGCCACGTCTTTCGACCCCAAGAAACCAAAGAAGCTCACCATCTTCTACGCGGCGAAATACCCAGCGTGGCAAGATGAGTACATCGAGCTCGTGCGGCAGAACTTTTCCGCCACCAGCCTTTCCGTTGATGACAAGAAAGTTGGAGAGGCCGTTAAAGCGAAGGGCGGGAAGGAAACGAAGCGTGCGATGCCATTCGTCCAGGGGCTGAAGAAAAGGTTATATGCTGGGGAAGAGAAGGAGAAGGTATTTGAGAGGAAATTGCCGTTCGATGAGAAGGGAGTGTTGCGACAAATGGTGAAAGGATTAAGGAGGACTACTGGATGTAAGAGTGTGGAGGTTGTGGAGGTGCACAGCGGGGACGAGGAAGTCAAGAAGGGAGTGGTAAGTGCCGGAGATGGCGAAGGGGAAAGCAGAGAAGGCCTACCGCAGAGTGCTGGAAGTGCAGTGCCAGGTAGCCCGAGTTTTCACTTTGTGAATATTTGATTGAATGGCTCCGAAAAAATGTAGAAATATGATCTGAAGGGCCTTTTGGGTGGCTACCCCCGAAATGCCGAAAATAGAGTTTAAAAGACGTGGTTATGCGCCAGACAAGTTCATCATAGAGGTCTGAAGCGAGTTTTATTTGTCTCTCGCCCCTTCGTATACGCCTTTGCAAGCCGTACAAAGGGGCTTGGAGTTATTAGGGGCCCTGGAGCCCTAGACTAGAACCCTAGAGCCTAAAGATGCGTAGCGGATCCCCTGACATTACTTTAGCGGGGGTCTCGAGCGCGACTTCTCTTCATTCAATTGACCTCATGCCAAGAAGTCCGTATCTCTTAAACTTTTCAGCAACACCAACACGAATCCACCAATGGCTGGCGAGCTGCAATAAGCTCATGAGCCTCCCTACCCCTACGGACTACCGGTATACTATCTCTTCATTCAAATCAGCACTCAAAATCATGTGAATACCTAAGGTCAAGCCATTGAAGTCAAGTGAACCTCGGACCCCCGTCACTCGTTATGGCATATAATTCTACCATGTCTGGCTGAGCGATTTGGTACATGCCCGAGATCGTCTTCTTAAACGATCGTTGGACGTAACATCTAGCTGGAACATCCTACACTTCACTTACAATGGCTGATGCTGATACAAAGCTGTTGAGCGTTGAGGATTCGGACAAAGACGGGGTTAACCTACCTCTCTGCCCCCCAATATCGATGCCTTGCTGACACATGCCAGGATACTTTCGAAGACGCCCCAGATATGCATTCTCGCTCCCATTCTCAGCAATCTCACCTTTCAAGTACCTCTATCCCTCCGTCGGTAAAAGAGGGGGAACCCTCTTCCGCTACCTCAACCCCTAGGTCCTCAAGAGTTTTAAACATAAATAGTAATGACATGAATGGGAGCGTAGACAATACTTCCTCCCAAGAGGTGCCCGAGTCAAAAGAAGGTCATATACCTGCCAAGTCGCCTTTACTGACAGCTCATTCCGCCTCAAATTCTGAAGCGCACAAATTGCATGTCGGAGGAGATGCAACGGACGATCAAGCAGGAAATCCGTCCACAACAGCCGGGGATACACCTCAAAAGCCAAATTCTCCAACAAAGCTGCCGTCAAGGATGAAGGGACTTTCCGGGAGCATTCCATCTGTCCCTTGGGGGCCACCGCCGTCTACTAAGCCGCACGAGGCGAAACCCTCGGTCACCCCAAATGCAAAAAAGTCTGGCATAGGTTTCTCGTGGTTCAGCAGAAAGCCGTCCGCCAATATAGATACGAGCACAATCTCCCAAGGAAAACCCACAAATTTGAGAGAGCGGCGAAATACTGCAGCGTCCGTGAATTCTCTCGCCTCGAATCCTGAACTTATGCTGAATAAATTGGATGAAGCGAACGACTCCGACGGATCTGATCCAAAGAAGAAACAAGGAGATAGTCTGAGAGATCGCTTCAAGCTGCTGCGGATGAGAGAAGAGGCCGGGATTCAGACGCTTGAGGGGCAAGCAACAGATGCGTCGAACGAGAGCGGTGGAGTCCTTGCTGGACTCATCGGTCGAAGTACGAGCCTTGGTGTAGGGGTTGGAAGCCCGACTAGCGTTGCGGACGAAGCAGATTCGGAGCCTCCACCTGCTACTAGTCCGATAACCTCGCCAGCAGTCAGATCGCCTGGAGTCGGTCCTGCTCCATCAGATCCGAATTTAGCTCCTGGGACTGCAGCAGGCATGACAGCAGGGCCATCTGCAATGACTGATCCCGCGGCACCAGTCGACTGGGACTTGTGGCAAGCTGTAGTCTACGAAGGCCCAGCAGCAGTAGCAAGGACTAGCGCGGAAGAGCTAAACAGAGCGATAGCCACAGGTATTCCCAGTGCCATAAGGGGCGTCGTCTGGCAAGTTCTTGCTCAGAGTAAGAATGAAGAGCTGGAAGGTGTATATAAGGAGCTAGTTGTCCGAGGTACAGATAAAGACCATGATTTGACAGCAAGTCTACAGGGCCATGCACCGTCACAAAGTCTTGCAAATAGTAATCTTAAGGAATATAAATCTGTCACTTCATCGGCTTCGTCAATGCACTCGGATCATTCGACTCCAGCAACCTCAGCAACTAACGGCCTACACTCACCCACGTCATCACAAGAGAAAGAAGGTGAAAACACAGCCAAATTACAAGCAGCAATGATCGTCGAGAGAAAAAAGAAGGCACAAGAAGACAAAAGCGCAATCCACAAGCTCGAAAAGGTCATAAAAAGAGATTTGGGGGCGCGAACGAGCTATTCCAAGTACGCTGCAGCTGCAGGTCTACAAGACGGTTTATTCGGGCTGTGCAAAGCATACGCTCTTTTCGATGAAGGTGTCGGCTACGCGCAGGGAATGAATTTCCTGGTCATGCCCCTTCTATTCAGCGTAGAGTTCCCATTTTGATATCTAATATTTCACGATCTAATGTTTGCAGGTTCCTGAAGAGGAAGCGTTTTGTCTTCTAGTACGGCTGATGAATCACTATCATCTTCGAGAAATGTTCATAAAAGACATGCCGGGCCTCCATCTCCATCTTTATCAGTTCGAAAGGTTACTCGAGGACCTTGAACCTGCCCTTTATTGCCACCTTCACCGAAAGGGGGTCCAGCCACGACTTTACGCCACACAGTGGTTTCTCACCCTGTTTGCATACCGATTTCCGCTCCAATTGGTTCTCAGGATATACGACTTAATCCTGAGTGAAGGGCTTGAGGGTGCAATTCTCAAATTTGGGATAGTCCTTATGCAAAAGAATGCAGAGACGCTTCTCGACATGAACGACATGGCCCAGCTAACCAATTTTCTCAAGGATAAACTATTCGACGTCTACATCGATCAAGCCCCAACAAGCAGCTCCATTCTCGAATCGGGCTTCTTCGGTACTTCAGGCGACAAGGAAATATACCGAGCAGATACATTGGTGCAGGACGCGTGTGCGGTGAAGATCACACCTGAGATGCTCAAGTCGTACACGGCCGAATGGGAGGAAAAACAGCGCATTGAGAAGGAGCAAGAAGCAGAGCTCGAAGGTCTCCGTACTGCTAACGCAACTCTGACAAACAAGGTTCGTAATCTGGAGGAACGAGCAGAAAAATCCGACACCGAGCACGTCCAGATGGCTTCGCAGCTCGTGCGCACCAAAGTCGAGAACCAAGAACTTAGCGATAACGTCGAAAGTCTCAAGGGCCAAACGGAGGAGCTCAGAGTATTGGTGGACAAGCAGACCGAAGAAGTTGAACAGAGACTCAAGGGCGAGATGGAAACAAGCATGCAGCGAAATTTGGAAGTACAGAACGAAAACCGTGGATTGGAGGAACACATGGCTGAAATGGAGAAGGTTTTGGTGGAGACGAAGATGCAGTTTGCGGAGGTATGTGATCTTTTACGTCAGGGGCAGAGCTTTCCAGCATTTGCACCTGATGAGTGATTTTTGTTGATTGATCTGTAGCTGAATTCCGAGCATGAGAGTCTGAAGCAAAAATGGAGTGATCTGCGAAAGGCTATCGAGGCCTAAATCACATCGTTTCTGATATAGGACGGCGGTTTCGTATTAACGCAGCATATTCAAGTGAGTAAAGAAAGGCAAATCTCCGAAACAACATTTATCAAGACGGCGCTGGTGACGGATTGGAAGTATTCCGCATATCTTGGGAGGTGTCAGGGGATTTCATAGAGCCGTGTGGGGAAGGGATTCAAGTACACGAGCGCGCATCTGATGCATTAGCAAGTATACCCCTTTTGATTTGACTGCATCGTCTGTGTATCAATGTGATAAGGAGCTTCACTATTGGGTTTTGTGTATAGAAATAGAGGGATAGTGAGAGAGAAATCGAAAAACCTCGTAATGCGTCTTCTTGTATCTGCGACATCGACCAGTAAGGAGCATTCAGTTGAACCTCTTCAACCTACAGTCCTTCATACGGCAGCCACAAAGCCCTTCAAAGCATTGAAAAAATAAGGACTCTAGCTCACATTGCCACTAATCAGCCGCTGGTGTACTCACTACGACCCTTGCCTACAAGATACTGCGCAAGGCGAGACTTAGGAAAGTCTGATTTCCGGTGAGGTACAAGCCATCACAGCCCAAAGAAGAGTCCTGTCACGTTCGAATACCGAAGTAGATATGGCTTCTCCAACTACCAATATGAAGAAAGGGGGTGCCAAGAGATCTCTGATAGAGCCTCTTCTAATCTTATCTTATCCAAAATCATTTAAATGCCTCACCTCAAGAAATGATTTTTGGGAAGCATCAAGTGCCTGTGCGATTGTTGCGGTGACTTAGCCAAGCAAATGGAGTCGGAGGTGGAGATAGTACTGGATGAGCCAAAATCGTCAAGTCCATTCTTGAACAGTACCCATGACAAGGAGGATAGAGCTTTAATCAAGCGCGCACCAGACACGGAAGGAGCTGCCCTTGCTGCCCGCAATGTCGACGCACAGAAGACATACGGCCGAGGTCGGAAGATACGACATCAATCGGTCAAAGATAAGAAACTTCGCTCGAATTTGAAGAACCTAGAGTCCAAGTACAAAGATGCGACACTAAAAGCGAAAGATGCTGAGATCCTACTTGAGAATGAAGGGGGCTTTCTGGAGCCAGAACATGAACTGGAACGGACGTATAAGTTGCGACAGGACGAGCTCAAGGCGGAACTACCTGTCGAGATAGCGAAGCAAGGCTTCGATCTAAAGTTGGGGGATTCTTTGGGTCCGTATATCTGTGATTATACACCAAATGGCCGAGGCCTGCTCTTGGCCGGGAGAAAGGGCCATGTAGCAGCTATCCCTGATTGGCGTTCAGGCACATTGGGATGCGAGTTACAGCTTGGAGAAACCGTGAGGGAAGCGCGATGGCTGCACAATGACCAATACTTCGCCACTGCACAGAAGAAATACGTCTACATTTATGACCGTGCTGGTGTGGAATTGCACTGTCTACGCCAGCACATCGAGCCGCGGGCTATGGAATTTCTCAAATGGCACTTTCTCCTGGCCAGTGTCGGGAATGCAGGCTATCTGAAGTACACAGATACATCGACGGGACGGATGGTTATTGAGATGCCCACTAAGCAGGGCACTCCGACGTCACTAGCCCAAAATCCTTGGAATGCAATACTCCATGTCGGACATCAGAATGGAACCGTGACACTTTGGTCGCCAAACTCAACTACACCTTTGGTGAAGATGCTCGCGCACCGTGGGCCCGTGAGATCGATGGCTGTTGATAGAGAGGGCAGGTACATGGTGGCTACGGGACAAGACATGAAGATGAGTGTCTGGGATGTAAGAATGTACAAGCCTGTCAATGAGTATTTCCTGCGACGTCCGGGAGCATCAGTCGCCATTAGTGACAGTGGTTTGACTGCTGTGGGATGGGGCACGCAAACCTCGATTTGGAAAGGGCTGTTTGATAAATCGAAAAGGGACCAGGACAAAGTGCAATCTCCATACATGGGATGGGGAGGTGAGGGTCGAAACATGGAGAGATTGCGCTGGTGTCCGTTCGAGGATTCACTGGGTATTTCCCACAACCATGGGTTTTCTAGCATCATCGTTCCGGGTGCTGGAGAGCCGAATTTTGATGCCCTAGAAATCAACCCATACGAGTCAGTCAAGCAGCGGCAGGAGGGAGAGGTGAAGAGCCTTTTGAACAAGCTGCAGCCAGAGATGATTTCTTTGAACCCCGATTATGTAGGAAATTTAGATCTTGTTTCAGCTGCCGAGCGAAGAAAAGAGGCAGATCTTGACCAAAAGCCCGAAGACCCGGTATCGAAGCTCAAAAATAGAGGACGAGGAAAGAATAGCAGTCTTCGCAAGTATTTGAGGAAGAAAGGCAAGAAGAATGTCATCGACGAGACAAGGCTTCAAGTCGATGCTTTGAGGATGGAAACTAATAAAAAGGCAAGGCCGCCCAAAAGGCATGAAGAGGAACTGGGTCCTGCACTTGCCAGATTTGCGAGGAAGGGTGGCTGAAAGCGTGCGATACATGTTGCAAGATCTTAAACGCAACCCTTGATCACAGCCATTGCGATCACACGATGACGCCCTATCTTGTACCCAAGTGCCTAACTTCAGCCGCGGTCTTGCTTAAGGCTCTCAACGCGGGAAAGCGATAGCTACCAGACATGACAGAGAGTTTCTACTTCTTTCATGGTTAGACGCAGAGGACGAGGAGATAAACAGCAAGCATTCCCCAGTCAACAACTACGCTAATTGTTGTCCTGACTGTGTCATTAGACACCGGAAAGCTGGAAAATCCGGTGGCTAGAGGCGACGGTGGTCTTGCGACGAAGAGCGAAGTGTGAAAAACATATCATTGTACGACATGATTGATGTGTTCTCCTTCCGATACGCTTGGTTGGAGGCTTTGTATGGGACACCTTGAAGTCATGATTCTAAGCTTCCCCGCAAAGGAGTTAGCGTCTTACTTCAACCTCCACTACTACGAAGCTCTTTCCTGGCCACAAGATCCCTTCAAATTTAGATATCTTGCTGTGAGTCTTTAAAGTCCCTTGCGACTTAGGTCATTACCTTTCCATTCATGAAATACTCCTTCCGACACCTCTTCTAGCTCGCGTTCCCTATTCCCTCCGATTATTCACTTGATTCTTCGCCAAAGTTCAGTATTTCCACAAGAGCCTTTCCAGAGTACTTGATTCGCAACTTATATGACTGATAATTTCAACGCGAGCTGCAAATTAAGTCTTTTGGCGTCTTGCTCTTCTAAAGTACTCGCTAGCCGAAACATTAATCAGATTGAAGAGACGAAAATTAATCTTCTGTGACCTCGGAGCAGAGAGATACTCGCAATGACTGACGACAGAACAATGTTTGGCACCATTTGCGGTGGTCCCATCTCCGGTTTTGAAAGGGTATCAACGTAGCCCTACTCGATGTTCAGAGTTAAACACTAAGAGTAGCGTAGATCAAGACTAGAAACTGGTTCTGTGACTGCGTTCTACTTACTGGCAAGCGTAATCATAACGGCATTCTATCTGACATCCGATACGTCGATGCTGAGAACCTAGGAGGTACAAACTTTTTCATACACTCAACCAGCGAGGCCGTTGTTGCTTGCAACCCAAATGTATGGAGCCCGTTCGTCAAAGACAAGCCGCCCTTGTATTTTCCATCCCACGTGAAGTGTATGGTGATCGCAGAGGAGGTCATTGCTTCCCACGATAGCAGTGAGAGAGGGCAGAGAAGCTTGATGCGCCATTTGTGGCAGGTGCTTGAGGCTCGATGGAAGCAACTTGATCCCTTGGGCCGGGCTCCTCACAAGCTCCACGTGTCAAGTGGTTACTACGGCGCGTATAAGTTTCAAGAAATGGATTGGACACCTGAGAATGGCAAGGAGGGAGAGGCGAAGGTAAGCAGCCCCGGGCCTGTGCCTGCGAGATAATCTCGAATGACGAACGTTGGTATAGCTATTCGAATCTAACCCTGTCGAGATTCCGAGTCTGAATCGTGCAGTACTTTCGCACCTAAACCCGCTTCTGTCGGCAAACCCCTCATCAAATGATGATCCGGACGAGCCCACGATTAAGGGCCTATCACAGGCAATATCATCATTGCCCCCCGAGATCATTGCCAACATTACTGACCAGGTCACTCCCCTCAATAATCCGTCACTGACGCCAAATTACATTCTTGAGCCCAGCTACTGGCATGCTAGCCTTTTCAGCGGCACGCTTCTTCCCTATCTCTGGGACATTTCCGAAACCGAAATCTCAGAGGAAGACGGGACCGCTGTGGGATTTGACAAAACAGCAGACGGATGGGATTGGGAGCTTCTAGCTGAACAGCTTGCTCAAACATCCATCCACGAACGAGGCAAAGTATTTCACATACCACTAGGTCTTCGAAATCGCAGAAGGATATGGAGACTCGTGGAGGACATCCTGGGAACCGAGTTGTAAGTCAAATTGATGCAGCATCAGAAGCAACTCTTGCTCTAATGTAGACATGACTATACTTTAGATGCGACTGCCCTTTCACTCCACCACATAAACATATGGATCTAGCCATAGAGAAGGTCACTGGGAGCCCGCCGGAAAGATGGTAAGCCTTATTGGTAGATCATGGTTGTAGTTTCCAGTCGATCTAACCCCTTCAGCCGTCTGTGTCATCATCGACATGACAAGAAATGACAGCCTCATATTGAGCAGTAATGTCTAAGTGAGGGAGTATGCCTTTGTTATGTGTCCATGCAGTCGAGAGGGTCCTGAAATGCTTTGGGTGCTTCCCAAGATGCCGAAAGTTGTGCTTAGTCCAGACAGACATAGATGCAAGAGGGCTAGAAGTTACTAATAGATAGGACCACGTGACAGTGCGTCGCGCGTTGATGCCTCAATCGGATCGACGCGTTAGATACGAAGACGGCATAATTTTACCCCGCATACTGCAACCACACCGCCAGTCACCAATCTGGGCAAGTCCTTCGGCAACTTGTGAGTCACAATATGCAAGATAAGAACCCGCTCTCACCACCCCCTTTTACATTTCGTCAAAACAAATAGTCCCTTTTCCTCCCTGACTCTGATCTATCATCCTCAACCCCATCACCAATCCTTCATTCCCAATTCCCCTTTCCCCCCAGAAACCCCTGCAAAAATGTCCCTAAAATTCTACCTCGCCCCCAACTCCACCGCGACCTTCACAGTCGCCATCTTCGCCGAACTCGAGCACGCCCTCCACCGCCCCCTCGCGGAACGCATCACCCTCACCCTCCGCTCCGGCGACACCCGCACGCCCACCTACCTCTCGACCATCAACCCGAACGGGCGCGTTCCCGCCCTCGTCCATGACGGCGTCCCCATCTGGGAGAGCGCAGCAATTTGCATGTACCTGGGCGAACTCTTCGGGGTAGACGCAGGTCTCTACCCACCTCTGGGCCCGAAGAGGGGGAGGCGATGAAGTACATCGTGTGGACGAACGTGACGTTTGCTCCCGCGGGGGCGGCGTTGGCGGCATCGTTGCCGAAGGGGACGGCGGGGGGTGTGGAGGAGGGGAGTCAGGATGAGGTGAGCTTTGAGGAGAAAGCGAGGGTGGAGGCGGAGGGGAAGGCGAGGGAAGGTGTTGTGAAAGGGTTGAAGGTGCTAGAGGGGGCGTTGGAGGGGAAGAGCTACTTGTTGGGGGAGGAGTATGGGTTGGTGGATACGCATGTTTGGGCTTTTGTGAGTTATCTTGGGATTGTGGGGATTGAGATGGGGGACTATGGGAATGTGAAGGGGTGGGTGGAACGCATTCAGGGGAGGGAGGCGTTGAAGGAGGTTTTTCAGTGAGTGTGTCTCGGCCTTGCTAGGAACTTATGTTGTCGATGAAAAGTAATTCGAGCTCAATCGGGGCATTTTGTGAATTTGATGACTGTTGAAGACTAAGAAACCAGAAGTCGTGTCTTCTTGCTACGTATCCTCTTATTGAGCCAACAAGAGAAACAGGGGAGAAGTAGACCTGACGCAAGGTTTTGTGCGAGCTAAACGAGCTGTGCGTAGGAATAAATGCGATCTTAATGAAACTCCCATACTGTGACTTCTCTTAATGCCTTTTATTCAGCCACGAACAGAGCCAAGTATATTCTTTCAAAGGAATGAGCGCACGACAAAAAATTTGTGCTGCAAGATAATTGTATTCAGAAGAGAAAACTTAAAACACAAATGTTTTTTATGGCCAATTCAGTATTCAACCACATCAAGCATGCCATGAGCACGCTTATCAAAATACGTACTATTTGCATGGAAAGCAAATCATTCATGGGCCTCATTCCCGCCTATCCTCATCCTTTCAATCGAGGTTCATGTTCACCAACCTGATGGTCCAAACTTCCTAGTGTCGATGCGATGAATGTCCACGAATTAGATCGATTTGGCTGTATGTTGGTGGTCGGTCAGCGGACATAGAGGCAACGCGGGCAGAATAAGGCGGAGGTGGGCTTGAAATCCCATCAGTATCGCGCCTACGAGGTCCAACAGTCTCCCGTTGTGCTGTATTCTGATCACGCCTGGCACTTGCGACCAGACGAGTGCAACCAGGATCGCGCCGCTGCACCTGATCAGTATATGAGAGGCTTCTATTGGAAAACGCTTGACTTACTTCCGCCCTCAATGCATTTGCGATAGCATCATCTGGGTGCTTCCATGGTTTCTCAAGCCTGAAATCTCGCAAGGATCTGTTATGACGAGCATACAAATCCATGAACTCCTGTAAGGCGAAGCCTTCGTATCAGTCCTTACAAAAGCTACAGAAGTCTTGCCATTGCCAGACACGGTGTCGCTGTCGGCAACTGTTGATGCGCTTCGTCTTCTCCTCACATACACGATCAAATGTCCTTCGACAATTGTATGCAAAACTTTGATTAATAGGGTAGGCTGATCGAAGGTCCTGGTGGTTTTCGGAGCGTCTATTGCAGTCAGTGTTTTCATAAAGCGTTGAGTAGTCCAAAAGAATGGTGATTCATTTGACATGGAGGTCTCTGTCTTGAGTGATGTTGAGGCATGATGTCTAAGCTTTCTGGTACCAAATTTGAGGATAACAAGTAGGAAAGTATCGAACAAAAATTTGCAAAGGACAATGCAATAGCCATTTCATTGGCCGGCTGAATTTCATACCTCAGGTAACATTGGCCGTGAATGTTTTTCTTCCCTGGTGGTACAATGGATCCGAGTTCAATTTTTTGGTCTCACAGCATGTGCGGGTATGGGTGCAAGGTTCCTAAAGACCGTTCTTAGCTAATTGGAGAGCGAGCTCAAAATTGATAAATTGCCTATTTTTATTCTAGGCTACCTTTTCAAGAACTAGACATACTATCCACCAGTAGTACGGAAATCGATTGATTAGTCTCAGACATCCGATATTCGCAATTTGACAGGCTAGCGTCCTCGTAGACACGAGCAATTCGTCTTTCGCTTCGTAGATCGAGGATACGGAATGAGAGCGTCAAAACTTTTCGCCAATCACTAATAAGTTTACTATTGGTGCTACACCAATGTTTCTCGGTCACTTGAGCAATACTACCCAGCACTGGTTTTTTGGATGATAGGGAAAATACATGGTGAAGTTGACAATGTGTTGCGCATGAGCGGAATTCCTCTCCCACAACATCGGGCGGCTCGCCAGGAAGTTGAGTCAATCTCCAACAGGCTCAGGACGATTTGAAAACAATATCTTGTAATGAATAATCTCTGAAATCTCCAATTCGTCCTTAGCTGCGTCGTCGGACTTGTCGCGTTTTCGGATGACCGCAATGGGTTTTGGAAGCTTCTTCACTTCTCCAGTCATACGCTGGTGCTTACCAACGTAGAGATAGACGGTCTTCTGCCATGTACTCTCACTTGGCTCGTCTTTGTTGTACCCTGGAAAGACGAGCCGGCCGACTGGCGTTGCTGTTGCTCCTTCCAGGGGGGCGGAAGATTTAATGTTCCCTGGATTTCGACTATCGCCAGACCTGATGGCGTCTGAAGTACTTGTGGTAGTGGGTTCTGTGGCAATGATTTCGTCTGTGAAGTTGAAAGATGGAGTGGAATCGTCGGCATTGTGAATGCGTCGATTTTATAGTGGTGATGAAGAGCCAAGTGCACGGGATGGACTATTTAGGAAAAGCCGCTAGTGAAAGACTTCAGTCTGTGCCAATAAAACTATTGGTATAGCTACATAGTATATCGCTACCCTCTACTACATCCTTTCAGCACATATCTATAAATAAGAAGTCAGGTCTAATTTCGAATGTATTCCTATTGTTGTCGGCTTGGCAATGTATTTCCCCTTTTCGGTATCACACAACGTTGGAAGGCGATGTAGTGCAAGAAGCGGTAAGCAAACGAATGAGGCAGTTACACGCGTAGCCAGTCCAATGACCGTCTTTGTAGAACGTTGATTGGCTTGAGTTTGTGGATCATTGAGTTCTCGCCGCCTTGACACCCTGGTATAGCTCAAACGGTTCTCTTAAGTGTTCAAGCTCGTGTCATATCCTGTCCACGATTCACAGCAGTTCCACAATTCGAATCGAACCGTACTTGGGTCATCACTTTGCACATGCTGTCCGCGGTATCTTCACTGCAGCTTGATGAGCAACAGAGGCATTTCGATATGCTTGACAAGATCCTTGTCTTTCGATGACGGACGGTCGTAAAGTGATCGCCTTTTGATTTCTTCCTCGTTGCATCGCAAGATTAGAAGGTACGAGAGGGTCATGCATGCGTCGACCCTGATGTTTTTTGTTTCAACCGTGACGGTGAATTCACCGCCTGTCATTCCCGAGCTCTGCTTCACAGCCCCGCTAACTTAAAGTAGTCTTCTCGTATTTCAGCAACGCTCTTCACCCTTTCTAGTATCCACCTTTGCATCGTTCAGCTTGATAGGATCAAACATACAAGCCGCAAACCAAAAACAACAAAGACAGTAAACAGAAAGCTATTGGCAACAAAACAAGCTATTTCCGAGCGAAATTGCCGAGATCATCGTCTTTGAATCAAGCACCGTTGATCTGTGCCTTACGAAAGTCGGTAGTCACGCCTCCAGTGACTCAATTCAGAGCGGTCAATCTTCAAGCCAGGATTGTTACGTATAAGAAAGGTATTCCATGGACCACCACCCAGAAGACGAAGAGCACGAAGACGAGGTTTCCCCTCTGTGTACATACCTCCATGATCGTGAAGCCGCATCTGTCTGACGCTCGCAGCAATACTTACCTCGCGGCCCCTTCACACTGCACCATCAGCATTGCTCAAACGTCGTACTGATTCAGGTATCGGATCAGGTATTGCCTCCTTTCTCGTCCATTGATAAAGCTGACCAGGCGTAGGAGCCACCCCTGAGTTCCGGCCACAACTGCGTGTCGAAATTCCCAAAGGACCTCAAAGACCACAAACAAGCTCGTTGCCTTCAACTGCCCATCATAGCCATCATCCAAGACATTCTTCGTCTATAGCTGGTATGCGTGGTGCGCAAAGCTCTATTCCGAACCATTCACGCGCTATCTCAAACCATACCGTGTCGCACACTCAGTCTAGGACATGGACGAATCCAAAGATGAATGAGAGGGATAAATGGGATTACGTGAAGCGCAATCTTCACAAGATGGAATTAATCCATCGCTCTCCATACGTCCCGCATACTTTTCAGGGATGGATGCATTTCAAATCCGCTAGAGCCGGTGACGTTCTGAAAGAAGGGAACGAAAAGCTGGCTCGCAGGCAAAAAGACAATCGCTACGTTCTGTCCGGCATTGAGCCCGTCAAGATCTTGCCAGTGATGAAGGGTAAGACTTTCAATGACGGGCGAAGCCTGGTCTTGGCAGAGAAGACGATCTGGTCGCGACCTGATAAGCCGAGCCTTCTAGAATATCCAACAGCGCCGTGGCCTTGCAAAGAGGAAATGAGAGAAGAGGGGGATGAAAGGAACACCTCAAGATTTGGCAGATTTCTGGGCTTGCCTAGGCATCCCGGAAATGAGACCGTGAACTGGAAGCAAAAGAAACACCTGCTACCTTTGGAGTTCGATAATATCTGGCATTTACCGGACAAGGAGAGCTATGAACGTAGCAGAGAGGAGATCGATGATGAGACAAGGGAGCTCATGGAGTCTCTTTTGGGTGAAGATTTGTTGGAGGCGATTGATTCTTGAACTCATTGGCGACCGGAAAGCATTGACTTGAATACGGGGGCTCCCTCAGCTCGAATGACTTCCTGATTTTGGTGTCTTTCTCTCCACGAGAGGAATGGCTGACGAATTCGAATATTTGACTTCACACCTACCGCATCAGCTTCGCACGTGAAAGCATATTGTCGAATTCAATCAGCACTGGGGACTGCTCGTTTTCAATTCTCGGGATTTTGCTGGATCTGCAATTTTCGACACAACAAGGAGCCCACACTCTCCGAATGGTGCTGTCGGAGATAGCATTACTTTTATCGACATGCTGCTTCTTTGCCAGAGATTAGGCACGTCTCGATCGGTCCTGCATTCGAGTGAGGGACCGCGGAGCAGCACAGCAATATTTCGTTCTAACATTTCACTAAACATCGTTTCATTCGTCTCACTACTTGCGACCTCTGAGCTTGTTGAGAATGTCAGCAGAAGAAGGGAAAGTGGAAATGTGGGGGAGAGAATTGAGCTGAGTGAGACTTACGCTGAGCAAATGATATTGCACATAAGAAGCAACAGCTTATCGTAAGTAGCAAGAGCGTAAGAAGTGAAGAGCCTTGTACCGCATTTTCAGGAGGACAATTGGAGGAGGATTGGTAATGGACTGATGACATTGCAGTATTTTCACATAGGAAATCGAAGGGTATTATTCCGAGCTGTCCGGAGTCCTTTGTTCTTGTTTTGCACGCAATCAGTCCGTTCGTTGTCCTTCAACATCATTTGCTGGCCCATGTTTGTCTCAGCAAGATCCACGTTCTCCTACTAGTGATTTCATTGCAATCTATGAGAGTGAAGAGCTGGAGTTCGAAATGTAAGTTGTGATGCATTTCCGGTTGTCCAGGCAATGATCGCCCCTACAAATGTGACTACTGCATTGCGATTGCCATATTGTCACTTTCAGCTGAGCTGCAAGCGGCTTCTCGGGCCATTGAAAGGAGGTGGCAAGTGAGATGAGAAGTCAGATTGACTTATCGCACAGCATCTTAATTGGCTCATCTGAAGGCTTGGCAACCTTAACCGTAGAGACAAATCTTGTATACAGGACGAAGCTTTAACGACAGGACCCATCCATTAGAATTAACAGCCGGCCAATTGCTCTAATTGATTAAGATTTTCCAGCCCATGCTTTCATACTCACCCACTTTGACCTTGACCGTCTGTTCATGCTCAAGTCTAAGCACGAGGGCATGTGCAAAGTTTCACCCTTGATAGATTAAACCTGCATCAGCTCCCGGATATGCACCGTCTTCGACACGCCCTAGTGCGCCCTTTACATTCGCGAGACTCCATGGAAACTGATATTCGAAGAGGCTGTCCATTTGGATCTCTTGTACCAGACATTACTTTCCGCGCATTCTCATCCTTATGACCACGTGCTCATCAGGTGCAGGATATCGTTCTCAATGCCCAAACTAATAATACGATGCCCATACATATGCGAATGCTTTTTCTCGTAGCAAGAAAGCGGGTCTTCGCTGGAAGCCGTCTATTGGTGGTGGCCCCTTTGATCGTCATGGATGCAGACGCAGCATGATTCAACCAATGGCTTAATATATCAACCAACCTCTCGAGATCTGAGTCTGACATTGCATTCTGCTCTCCCCTCCCTCCTTCTTGCGATTTACCTTATCGCAGCATTTTCAGGCAAGATCCTTTGTCAAAGTCTTGGTAACATCTCCTGCTTGCGTTGGTCCAACGTAAACATGGGAGGTCAGCTAAATGCCAATCAGGAATGGAGGGTCACTTGATTGGTTTGCCGCCAGAGAGTGAATGCTTTGCTGGAGCCAACGAGCAATCAGTCTTCACGAAGACTTTCATTGGACTGTCTCATTTCAGCTGTGGGTTGTCAGATCCAAAATCCAGCAAGATAATATTCCAATCATCTCCGAAAAGCACCTTTAGAGACACGATCCAAGTCATGGGAGGTTGGTTCAATGATTCAACAAAAATAAGCCTGCCGTCCAGAGGTCGAGTCGAACGACCGTCTTCAGAAAAACCCGGGAACCGATTCTGTTAGTCCGATATGCTATCCATCTGCACCATCTGAACCTCATATGATGGGCGCTGATGCAACGATATATAATTGTTTTCAAGGCTAGACATTGAAGATCAGGACCGCAAGAAACAAGCAATTAGAGTGTGCATCGTCGCAAAAGCCTCGAAGGGAGGAAAAACCAGATCAAGAAAATCTTTCTCCATCCTCAAGTCAAATTCTTTCGTCAGTTGGAATTTAGCCCTCTATCATCTTCTCCTCCCGCTCCTCTCCAACCTTGCCCTCTCCATTGTCTGAGCTCTCTTCCCTCCATGGCCTCGCCAACCTCGGCCAAACCCTTTTATAAAGACTCACCCCCACCGCATCCATCGGATTGATTTTCCCATCAAACGTCGCCTTGAAATATCCATGTGTGCCCAGACTCTCCTTGATGAACCCGCTCCTCCCTCGTTTCGTCCACAATTGCAACGCCTTAAACCAGCTCACGTCTTCTTTGTTAAAGAACATGTATCGGATCGTGACGAGCTTCTTGTGAATTTTATAGGGGTGACCGGTTAGGATGACGCGTTTGGCTATGACACGTGTTGTGGATGGTGGGAGGACTGTGCCTTTGGCGATGAGGGTGAGTCCATTACTTGTGTCAGGGGTGGAAGAAGCGGCGGAATTGGTAGTTTGGAAGAAGAGAGCAGGAACGGCACCCCAGCTTACAGGTGCCAAAAATGTAGCCACGGCGGTCTGGCCTGGATGATGGTAGCGGATGAATTTATGTACGTCATTGGGGGTGTTGCCGAGTTGCGAGAAGAGAGGGTTGATGATGAAGCGACGAGGACCAATTTGAACGACTAGCTCGTCTTTGGATTTCAGAGGAGCCGGATGGGTTGATGGGAGAGAGATGCTGACGTTCACAACGCTACGTTTGTGTTCATGGCGAAGGAATGAGTAGAGAGAGAGGGGTTTTGAAGGATCGAGTGACCCACGAAGAGACAGAGGTATAGAGGATAGATGAACGTGGACTCTTTTGCCTGGTTGAACACCACCAATCAAAGCGTCATTGACTGCTTGCTTTCTTGCTCGCTTGAAGTCTGAGACAGGCAGGAGACGATTCCAATCATTCGGCTCGTAAGCTCTGTCTTCACTGTTGTCCCAAGGACTCGTCTTCAAAGATTTTAGGCCCCGATATTTGGACAATCGTTCACGAGCAGCAACGTTTGGATGAAGTTCGATCTCGTCAGGAAATTCCCGATCCTCCTCTGCCTCGTCTTTACGCGACCGTCGATACTCCTCAATTTGTGTGGCTTCTTGCTCAGGAGAAGGATCGATAAACATCTCTGATTGTGGATACTCGGATGTGATCTCCGTATGCTCAAGCTGGGGAGCTTGATCGAGACCTTCGGTGCCGTCTTCTGGTAGTGCTTGACCCGACGAAGCAATGTCTATTTCACTTCCCCCGTCCACGGACTCAAAATCGGAGCCAGAGTCTGATATATCGCCTAGAAACCATGCAGACTGATAGTTGGACGTTCCTTTGGGTAATCTCTTAGGCGGCGCAGTATGTTGATCCTCGTCTTCTGAGAAGTAGTGGTGATCATCGAGTAGCACACCTCTTCTTGTGGAGGTCACTTCAGACACAGAGAGAGCATCAGCATCGTCCATTGGCGCTTCATAAGGCGCAAGCTCGTTGGTATCATCTTGCTCAGGCCCCGGTACTTGCAAAATCTCTTGAGGGCTTTGGGTTTCGTCCACAGCCATCTGCTCAGCTTTCCGCTTCTTCGCAACAGGCAAAGTCGCATCCACGATCTTTTCTATCTGAAAATGACCAAGATCGCCCACCTGGACCAGTCTGTCCGCTTTCAGGCCTTTCCCTCTTACCACACCGGTCACCACCAATTCAGCAAAATCTGGCGATTGATTGGCTTGGGCATCCAACCATCGCACACTCTCGGCGAGCATCCAACTCCTATCCTCCCTCCACCTAATACCCTTTGGCGTAGTCGTGCATAAAGATCTGATTGCGTTCGAACACTCGCTATCAGAATCTAAACTGAGTACCTTTTCCTGCTCCGGGAAATACATCGAGATCCAGCTCGTCACGCCTTTTTGTATTTGCGCTTTTCTCTTTGGTTGTTCGATATGTTCAAGGCCTTGGATCATGCTCATTGAGTTACTTATGCCCTGTCCCTCAATTACCTTTAGAATCATCTCGGACTCCTCATTGGGCTCTTGTTCTGCTGACAAGAGCAAGACTACAAAGTCAGCCGCTCTGCACACATCCATTGATTCCAGCAAATGCTTCTTCACAGGTATAAACAACAGGTTCTGCTTAAATCTTTCCACCCTGACTCGAATCTGTCCTTCACTGATAGGCCACTGCGCCGTTGCATCTGCGCTTTCACTCAATCGCGCAATTGCTTCCGTCGTGTCCACCTGGGAGTCAAGTGGTACCACTGCCACGATCCGCGGTGCGAAGTGAGGTCCAGCAAAAACAGAAATAGATTTATCCTTCTGCTGCTGCTTAACATGACGGATTTGTTTCGCATGGTTTCTTCGGTCTAATTTGGACATGGCCTGTTGATGTGGCGTCTTCCGCGCTCCCTTTACCTTCGTTCCGTCTATCTTCCCTTTGGCAATTTCTTTGATCAAAGATTTCGTTGCATAGCGGGACTTGAATGGTTTGTGGGTATTTTGAGAAGAGCGTCTGTGGTGAAATGGCTCAGAGGCCATACTTGACGAGCCGGCTTTGAAGCGGTACGCGAGGGATGAAGATGAGACCGTCATGTCGATATTATGAGGACGTGAGATAGTAAAATGCCCGTTCTGCAGTATCCTGAATTGTGGACTGGAATTTGTAGCGAGTGCGGCACCGCTTCCGCAATTTCTCCGCAAATATGGTCCTCGGTGGAGAAACTCATCTTACCTCCTCATCTTGTCTCTACGACTGATGACTTTCCAATATATTGATTAAAATGTCTTTCTACGATGAAATCGAGATCGAAGATATGACTTATGATGAGGCAACTACACTGTATACCTATCCATGTCCATGCGGTGATCAGTTCGAGATCTCCCTTGATGATCTAAGGGACGGGGAAGAGGTTGCTGTGTGTCCTAGCTGCAGTCTACAGATCAAGGTTATATACGATTTGGTATGATAGAAGGCTAAGAGATTTCCTTCTAGACGTGGCTAAAAATATGTTAGGATGATCTACCCAAGGAAGGAGATGGACAAGCCCAGTCAGCGCCGGTTGTTGTAGCCATTTGAGTAAGGCAAGCTTAACCAATTTATGCGGCCTCCGTTTTCAAAAAAAAAATGAGCGTTCTCGGCTCGAGGAAACGACAGGGCTGTAGGTGGAGCATATGGAAACCCTGAAAGAAAAGCTTTTAGGGGAACGGCAACGTGTGGGACATTCAAAATTGATTATGGAAGTCATATTACAACCGAGATTAACGAAAGACGATAACATGCATGGAGAACAGACCACCGCTTACATCATATCACCATTCGACGTCCTACAGCGATGGGATGCAGAGCACGAAGTCCTCCAGGGCCAACCCTTTGATGACTATCTTCTACTCCTCATACTCTGCAGCACCAACGGTCTCTGATTCTGCACTGGCAAGACTGATTTGCTTCTCCAAATCATAAGTTGCATCCAAAAACCTTCCGCACAGAATTTTCGCCTCTGACAGGCTCGCGAGTGCAACAAATGTGTCTGCGGGCAACACCGCTCTATCAGAATTGACGGGCAGAAAATCTTCCTGTAGCCATTTTTGCAGCTCGGGATTCTTTTTCACTGCCTTCTCGTTCACCGCACCGACCCCGATACTAGTCTCATGACTCATGCAGGGATGGACCGCAAACACTTTAATGTCCTTGTCCTTCAATTCAAGGTGAATACACTTGGAATATTGCGACTGCGCCGCTTTTGCGGCGCTATAAGCTGAGAAATATGGCAGCGTCAAGGTGCCTCCAATCGCCGAGACGACGTTGATGATGGTGCCGGAAAGGCGAGTCAGCATGCCTTTGGTAGAGCTACCGTCCTTGAGTACAGCCTGGGTAAAAGCCATTGTACCGAGCATAGTCGTCTCCATCACTTTCCAATGCTCCTCGATATCAACTTCATGTTCAAGATCGGAGATATGCGATATCCCTGCACTATTGATCAAGATATCCACCGGCCCTAGTTGCTCCCTTGTTTTATTGACTGCAAAAGGAGCAACCCATGGATCTGTCACGTCTCCTGGGATTGCAATAGCCCTGGGAGCAAGTTTGAAGGTTTCGTTCTCTTGGGCACCGCTAGCTGCAGCATCATGAGAGGATTGCTTTTCGATTTGCGCCACTAGACTATCAAGGTCTGACTTTGTGCGAGCAACGCAAGCAACACGCGCTCCAGCTGCTGCGAAAGCTAGAGCGGATGCCCTTCCGATACCTTTACCTGCGCCTGTGATCAAGACAACCTTGCCTTCCAGCGAGTCATGGAATTTAGAAGGTGCGATAAATGGATATGTCGTCGTATAATGAGGAATCTTACTGGATTGAGGGTGAAGCTGAGTGACTAGGGACGCCATTTTAAAACATTGATGTTGTTTGATTTGACAATGATGTTCTGCGTCGTTACTGAACGGGTTTTTAAACTAGAAATATATTCTGCATAGCGGTTTGCATCGGCTTTCCTCTTCGGCCTAGAACAAATTTTCTGTTGGAAAAGAATTGTGCTCGTCAGTCAGAGCGTGCATCTGTGTCTTAGCCGTTGACGTTCCTTGTATAAAAAGACACATTAGCTAGTCAATGCTTTCAATCCTTTAAACCATATTTATTATGCTATCCGCTATGACTGCCAATATCAACATTCAGAGGACTTAGTTCACCATATCCTACGCCATCTTCGAGATCTCTTCAAGTGGGAATGCCTTTCTCGCAACAATCAGATGGTTAATGGCCTCTCCCCAAAAGGGAGGCCCGGCCCCAGCTACCTGCACCAAGCAGAGGTTTCTAGTTTAATAAACCTATGGTCAAGTCACCATGGATCTTCGCCTTTAGCTGAATCTCGACATCGAGATTCAGTTCCAGCCTGAGTCTTAATTGCTCGTCACTGCCCCCATCATCTCCTTCTTCACCCTCACCTTCGCCTTTCTTCCCACCGCCAGTGAGTCCACCGAGGGTCTTGCCGACTTTATCTGTCGCGCCACTGCACATGGCCACCCATTAGCACTCGTCATCTAAACGTCGTTTTTCAGAAGGGTCGGTAAAGCTTACCCAACAGCATCACCAGCAGTATCGGTCACTCCACCAACCGTATCCTGCACTTTATCGACAGCCCTAAACAGCAGTCGTCAGCATGGTGCCCGCGCAGTTTCCTCTCGCAAAAAAGAGAAGAAAACGCAAACTCACCCCCCAGCAGTCTCTCCAACCTCATCAACAGCATCTAACGGCCCACCACCTCCTTGCTCCCCACCCTCCTCCTTCTCCATCGTCTGCGGCGGCTTGCTCCCCCGCTTCCTATTCCTATTCCGCCTCCCACCCTGAGGAGGCGGCTGACTCAACTCACTCTGCTCGGTATCACTCGCGGGATTCTGACTCCTACCCCGTCCCCTGCTCTGCCGTCGCTTACTCTTACTCTGAGAGCGCTGCTGAGCACCGGCGGTGGCTTGCACTTCCTCGCCCCCTTCCCCCTCCCCCTCCCCTCCCCCTTCCCCACCTTCAATTTCCTTGGGCTTCTCGGCGGGCGGCTCGTCCTCGGCAGATTTACTGTCCTCTGCGTTCTGTGACACTTTCTGCGCGTTCGAGCCGCCTTTGCGCGGACCGAGTTTCTGCGGCGTGCGTTTTTGTTGCTGCGTTTGTTTTGAGGAGGCGCTGCCACCGATGCCACCGGATGCTGCTGCTGAGCCGGAGCCGGAGGCGCCGGCTTGCATTTGGGATTCGGACGTTGCAGTCTGTTCTTCTGCCATATTTGCGTCTTTGGAGGGTTTCTTTTGGGGCGTGGATGGTGGGGTGGGTTGTTGCATTCACTTTCACTAAGGATTTTGCAAAGATAAGAGTGTTGTTGAAGGCACGAACGTTGTTGGGGTATTGACTGGGCTATAACACGGTGATGATCAAGGGGCGTGTGTTTGCTTGGGGTTTTTGTGTTGCACCTCAGCAAGGAAGGAAATGGTACGACTGCGTCATGTTTCCTGCCCACGAATTTCCAGATTGCCTGGTTCGGGTCGTCTTGCTGCAGGCCCCTCCATTTGGGCCGCGGAGGGTCTGACCTGAACAGGGGCGGCATAGCGGTAATTGGAAGCAGTTTAGGGGCATGTCATGGGGGCGTCGGGATTGGATGCCGGGCGCAAGGATGCTGCAAGCTTCGCACTATCGTAGATCATCTTAGACACATTCGATCTCACATACATTTGATAGCATTCAATTTAGGGTGTTGATGGGCTTCCAGAGTATCCATGAGTCTTCAAAGGAGGAGACCATGGACTTTACCAGCACCGTGGTACCCATGTGGATTTTCTGGGCATGACAGTCGCCACAGGGCCAGAATCTGGGGACAGACAGGGTGTGGCGGAAGTCTCCACAGCGCTGGGACTTTGGCAGTTTGACCCGAACCGGGCAGGCCCTGGACAGTTTCGCTGCGCAATGACGCAGTGAGCGCCTTTGGTGATGGAACTGACAATCGTACCATAGCAAGTTCGACACTCCCCTTAACAGCCACTTTATCGTCAACTCATCTGACGGCTGTCTTACCACTTCGTGAACTCATCCTTCCACACTCACCGCACAAACCCCTGAATCATCACCCAAATTGTCCCTCACCTTACCCCCCAGAACCTTCACCCAACATGTCTGACAGCGAACCTACTACCCCAAAGAAAGGCCCACCCCCGCCCGAATCCACCGACACAGACGCCCCAGACTCAGACGCAAAACCCCGCTCCCGCTCTCGCTCCGCCGCGCGCCGCCAACGCCGGCAAAAGGCCCAAAAGTCTGCCAAAGCCTCGCAGAAAGAAAAGCAAGCGGAGATGCCACCCCCAGAAGAGGACCCGGAGGCGGAAGAAGCAGAAGCAACAGCGGGCGCAATGCAGCCCTTCGAGCACATCGGGCCCGACAGCACATCCATGGACGGACCAGTCACGTACTCGCGGGCGCAGAGGGGCGAGATCCCCATGAGGGAAGGCAATCCGAACACGGCGCTGAAGACGGGGAATCCAGCGGGCGCGGGCGCGGGGGATATGCAGCCCGCGAGTCAGGTGGGGCAGATGGCGCAGCAGGGGAACGCGGGGGAGAGCGACTTGATGAAGCAGGAAGGCTTGAAGTTGAGGCTGGAGCTGAATTTGGATATCGAGCTGGAATTGAAGGCGAAGATTTATGGAGATTTGACTCTGGCGCTTTTGTGAGTACATGTCCTTCTTTTTCCCCCGTGGAGTTGGCGTTTTGGGGCTTCAGGGCTTATTCTAATAGGTGCTGATAAGATCCTAGGGCCTGATCATGGTATGGATTTTCGTCCCAGTATGTGGATTTTGGCGAGTCTGAAGTTGATACCCTTCGCTGGCTAGCCGAATACTGAAGGGTGTTTTTGGACATTAGTGTTCAGCAATGGAAACATTTCCTTTTGACAGCAGATATATGAAGCGCAGCCAAAAGATAATTCGATATCAATCATGCGATCTGTGGTCAGCTTGTACTTAATATTTCATGCCTATATTATGCATAGCGGTGTCAATTTCCTAAATTATCACATGGTGTCCTAAGCTACCTTGTTGAAGCGTTTCTATTACAATCCTGCTACAAGTAATAGCCCATATCCAAGACTAATCACAACAGCGAAGCAGATCAGACTACCCGGTACACCTCTTGAGATGAAATGTTTGACCATTAGATAGCGTTGTCCTGTTTGCGAGTCTTCCATCATGATAGCAGCTGTGAAGTTTTCGTCAACCAACATGGTCCAGAATCGTGGAAGAGAGGAGACTTACTCATGTTAGGAAACCCACTCGTAGGCAAGGCCATAGCAAATGAGCACATTAGGGCGCTCCCCATCACAAGCAAATTCGGATGCGGTTCCGCCATCCCAGCTCCAACTTGGTGCACCAATGGCAGGATGATGAGAGCAGCAACCGTGTGGGATATGAATGTTGCAACAACCATAATTAGAGCCGCAAACACGACTAGAACACCATAAAGACTCATATCCGCCACTTTCTCTGTTATGCCGCCGGCAATGGTATGCAACAAACCAGAAGAAGACACGGCTTTACCAAGAGATAGACCACCAGCTGCCAGGATTATGATGGTCCAGAGGAAGTTGTTGAAGTCTTCTTTTGTCAAGATTCCAGTGCCGAAAAAGAGGACGATGGGAATGATGGCAACGATTCCCATATCTCCGAATACACCTTCTAGTTGATGCGTCACGCACCATAATATAATCGTCAGGATGGTGACGCCCGAGATGAACCATTGCACGCCGCTGAATTTGTCTTTCATTGGTCGAATTGGCACAATATTAGTTCCTTTTCCGGGCTGAAATGTGATCAAGAGGAGAATCCAGATCATGATGAGGGAGACAATGCAGACAGGCAGGGCGATGAAGAACCAGATTCCCCAGGAGGGTTGAGGACGCATATTTTGCAAGGCAATGATGTTCTGTGGGCTTGCAATAGGAGATGCTGCACCTCCAAGATTGCAGGCAAGAGCAATGCCTAGGATGAGTGCTTTGCTGAAATTAGAGTCCGTAGGGAGATTTCGAAGAAGTGGCTTCAATTGATTGTAAGCATGTGAGAAACCAGAGAGGGTTCAACGTCTTACCTGTATGATCGAGAAGCATAGAACAGGTGATGCTACATTGCTGATCCACATACTGAGGATCAGAGCAACAAACATGTTTGTGAGCAGAACAGTCCGGGGTCGAGTGCCTGCTTTGCTAAGAACAAACGTGGCTAGGAATTTAGCTATATGAAATTTCGAGAGAGCAGCTGCAATAGTAAAGCCTCCAAGAAGGAGCATGATGACTGGCGTCCACATCGAAGCAAATACATATTTGGCGGCGGCCGGAGGGTCCAGTCTAGCGTGAGGCTTTCGATCTTCTCGGACAACTTGGAGGACGACGCAAAGGAAAGGAACGAGCATTGACGTGACGAAAAGAGGGATGACCTAGCCCTTGTCAGAAAGAATGAGAATCCGAAGGACTGAATTACCTCTGTCGCCCACATCAAACTGACAAATATCAACATTGCAAGGCAATTCTGCTGCTCTGGCTTCTTCATGATTGGCACGATCAAGAGGACTACAAAGACTGCGAGGATGACGACCAGATAGAAGAACGTCGGATTGAAGAGCCATGTCGGGCATCTATATTTCCCAATTGGCGTGACAAATTCCTTGGTGCTCAGCTCGTCATGCTCGTCACCCTGCAGCCTGACTTTTGCTGGATCTTGATCACCACCGAGTAAGGTTCTGCGCACGCCAAAGTTGGCAGCTTGCGCTTTCCTTTCTATACCGATCATCTCTCGCCACACAGTGTTGCGTTCATAAACGACATGCTCTCGTAGATTCAATCGTAATTCTCGCCTTGCCTTGGACACGTCGCCATTAGCAGCTATGTCTGCGTAGATTTGTTCCACTCGCTGAATATTTTCGTCGACGTGCTCCATGGTCTTCATGCGAAAAGGATAGGCCGGTGACACGCTATCTTTCAAGTATTGCTGCTTAAGACTTCGGTCGAGTATCTTGTCGTATTTTTTCAGCACTTTAGTAAAGCCGGTCTTATTCAATTGTATGAATGATTTCAACTCGCACAAAGACACATACAGATTGATGGTGCGCTTTTTCAAGGTGACCCCAGAAGCAACAATGCCACTGTATGGCTGATCATGGTATTCGATGTCGTCGGCAGCCTGCACAGTTTTCCTTCTCGTAAGTGGCAGCTCTCTTGAAGATCTCAAGTCGTCCACGCTCTGTCCCATGTTCACATCGTATGTTTTTCGGCGGTCTTTGAAAAGTGCACTATCGTTCATTGCCGTCCTTTCATTTGGGTCCTCATCACTATCTTCCTCTCGCTCTTCTATAGTCGATGCGCTCATGGTGCTGGTCCGCCTTTTTCTGCCACTCATGCTAAATCTTCCAAAGATACTTCCACGACGAGGCCTACCAATTGATTCTGCTTGTCCATCATACTGATTAACGTCAATACCATCTGATTCCGCTTCGAACGTTTCCCCATCTTTGACCAGCCCGCCAACTTCGCCATAAATCTCCAACTCTTTCAACTGATAGAACGAACAGATCTTTTCCAAGTCTTGATCGAGGGAGCGTCTGAAGACCGTATCAGGATCATCCTGATCAAGCAGAGGCGAGATCTCGGCATCGGGGGCTTGGGTGGAAGATTGATTGATTGACTTTTCAAGCTGGTATATTCTACGCAAGTGTAAGCCAAGCCCTCCTGCTTTTCTTTGGTTCGTAACAGGAGCCGCATAATCCCAGGGAAGAGTCAACCCGAGCCTAGTATTGTGAAGTTTCTTACAATTTCTTAAGATTGCTATAGTTGATGTAATTACCACTCCAATCAGGGACAGCATTGAATTGAATACTGTGAGAGAACTTCATGTTTTCACCGCGTTCAAGACTGAGGAGCACACGCTCAGCTCTCTGGCTGTGCCTTATGCTCCGAGTTCCATTGTGAGGGTGTAGCTTATGGCCACGGAGCGGCACAAGCTCTACGGAGGCCGTCTTGAGTGTCTCATTATCATCATGTGAGAATCGGCAGCAACCGTAAAGGATCCGAGTTACGTGCGTCCGATAGTTCTGAGTCCGTCTGCCACATGCACCAAAGCTAAATTTGATTGGTCGGGCTTCAGCCACCACAGCCACAGCCCTAGCCCTATCGATAAGACGCTCAAGGTCTCGAGTCGACTTAGAGTAATCCTCAACATCCTCATGCAAATAATGTCCTCACTATCTGACCTAAAGGATCCATAATACGGAGGGACCATAATATCTGGATGAACCATGTTTGATAGACCAGACCTGACCTTCTCACCATCATGATCAACGCCGTCCTTGTCTTCAACAACTCTGGGCAGCCACGCCTAACAAAATTCTACACCCAGCTGGTATTTTCGATCATTACTTCTTGCCGGCCGAAGCCCAATCTTATGAGTACTCATAGGATACCAGCGTCCAGCAACGCCTCATCTCCGAGATCTTCGCCCTCGTCGCCAATCGTCCAGTCTCCGCCTGCAATTTTCTCCCGTTCGTGGACAACATTTTCCTACTCAACCGCTCATTGTCCCTCTTAGCTAAATAAACATCCAGTCTTCCCCCACTCCTCCAACCACCTCCCTCAGCGGCCCAGTCTCCCTCGGAACCCCACAATGACACCCCCTCCCTCGTCACATACCGACACTATGCGACCCTCTACTTCATCATGATCAGCACCTCCACCGAATCTCCCCTTGCGCTTCTCGACCTCATCCAAGTCTTCGTCGAGTCGCTCGACCGCCTCTTCGAGAACGTGTGCGAGTTGGATCTGATCTTCAATTTCGAGACGCTGCATGCAGCACTGGGGGAAATGATAGTGGGCGGAATTGTGGTGGAGACGAATCTGGATAAGGTGGTCAGAGGGGTGAGGGAGCAGGGAAAGGTGGCGAAGAGACGGGATGTTGGGGGAGTGGGGACAGGGACCAGTTTTGCTGATGTGGTTGGGGCTGGGCTTGGGGGAGGGTTAGGGGGAATCTCGAGGTGGAGGTAGAGGCAGGTGTTCAGGAAAGTGAATGTTAATGTTTGATGAAACGAATATCCATGAAGGGATATGATCTCTTCGCAACTTCATCAGTTCAGATTGTTCGATGATGCTCACTAGCAATATGTCCAAGCATCGGGATGTATTTTGAAAGCTTGGTCCGAAAGTTTGGCACCTGGCGTGGAGAAATGATTTGCAAGCCTTGCTTACCTGAGGATCCTGATTACACTCTTGTTTGATCATTGCACTTATTATACGATCCTCTCATTACACATGTGTGCAATGAATGGATCGTCGAGTTACGGCTCTGATCTTTGGAGAAGTTCTTCTGCTATTTTACCTCAGTGAACTAAGATATCTATTCAACCCTCATCTATGCCAGCAAGTTCGTTCTTCATTCTCAATAGTTTTCCCACCTGATCGAACTCTTCAAACAAGAGCAAAATCAATACCAAACATCGTCATTGCGCCGGGACTCATCACGCCACTTTCTTGTCGCACAATGATACCATCTAGGGACAAATTATCAAGTCTTAGTACTTCTGCTGGGGGGGGTGGGGGTTGGATTCCAGGGTCCATATAGCACGAAAACAGAAAAAGGCTCACGCATGCAAGCCCGTTCGGGCTCCACATTCTGCAGCCTGTGCATATTCGTCAACCTAAACGGGCCGGAGACGTTTGCGGAGACAAGTGGAGGAGGCATGCAGGGTGCATTATGCAGGCAGGTTGCGAGAACGCGCGTGCATACATGATACAGCCGCACCGATGTAGTCAAGGCAGAGGAGGCTGGTTGACTGCCGTATCTAAGGTGAATGGAATCAACAGCATAAGAGTGTGGATTGACAATTGCACTAGACCTTGAACAATTGATCGATTGATCGATTAGATTTACCATAAGCATTTTACATATGTCCAAAAATAAATTATGTGAAGCCCATAATGCATAACCCGTATCCAGTAATTCGTATATACAAATGCTGCCTTTCCTGGGCTTTTTCGCAACGTGCCATGCATAACAGAATCTTCAGCGTTTACTCCGGACCGTAATAGAGAATGCTGAATCCGAAGAGTGAATATAAACGTTGCTAGGACGGAAAATTTGTGAGGTGAGGTGACAATGTCGCAAAAGAAGGTGACGTGAGTGTTAGGTTTCGAAATCCTGTTAATAACTCAGGAGGAAGCGAACATTCTGAAGAATGCGCAGATCAACGGTGATTCGCTGATGCTTTTCGTTCTCGTACATGGTAATTGGTGACATCTCCTCTCGCAAGTCAGTGTTTCGCAAAAACCACTAGCAAGCATCACCAACAGGTTCGTCCCTAAGGGAGAGTATAGCCGTCGGAAGACCGATTTGGTGACTGTTTTCACTCCTGCGAAGGTTAGGTCTGTCGGCTTTTTCGAGTAGACACATGAGACGGCATAAGTGCGAATGACGGTGCTGTTTCGAGCTCCTTATACTTGGTTTGCACATACCACGGTACTTTGGGTACGCAAATTTGAAGAAGTGAGGAATTGAATGTATGTAGAGCCTCCAGGCGGAGGACTTCTTCTGATTTGGAGATCACTCCATTTTCTTCTCCTCTTCTTCAGGTCTCTTCTGGCCATCTGGCGAGGCTTTGATAGGAACAGGCTTCCTCAGGACTGGGCCTTCGGTAGCATCCGGCTTAGCTTCAATGCCAGACGCCTTCTCGGCATCTGCAACGTCGTTTGCCGGGTCAATTTGAGTGACAATTGGAATCTCGCCAGTCTCGGAGGCCTTTTCTACCTCTTTTGGGCTGTCTGATGGCAGACTCATTGGGACCGCTTGTGCGAAATCTTTTGCTTCCCTTACAGTATTAAAACGACTGAGAGGCGCTGACTCGTCGCTTGTTGCTTCTTGAAATCGCGTCTGCCAGGTGTCACTATCCTGCCTTTTCACTAACGGGCGATTGCCGCCTGACCAACTCCGTGCAGGCAACGTGGAAACCGGGCTGTCCGTAAAAGTTGGGCTCGCCATATTCGTATCGGTCGGAGACATATGCGGTAAGACGGGACTTTCAATCGAGTCGTCACTTCCTTTGCGATAAGACTGGGGTCGTGAGTCATCAGAATTGTAGCGTTTGTGAAAGTTCCCGATTCCTAATCCATCGCGGGAGAAGCCGGACTCGGATTCAGAAGAATCCATGCGGTAGGACTGAGGCCTTTCTTTAGCGGGCTCAGGTGATGGGTTGGCGATACCACGAAGACTTGGAGAAGGTAGCTCTGCACTTGGATCTGGAGTTGGAAGCTCTGGCTTGTGGAAATGCTCTGGGGAGGATAGCTCTGATCGAAAATTGGAGAGACCGGGAGATGGCAGCTCTGACCGTGGCTCAGGAGTTGATAGCTCTGATCTTGGAAACGGATGGCCAGGAAGCTCGTGTCTTCGAGATGGACCTGCCTCTTCGCCCATCTCTTGCATGTTGTTGGGTGGTGTCATTGGCCCTTCATTGACGCCTATGCTGTACGGAGGCTTCTTATGCTCAGGGCTATCCTCATACGAAGTACGTGCCGTGGAATCGGAGGTCTCTTTGATATCTTCTTGAGGGACTTCCACGTGTTCGTGGGCAGCCTCCCTTCTGCGACGGCTCCGTCTGCGCAAGCAGAGCCAGGCTACTACAACTATGATGATACCGACAATAGCTATGGCGATGGCGAGACCTGCAATAGCGCCTGTCCCAATCTTATTTGAGCCGCCGCTCTTAGTCTTAGTAACTCCCGTTGGCGCGGCCGGGTTTCCTCCCGTATTATTTGCGTTGATCGAGACGATATGACTCGGAGCATTTGAATCAAATACCGCTTGCGAGACGGTGAAAGTTGACTGCTCGTAATTCGTCACCATATACGCCTCCTGGAAGAATGTACGGCCAAGGGTAAATGAGCTGTCGTCCGGCGCCCTTTGTAATGGAAAATATCGCGAATTATTCTTTACCAAAGGAGGTTGAGCAGTCAGGTCGAAAGCTGCATAAGGCAGCGTCACATTAGCGGCTGACCCACCACCGGTAGCCGAGTTCGCCAGAGAGAATGTGACGGATGGGTTGGCCTTCACTAAATTGTCATGTAGGGTGTCATTCACCAAGTAAAGGTTACGGATTGGGTCCCATGATATGCCAAAAGCTTTCTCAAAAGCGTCACAGGAAGATTTTGGTAGCCAGAGATAGGGAACCGTCGAATCTATCAGAGCAAGGACACCTTCCTTAAGCAACGATGTTTCGCTTGTCCCATCTGAGTATGATATTGCTTGCAAGCCAACAACTAGCTGACGGCTAGCCGTTGAAGCGAAGGTGAATGACACATCGTTTGGTTTGTACCTTGAAGTATCATGGCCTCCAAGGGTCAAGCTAGCCTTTCCGGCCTCTTTTTCTACTCCACATTAGCGACGTTAGACCCCTGAGAATTGGAACACCTACGGTATGGTGCACCGGCAGTATAGCCCCACGACAGGCTCGGGATCATGTCCTTCTCCTTCAAGGAACTCAGCAGTGATGAAGACGAATCATCTGAGTTCGTGAAGTTGACGGTCTGAGGATTGAGTCCGAGGACTCCGAGGTAGAAGTCGTGAGTACCGGTAGCAGCGATGACTTGATGATCCATTGTCACGTTGTCACCTGCTGCTCCCTTGAGTACCACTGTGTCAAAACCATATGTGCCATTGTTTTCATTCCCACCGTAGCCGAGATTGGCGGCCTCATTCAACTGGTACAAATCTTTCCTGAACCAACTCGATGATTTCTCGCTATCGTAAAGACCTCCTCTCGCCTCAGTACAGTTTGCAACGTCATCGTCGGTGCAGCCGTTTGTCGAAATTGCCCACGACGAGGGCTGTTGGGTAGAAGGGACGAATTGGAGTGTTTGCGGTGGCGTGCCGACATCAACGGCGAAGGCTGCCCATGGACCATCATTCCCAAGACTACATTGCAACAGCGAAATCAGTAGATGCGACCGGTGACTGTAGATTGACAAGTTCTCAACGAGCGAGTTCAGCTTACAATTGCCCGCTCGGTTCCACCACGATGGGCGCTGGTTCAGTAGGCATCTTCACCCCACAAAACGACGATTACAATCCAAAGTCCCCGCACGTTGATAATGTGACTATTGCGACCGTGGGAGAGACGTTGTTCAAGCAAGAAAAGAAAATTGCAGAAACCCCGAGTGGAAGAGTCCACTGCAAGAGGTAGGGCAGCAGCGGTGAAGCACAGACGTGGGACCCGCAGGGCTATAGCATTAAAAGGTTATGGTCCTTTACATGCATAATAATGTCTCCGCGCTAAGTTTTAGATATTAATAAGATCTCGAGAGCATGAGGAAAACAAGACAGTAGAAGGCACGGCAGTCAGCGGATGAGGCGTCCATCTCGATGTGGTGCTCTGATGGGTAAAGCCGATGAGACTCAGAAGGCCATCCACGCGGGCGTAGAAGAATCGAACAGTCTGGAGCTGCGGCATTGACACACTCGCCCAATAATCCGTGGGTGGTTTCCGCAACTAAGCACAAAGCGGATGGCGTCGATGCATGTCAGGTCGCTCGCATATAAATACCTGCCGATGTACTGTTGCGACTGGCACAGCACCTCCGCTGTTTGCAGCAGAGCCATTTGATTTTCTCATTTCCATTTCCGATCAAAATCAGATACGTCTTCGTCGCACTTGTCCCAGCAGTCGTCCAGACCTTGCGATCTTCGCAAGTGTGCCAGTCCGCCGGGTGGTTTGCGTCGCATGGTTGCTTGCTAGGGAGAGCTATCTTGCATGTGGCTTGAGATCTGCTGCCGAGATAAGAAAGGTCTCTTGACTTTCCACCAGTGAGGCCGAAGGAGGTGTAGGATGGGCTGCCTGAGTTGGATGACCGACCATGGAAAAGTCAAAGAAGAGGTGAAAGTCAATAAATCGGGGTGGAAATGGGTGAAGTTGCAGGTCCAGACGAGCGAGAAGGCTGAGAATGGAGGTTAGCAGCAGTTACCAGCCATGCAGCGGAAGGGTGAGTAAGCGCTAAGGATGACCCCGCTTACCCCACCGTCAACGACTATCGACGCAGCATCTGCCCAACTTCTGGTCTAAGGATTGTGCCAACTAGACGCTATCATCCTTCGCTCTGCACGTCGGTTGCTCTGACCAAGCACTACCCACGCTGAGAGTCTGGTGCAATTCACGTGCCAATGAACGGTGTTTGCGAATACTGTGGCCTGCATTAGTCCCTTTCACCTATTCGCAAACACTACTCAGCCTGCTGGGATGGATTCACTCACCGCAAAACCTCTCGGCTGCCGGCATCCTAACGCGCAATAGGAAGGTGAATGGCCACCAAACTGCCCTCGCTCTTCATAAGCGGGCCGATGACGTTGAACCATAGGCGCTGGGAGTGGTCGCACGGAAGACTTTCAAGGCCAAGTGGTCCAGCTGTCAAGGGTCCGACCTAGGAGCCTTTTGGCGAACCCTGCTAAAGGATCCTATTCACTTTGGAACTATCCAGGATCTCAATTTGGCCATCGACAGGCTGCATGGCTTTTCGGGGTGGCGCCCCAAGTACCTGAAAGCCTCTGACGATCTCTGCACGTAGCTGTGAGCTTCGGCCGTGTTTGCGGCCACCAGTTTAAGAGAGCTTCCCCCAAATATCTCGTAGCTTCCTCTTCCACATCGTAGCTGATCTGTCTTGTCCCTGCTGTCGTTCACAGTTTGTAATCAGCCACAGTATCACTAAGACACCATGGCATCACTCTCGTTCGTCCGACTTCTGACCTTGAGTGCCACTTTGTATCATATTGTCTTCGCTGTACCACAAGCTCCTCTCGAAGCAGCCACGCAGTCATCCACTTTCTTGCCACCGGCACAACAAGCCAACGCGCCTGTATCAGGTAATGGATGCAATGAATGCCAGCTAGTCGCTGATGTCGCCGGGCTCGTGTGGTACTCGCAAGTATTTCTCAACACCGCAGCAACGAACGTAGTCCAAGTCGGTGTGAACAACGCTTCTCGAACGACCCGGACGTCAATCATTCAAAATGAAGGAGAATTCACATACGCCCCAGGCGGTGACGCGAATGGAGGGCAAGCGTTGACACAACTCAACTATGAACCAAGCGTGACGGTGGCGGGAGCAGTTCTGTATGCTCCGACAATTCTTGCTACCAAAAGAAGGAAATGCTGATGACATGAACTCAGAACCTCACCTACGGCTTATAATGTATTCACCGGTTATACAATCACCTCTGCTTTCCTTTCCGATGGTCAATGCGTGACGACGAGCCAATCGAGCTCACTAGCAAGTGCATACTCGGAGATTCTCTCTTCAGCAAATGGCAGGGTAATCTTAGATGTCAACGGACAGTCGGATTTCCTCAGTTTCCTCGGCTTTGTCACTTGCTCTGGGGGCGGTGAGAATATTCAGCCGACGGCGCTGCTCCAAGTCTCGAACACGACGGCGACGTCAACGACTACCTTTTCGGGTATCATGGCAGCTCAGAGTGTGAGCTTGTCCATTGCGTCGGTAAGTGTCGCCTGCTCCAATAGCATCGTTTGCGACTTGCGCTAATATTTTTTGGCTCAGTCAACGCCGGCCTCTGCGTCTGCAAGCGTGACGGCAAACGTAACGTTCCCATCAGTTGGCGTGCCCAACATTGTAATTGGAAACACAACAATCACACCAAGCGCCAATCCCATCGGCTTGCCCGTGTACAACGGCACTACGTTTGCTGGAAGTGGGACTGGCGGACTTCAACCCGTACCGACTGGACCAGTCACGCCTTTCGTAGCAGCAGCCAACACTTTGGGGAGAGCGGACGGGTGGCTTGTGGCCTGGATCGTGGGCTCGATCGGAGTTGGCGCGCTCGTGATCTATCTGTAGTATATTGGAATGAGTCGATCATTAGATGAGGTCGACCAAATAGCAACAAGACGTGCATGACGACACGTGTAATGCTAATATAATGAACATGATACCATCATTAAATGAATTAAATACAATTTCATACTCATCTGTCACATTCCTGTTCATTTTCGAGTTCAAAATGGAAGATTAACAATATATGTGAGGAAAAGCCACCTCATTCAGGGGGGGACGATGAAATTCGAGACTCCCAAATCGGAAGGGCGGCCCGCCACCGCCGCTTCCGTTCCATTTTCAGTATCGAAACGGTGAAACCCTGTTAATCGTATTCTATGTACCGCAATGCCTCCAACAGCCCCACGAATACTACCCAGTCCTTCGTCATCTATCCCATGGATCTGCAAAAGCTGCTCAAAAAGTTTGATCCACCCGCCACAAGCGTGGTCACGAGCACTCTCCACCATCACCTCTCCTCGATCCGTCCCATCTCTCTACAGATCCCCCACCAAACCAACTTCCTGCCAAAGAATTTCTCCGACCCCAAGCCGGCTCTCCAGCATCGACTCTCATCCAGACGCCTACCCCGCCCGTACGCCATTGACAGACAAACTCTCAGCCTTCCCTCTCTCAATCGAGAAATACCACGCCCTTAGCGACGCCTACATTGAAAGCCTACTCTCAGAATTAGAAGAACTGCAAGAAGAGCGCGAGGATATCGATGTCGAATACTCTGTTCGTTCCTCCAATCCTTCTTAGCCTCTCCCCCCTATATTTCTGTCCCCTCCTTCCCTCGCCCTTACCTGCCCCAACGCCTCAGAAGCAAGATCTACGTACCCATTTGACTCGTACTGTGCTAACGCCAGTCAACCAGGCCGGCGTCCTAACCTTCCTCTTTCCCCCACTAGGGACCTATGTCCTGAACAAGCAACCGCCGAACAAGCAGATATGGCTGAGTAGTCCCGTCAGTGGGCCCAAGAGGTACGATTGGGTCGCGAAGGAAGAAAGCGGAGATGAGGGAAGATGGGTCTACTTGCGAGATGGGAGCACGCTGGATCAGATTTGGGAGAAGGAGGTAGATGTGGTAGTTGGCGGAGGGGGGTGCCGGGCAAGTGAAGACTGAAGGAGAAAGAGATGGGACAGGGTTTGGAGAGTGGTACAGGTGGGATCAGGCAGGGATCTTTGGAAAGCGTTCAAGCGAGCATATATACCCATGCTACAGACTATCAGCATCGTACAGAAGATTTCCTCGGACTTAAACATCTAGTGCTCCTCCAGTCGTTGCTGCCGCCTGTGAACACTAAAAGTATGACAGCCGCAACGGTCCCAGTCAGCATTTCGAGCGGCTTGAAACATTGTCCGTTGGCAAAGTACCCTATGTCTCTATCAGATCCTCGTTCTGCTCCCCCCATTTTGCGCTTCACCATTGGCCTGTTTCCCGTCCTCCCGATCCTCGCCATCTCTCGTATCCTTGTTTCCCCTCTTCCCCTTTCCACTTCTTTGATAGAACTCATCTAGCACCTTCTTTGGAATCCGGTTTAGTAGTTCTTTGGGATAGATTCTGAGCAAGCTCCAAGCGAGATCTATACTTTCAAATATCGTCCGACTTTCATACGCGCTCTGAGAGATGAATTGCTTCTCGAATTTCTCCAAAAACTCCAAGGAAAGCTTGTCCTCACTTGAGAGTGCTTCCTCGCCAACGACTGCTTTCATGCTTGCTGCGTCTTTCCCAATAGCGTATTTAGCATAGAGTTGGTTGGAGACATCGCCATGGTCTTTTCGGGTAAGACCTTCGCCAATAGCGGATTTCATGAGGCGGGAGAGTGAGGGCAAGACGTTGATGGGTGGGTATATACCTTTGTTGTGCAGTTGTCGGTCGACAAATATCTGTCCTTCGGTGATATAGCCAGTCAAGTCGGGGATAGGATGGGTAATATCTAGTATTTCAATCAGCGGGGCAGAACTGTCGAACCACGAAGAAAGACGTACCATCATTAGGCATAGACAAAATTGGAATTTGGGTAATCGAGCCGTTTCGACCCTCTACACGACCAGCCCGCTCGTAGATCGTTGATAAATCTGTGTACATGTAACCTGGATACCCTCGACGTCCTGGAACTTCTTCTCGAGCAGCAGAAACTTCTCGGAGAGCGTCACAGTATGAAGAAAGATCAGTCAGGATGACGAGGACATGCTTTTCTAGTTGATAGGCGAAGTATTCGGCCGTGGTAAGTGCGAGGCGTGGTGTAATAATACGTTCAATCCTGGTGTTTTCAGTAAAGCAGTGAAAGAACGGGGTAGATCTGCATACGTTGGGTCGTTGGCCTGATTCAGGAAGAGTGTGACTCGCTCCATGCTGCCATTTTCCTCAAAGTCTCGTGTAAAAAATCGACTTGTCTCCATATTGACACCCATAGCAGCAAAAACAATAGAAAAGTTCTCCTCATGACCGTCGTGCACTCCTTTGTTCGGTTGCTTGACCAGACCAGCTTGTCGACATATCTGAGCAGCGATTTCGTTGTGCGGTAGACCAGCAGCTGAGAATATGGGAATCTTTTGCCCGCGAGCAATGGAATTCATTGTGTCTATGGCTGATATGCCTGTGGCAATCATCTCTTCCGGATACACCTAGCACCAAATTCAGCTTGCCAAAGGACACTTGAAGCTGTTGTACCTACTCGAGAGTAAGGATTAATGGGACTACCATTGATATCTAGGTAGTCTTCTGCTAGGACCTTTGGCCCTTTGTCGATAGCCTGTCCCGATCCATTGAACACTCGGCCAAGCATATCTTCAGAAACGCCGATCTTGAGATTGTGTCCAGTGAACTCGACTTTTGTCTACCACATATGAGCCAAATCGATGATATGACTTATGCAGGCATTGCACCTTCTTGACATCGATGCCTGATGTCCCTTCAAAAACCTAGTACTCTTCAGCGCTAAGGTGGCCAGGGCGGCCTGGAGGATGTGCAGACCTGGACGACGGCGCGACTTCCTGTAATCGCAGTCAGCAGACGGCCTCGTAGACTGCGTGTAACTGGTTTCTCATACCTCGAGCCTCAAGGACCTGTCCAGATCTTTCGGTGCCATCAGGTAATGTCAAGGACACGATTTCATTATATCTTGGGAATTTGACCTAGCCACAACCAAATCAGGACAAGTCACATATTGAATGAATATCACAGGGTTCTTACATTGTCAAGAATGACTAGTGGTCCGTTAACGCCTCCAACTGTGTTGTATCGAATTCGAGGATGCAAGGCCATGCGAGGATCCTTTACGTCGCCTTTCGCCATATTCGCAGACTGGATTTAGCGCTCAGAGGTAGTAAAGATTTACTGAGCAATGAGATGGATATCCGCACACAAGCAACTAAGAAATTACTGCAGCGCCCTTACAATGGGGAAAACATGGCGGAGCTCGTCGTGATCTAGATCTTTGCCGCTAATTCTAGCTCTATCAAGTCTTGGCAGTTCCTCGGAGTTGGTTTATCTGAGCATGAATTTGATGGGCCTTTACGCTTTTGTATGACATCTTTTGGCTCTACATTGTGCAGTCCAAAGAGGGCGGATGTAAAGGTTGTCATTCTTTGACAGCTCATTTATAAATACACACTATTCTCATATAATACAGCGTCAGAGTAGATGTCTCAACATGAGACCATAGGAGCGGCTTTTCTGTCCAGGCAGGTCCCAAAACAAATATACAAGATGCCTCCCGAAATGCAATCGTGAGCCTCAGCTTCGTCATAAGTAGTAATAAAAGCACTCCTCGCCGATTATGTCCAACATTGACGCCTTCGCTGAATCGCAATATTTACCCCAAGTCCAAAGCGTGTTGGTGGGCCGCTCTAACCATTAGGCCTTCCCTTCTTTCCACCGCCAGGCCTGGGGCTTTGCTTGACTTTAGCCGTTCCAACACCGTTCACCGTTGGAGCGTTGATCTCATCCTCATTGACACCACTTGGTCGCCTTCGCTTGCCGGCGGCGACATTCGGACTAGCATTGGCGGAACCTGCAGGAGCAGATGGCGTACCTGCTGCGCTTGGGTTGGTGCCCTGAAGTGATGCTTGATGCGACATTGGTATGCCTGTAGGAGCAGCCATTACACCAGGGCCGGGTTGTCCCTGCTGGCTCTGAAGATGCATGTTTTGCATCGCGGGGGTGTTGTGATTCGAGAGAGTCGCAGGCGATGCCGTTTGGGTGCCTGGAAGATTGGGGTGATTAGGATGTGCAGGAGATAGGAAATGGTTGGGTGGCGCACCGCCAAATTGAGGTGGTCCTTGGCCTTGCATGTGCGGAGGCAAATTAGGATTAAATGGCTGCTGTTGCACTTGCTGAGGCATCTGTGGATTGGCAAATTGCGAATTTGTACAAACGATGCGTAGGGCGTCTGACGCTGGGATGTTGGCGCCGTTCTTCTGCGAGAACTTGAAGACATCGTTCATAGTGGACATAGTGTCAACGAGCTCACAGACTTCGATAACAGAATTTAAAGTGCCGTAATCGTTGACAGCCGATTTGGGCACTGGAGCGACCGGCTGCTGAGGTCGGCTGGCAGCAGCTTGCTGCTTTTGCTGTGCTCGTTTGCCTGCGGTCTTGCTCATTGATGGTGACTGCTTGATGTCGGGCGGTTCAGTCTGATTTTGCTCGAGTCCTGAGCGCGGCACATATTCGGAATATTCGCTTACGACCATTTCGAGCATGTCAAGTTGATCTTCGCTGTTGAACTGCGCGCGTAGCATTCCATTGGAAACAAGCTGTAGCTCATCAGCTCTGGCTCAGATCTCGAGTCTATGTGACCTACCTGATGTCCGTTATCGAAGTAATAAGTCATAGAGGCTCTTTGACTCTCAGCCACGCGACCACCGTTCTGGGATCCTCTCTCTCGCGGCGACTCGAAATGCAGCTGTATATGGCTGATACCACTCGTGAAGTGTGTCAAGAGGTAACGAGGGATCGTGGCGTATGGCAGCTCGAAATGTTTATGTTCTTGTATAAGGGACCCCCAATAACCCATACGGAATGTCCCCTCGTCCGCGAAGAATTGATCGGTGAAAGCCTGCCAGTAGGTGATATCCTTCGTCCTGCCTTGGTCCTGTGTAAACTGTTAGAAACCTGATATAATATGTTCCGTGATTTACTCACATATGCTTGGCTGAGGAGATCACCAAAGTTGCGAAGCAATGTGCTGCAGTGGGGTCTGTTTTGTTGCATCCTGTTTTGCATTATTCGTTGATTCATTGCCGCCACCTGCTGCTGCTGCACTTGCTGTTGCTGAGCTTGTTGCGCTTGTCGCTGCTGCTGCGTCTGCTGCTGGTTTTGGGGTTGTTGTTGGCCTTGCTGAGATTGCTGGTGTTGCTGGGACTGATTTGGCTGGACATTTGCTTGCTGGCCCTGGGGTTGCGGTTGCTGTTGCGTAGCTTGCTGCTGCTGCTGAGCCTGTTGCTGTTGTATTTGCGGATGTCCTTGGTTTTGTTGCTGTTGAGCCAACTGCACTTGCTGCTGGGCATGCTCCCGAGCTTGGGTATCTTGTCCTCCTTGGCTCTGCGGTGTGGGCATTTGTGGCTGGGGCGTCGGCTGCGGAGTACCTGCTTGGGTGACAGCTTGTTGTTGCAAGGCAGCCTGTTGAGCCTGTTGAGCAGCAAGAGCTTGCTGACGCTGGGCTTGTTGTTGCTGTTGCTGTTGCTGCTGTGCTTGATGTTGCTGCTGTTGCTGCTGGGCGTTTTGCTGGGCATTTTGCTGTTGTTGCTGCTGCTGCTGCTGCTGCTGCTGCTGCTGCTGCTGCTGTTGAGCTTGCTGCTGCTGTTGAGCTTGCTGCTGCTGTTGAGCTTGCTGCTGCTGTTGAGCTTGCTGCTGCTGTTGAGCTTGCTGTTGCTGTTGAGCTGCCTGCTGCTGGGCAGCTTGTTGCTGCTGTTGCTGAGCATGTATCTGAGCAGCTTGTTGCTGCTGGTGATGTGCACGCATTTGGGCAGCGGCTGCTTGTTGTTGTTGTAAATGTGTCGCCTGCTGCGCCTGCTGTCGGAGATGAGGTGGAAGATTTGGCATTGCGGGGTTTGCTTGAAAGAATTGATGACCCATCTGGTTGGTGGGCATTCCGCCGTTCTGTTGCTGTTGCTGCATCAACTGCTGTTGCTGTTGCTGTTGCTGCAATTGGCGTTGCTGCAGAAGATGCTGCTGACGACGCTGTGCATCTACTTGAGGATTCACTATAAATAGGATGTCAGCTTTCATTCAACCCCAAGCGATTCGAGCTATGGATGAAAAGCAAAACGCTCGCAATTGAAGAGAAACAACTGTCAGCGCCCAGAATCTGTCAAGTTTTCACCGAAATGGAAACAAAGTGACATTCCCAGTCTTTGACTATTTGGAAAAGATGCAAATACAGGTCAAACATAGGGTAAGTACCGCGCCCCGCCACTTAGACAGATAGTAGAAAGCAAGCTTTGGAGTATATGTTCGAAGCAAACAAGACAGAATAGATGGATTACACGTACTCCCCATCTGTTGGCCTGGAAAAATCCCATTCTGGTTCGGATTTAAATGCTGCATGGCATGCGCATTAGGATGGCCGGTAGGAGCTCCTGGTGGTGCTCCTCCTGGCACCATTCCCATCATAGGTCCGGCTTGGGTGACTTGAGGCATGCCCGGTCCCGCCATCCCGGGGTGCATTGGCTGTCCCATTGTAACTCCTGGCTGCCCTCCAGCTGGTATGCCTTGGTTTGAGGGGTGGTGGGCCATCGGCTGTCCTCCAGGAGGGATGCCAGCCATCCCGGGAGTGAAGGGCTGTGTCATGCTTGCCATCATGGCAGTCCGCTCGTCTAAGGATCACGTTGCCCTTGCGATAAGAGATTCGGATCCCTCCCAAGGTGGTGGAGGGTATAGCGGATGCCTCCCGATACACAGCATGCGGCAGGATTGCTTGCCTTCTGCAGGTCTTCTCTGTGTCGCGGCCCACCTAAAGCTTTGACATTTGGTGCTCTCGCAATATTACTCTCGTGGAAATTCCCCCCAAATGCCCCGAGTGTGGAGAGCACAATCCTTCCAGTGCGTGATGTGACACAAACCTAAATCATTGTTGAATGGTCCGTCCTTATGTCCAGAGTGCGTACAATTATGAGCAGGAAGCCTATATGCTTGGCCCTAGTATAATGGTGAGGCAAGACCTATCGAAGCCGCGAATTCGTCTTCAGGCAGCTAAAAGGGTCTTGAAGTAGCGAACTACGATTTGAGGGCTGTTTGAATGGGGCCTATCGTATTCTCTCCTCGTCTTTTCTTTCTATTGCCAGGTATCGGTCGTCCTTCGACTTTGCGACACTAAGACGAGTGGGGGGGCTGGGTATAAGACTTGACGATCGCAGGCAGGGGATTCTGGTCCTTGGAAGATCGCAAAATCCCTTTTGATAGGGTTCGTATTGCGTCGGATGCTTTGGAAGGCGCTGTGAATCATGGTAAGAGGGAAAGGCCAGTCTTCTCACACGCATGGGTCGTCGGTTTGACCCAAAGCGATGGGGACAGGCCAATCACGGTTGAGTAACGTCCGTAGGGCTGAATTAGCCCCCACCACACAATCTCTTCGGTCCCACTCTATAAAATTTACAGAATCTCCCTCCTCTACAATTAACCAGATCATCTCACCTCTTGCTTGGACCTCAAGGTACGTAGCAGTCTTCTCTTGCCCTCCAACACACATCTTTGGAACGATGACAACCTTCAACAAGTCTTCTTTTCCCAGCTGACTCGACCTTGATTGAGACTTTCTCTGGACGACCGTTCCCCGGTCGTCTGTCACTTGCCAGTGCCTTTGTCTGACCTACACTTATTCTATCTACCTTTGAACATCTTGCTAGTCACACTCCATAATTATGTGCTGACGACGTAATCAGGACATAGGTTTCTTTTGGATTGGGCCACCTCTATGGAATCCTGAATGCTAGCACGCAAATGATGATTTGGAAACAAAGAGGTGAGCCTCCCCAAAATTCTGCCTCGACTTGCAGCGTTCTACCTGATACTCTCTCTCTCTCATGATGAAATACTCCATACATTCGCAGTTTCCACGCGAGATGGCGCACGAACCTAATAAGTCGCCAGTCTATCATGTGCGCATTCAATTATGCTTTCCTTGGAAGTCTGATTGAGAGATAGTTCTATCTTATTAATCAGCTATCAGTCTTGTTTGGCAGCTTTCACCCTTTGTACAAGTTGCTGATATTCATGTCTACAGATTGAAGGGCTGGAAACAGGCTTTTCCACGCAAGCAGCCTTGATACAAAGTGCTCACCAAAAGGTCAGTCAAATAATATGCCATTGTTTAAGCAACGTGATTAAGGCTCCTATGGAATGTCCACAATTTGTGCAAGCACAATACCATCCCCACCTGTAGCACCATCCGCAAGTTGCAATGTGAAGCCATCTTTTTATCCCGCGCTAGGTCTCAAGCTGTGTTGTACATAGTTATCAATTAGAAAAGACGATCCACCACAAGAACCCTTTGTAGACTTCCCTCAAACGTAATCGCATCTCCTGCAAGAGTACATACGTTCCGAAGCAGAGCAACATTCCAGAGCAATGTTGCAACTACGCACCATAGAGCTCAAATGACAGCAACCTCAGCATATGCACATGTCGGTCCAACGCAGTCATCTTGTTACTGGAAGGTGCGATCTTGTTTTATCACAACTTGGACGCAGGGCAGAATCTTACTAGTCTTGCATTTGTAGTATGCCGATGCCCTCCTAACGTTGACGGAGACCTCTCCAAAATGCGCAACGAATCACATATTTCTCATTTGGACAAATGCTTGCGGTGAAGAGCGAACAATTTCGATGGTATCATATGATTGTCACGCAAATACGGACGACCCCAACAATGCCGATCTCTCAGTGGCCCTGATCAGGTGTGAAGCGCGCATGCGATTAGCATTCTGAGAGTTGCGTGGATAGCCAAGAGCACAGCCAGATTTTGAGAGATAAGACGACATCGAATCATAACAGAGCATTCGCAGCAACGGTCACCCGTAACCACTGACAACAGCGGGCAGAGAACGCATCACGAGTAAGAAGGCCCAGGAGCGCCATAGGACGGAGCAGACGGATTCTGTTGGGCTTGCTTGCCCTGAGTACTTGCGTACCACAATGCAACATAGTTCTGATAGCCTCCGTAAGCGGCATATGCCTCGTGCCCACCAGGAGGCTCGCTTTCTTCGAGAAGCGGTTGTGATTGTGGAATTGGAACCTCCCTAGGAATGTTTGAGATGTGGGGTGAGTCAATACGAGGCGCTTGGCCTCCATTACGGCTGTTGTTCTTCTCCTTCTGTAACGAATTAGCTACAGAACTGACAATGAACTGGATCACAACAAACCACAGCGCGAACTTTCTCCATTATGGCGGCTTTTGCCTGCTCAATCGATGTACGTGAGCCTATCAGCTCAATGTCACGTTGGACATCTCGTCCAGATGGTTGTGAAACATTGATTTTACAGCTCGTCACATCTTGCATATCACGCACAGACTCCCCACCTTTGCCGATGATCATGCCAACAGCTTCGGATGGCACAAGGATGTTGACGGTTGTCTTCTCGTTGCCGCCACGGATCCCTAAAGCCATTGCGTTCACGCCTTCTCTGGAGGCGGCTGTTTCCTGCGGAAGAGCTTTGGAATCGTTATGAACAATATCCATGATAATGTTGCGAGCTATGCCGGCCTGTTGTGAAGTACCAATCAGATGAATTGGTCTCATTCCATTGACATTTTGATCTTCGGGCATGATGTTCACATGGCAATGGCTCCGATCCTGGATACTTTTGATGCTTTCGCCGCCCTTGCCAATAATCAATCCGACGGTCTTGCTTGGGACCATGATAACGAGGGTATTTCCTTCTTTGGCAGCAGGAGAGTTTCGCGCCCCGTTCAGAGAAGCCTCGAGATTCCGGCCAGGCGGGGGAGGTGCTCTACTTGAACTGACATTGGCTGCATGGTCATGCTCTTCCATCGTGCGGTTGATTTCATTGATAGCATTCTCAATTGCCTCTCTGCTGCCGGTGATTGTGCATCGACGCATCAGGCCCTTGCTTTCAGCAGCTGGAGCAAATTGGATTCTTGTTCGCGTATTAGCTTCGAGCTTTCTCATATTTTCACCTTGCCGTCCAATGACCAAGCCCACCGAGGATGAGTCTATCATCACAGCCTCCGTATGAGTATCATTGCCAGATGACGAACCAGGGCCAGAGATGCGTCTACCTGTCAAAGGCGATTGCCGCTGCTTGGAGGAATCTCGCAGGACTGGAGACATATCACGCACGCGAGCTACTTGCGGATCAATCCAGCGGTCTGCACGGTATGAGTCTTGGCCACTGTGGTAGTGATCTATGCTTGATCGTAATGGAGATCTAGATCGCGATCTTCTTGGAGCATACCCGGATTGGGGGTTAACAGCATGATACGATGGTCTTGCGGCAGGCACGCTCTCAAGGTTCACCGAACCCGAACTGACGGGCTTTATATCATAAAGATTTATCATTCCCGAGCCTTTGGGTTGGGGCATAACAGATGGCTGCGGAACCTGATATGGTGGAGGATATGACGGCTGCGGTTGAGGGTGAGGAGGATATTGAGGCAGAAATGGCTGGGATTGGGGCTGTTGTGGCATTGGGGGATAAATTGGTCGAGCATTCGGCTGCTGTCCACCTATCAATGGGTCACTTAGTGAGTCCAAGACCAGCGACTAGACAACAGAATCAAACATACCTAGATTAGCTAGGATGGAGGAGATGTTGGGCTGCCCTGCCATGATTGTAACACAGCTACTTCGCACAGAAAATACCAACACGCAAATACAAGTCCTGCAATCTTGCAAATACTCAGTGGTCAGTAATGCATGAGACCGATCTTATTCATCAGTCGGATTTTCGTCGCATTTGATAAACGTCCAGAGTCTTGGGTCTGAACTTAGGAACAACAAGGACAGCTCATTTTAAAAGGATTTTGAACCGCGCTTACTGCGGCTAAATCGCCATACCGTCTGAGTTTGCCGTAATCTTGTCTGTCAACTGCAAGCGTCTCCGTGTAGACACAATTGAAAGCCGAGATGTCAATTCGCTCAGCCTGATATGTCTTTTGGGACGCTCGTATGGGTCTGGTGTAGGCCGCAATCGATCCAGTCCCAAGTCTACAATATTGAAAACTTGACAAGCGGCAACTGCTTTACTTCAGCCTTGATTCGAATTTACTCTTGTGCTGCATCTCGGTTCCATTTGGTCTAGAATCTGCATCTCGCACACGTGCCTGCGAGAAGCTCATGGGTGAATGGATCATACCAGCTCTTTTGAGCGGCCATTTCATTTCACTCTTCCTACATTCATGATCATGCGTTGCCTCGTTTGAGGTTATTGACGTGCGATCCTCGTCCTACTAGATAAAATTTAGGTTCTTGACCCTTCCTATGGTCTCAAAGCAAGGCCATCACAGAGCTTTGATGATCTTTTCGATAGAACCACACGCAATAGCTTGGTGCGGGAAACTTTGGCGTCTCTTTGCAATGTCTTTACAGCAATGCAGTTTGCAGAGATTTCTTTCACGTGAGTTTTCTTCTTCGGTATTACTATCTCTTCAAGCATGAAGAGTTCCACAGCGTTCCCCAGAAGACGCCTCTACCTTTGTGCATACTTCAAGATATTTGACTATCTTGTATCCTTGTCTGGAATCAAGTTTCCAGTTCATCGAGATTCAATGACGGTGCAACTACGGTGTAGCAACGAGGTCGAACTCTACGCTGCTGTTTCAGTCGGTTGTCATCTGGAGGTCAGACGACTGAACAATCATGGGGACTTGCTTGTCGATTCCACTCATACTTTGGGGGCACATTACGCCAGAGTCCTATAATTTCAAATGCTAGGTAAAGCGATTTGCTTGACGGACGGCACCCTGGCTTCTTGGAATCAAATGACTTAGAAGGTCATGACTGATTCAGTGAGCGAAAGGAACAGAGGCAGTGTGAATACATAGTTTTCCTACAGGTACAAGAAAATTTATTTATCAATATTGTCACATGTTGGAACAATCCATTCATCTCGACCATCCAACATGCACAAATCAATCTACAACATCCACTTCACTTAAGACGTCCCGTTCACATCAAGCAGTCGTCGTAAGATCTGATAGTTAGTAGCGAAGCGCTCTCGTATACTTTGAGCGCTGTAACTTGCAGTGTTCCAGTATACCGCAGAACCATTATGCGTACGTAGAGCAACCTGTCGGCCACAAAGTCTCCATCTACTTTCTGATTCCAGTGATATTACAGAGCGAAGAATGTTCCTAGCATGGGGGTTGCCGGGCACAGCCTTATCTTATCGCCCTTAATGTCATTAATGCTGCTACTCCATTCAGGAGAGGGACAGACGATAAAATGTTACGCGTCTCCAATATTCCAAGAATGAAGATCAGAAAAGACGATAGCCTCTGATGTAATCAGGATGAAGCCTGTATGTCCTCATAGGCGCTGCAACTTCTCTCAGCCACGATGAGACCATTGCAACCTCGGCGGAAACCTTCAATAACAGGAGATGTCCCTCAAATCCGACAACCCTTGACATCCTCCTGGCTGCGATGGGCAGTCCTAGCAATTGTGCTATTTGCGGGAACATTCTTGCTCTTTCCCTCACGTAGCAAAGAGGTCGTCACAGATCTACGCCTGTTCCACCATACGCCAACCCATCAACCACCAATACAGAAGAATAGTACGAGTGGGGACGTCCGGTGGTTCAACGATTGGAAGTGGTTAAATCCATTCTCTGCATCAGTTACCCTAGATGATGGTAGATCCGTTCTCCCTCCACTGCATACGCGCCCAACTGTCTACACCTTTTACGACACGGAAGAGGAGAGGGACGAAAAGATTAGAAATGCCGAAAACAAGCTCTTGCTGATTTGGCGTCGGGCTTGGTGGGCTCAAGGGTTTCGTCCAGTAGTGCTTGGGCGGTCAGAAGCAATGAGCCATCCTCTGTACGAATCCTTCCAGACCAAGAGACTTCCAAAACAACTGCAAGCAGATTTTATGCGCTGGCTAGCTTTTGGTCGGATGGGTACTGGTATCCTTACAAACTGGCTGTGTCTTCCCATGGGCGCCCACGATGATAATCTACTCTCCTATCTTCGACGTGGCTCATATCCCAAGCTTGCTCGATACGAGGGTCTTGACAGCGGCCTGTTTTCAGGTCAAGGCGAGCACGTTGATACGGCCATTAAAGAGGCGCTTGCATCAGACTCACTCAAAGACAAGAAAGCTCTCATCGATGCCGTCCAGCCTGCGACAATTAGTACGGATGGGAAACCGTCCGCTATCGCGTTCTATGACGCCAACACGATTGCACAGCAATACAAGCCAATAAACACAAAGTTGACGGAGAACAAAGCTCAAGCACTTACCTCGCTTGGAGAGCTGATTCTTTACCACCTTCAGTCAGCATTCCTAGGCACCTTCACAGACAGCCTTGCAGTTCTTGCTCCTTTCGCCGATAGGGCTCATCTAATGACCCAGCCAGCTCATGTCCTTGCCAATGCTCTTCGGACGTGCCCCAAAACTCCCATACCTGAGTCGTGTCCACCAAACATGCCTACATGCAAACCATGCGCTCCTGAAACTCTTCCCCCGATCTCTACACCAGGGAACTATCTCAACTCTTCCACTATCTATACGATAGGCACCTTGCCCCACCCGTACACTTTCGCTTCCCTGCTCTCAAAGACGAAAGAGATCACGGTGCGGCATATTCGGAGAGATACGGCAAGGGATCGGTGGCTGGGCGCTGTAACGCAGAAAACGTTGGGTGGGGAACTTGGTGGACCGGGTCGGTTGCCTGGCTTTAAGGAAAACGTCGCTGGAGAGAAACAAGTTGGTAGTAGCTTTTGGATGGTCGACGAGTCTCCTCCCTCACGAAAAGATGTAGAGTACCACTTCGGATTTGCGCTGCCCACCTATAACGAGACGGATAGAACGGTGTTGACAACTCCTTCACCAGCTATTGGAAGCGAGGAAATCTCGAAGAAGGAGAAGAAGGCTGAAGAGAGAGACCTGCAGCGCCAGCAAGAGCTACTTGACGCAGCAAGGGAGATTGCTCGGCGCAAGCCAAAGAAAGGAGAAAGTGACGTGAAAGCGATGGTCGAAGCTTGGAACCTTGCGGACACGGAAGCCTGGCGATTTGTGAGAGCTCTGAGAGCACGAGAGCAGGTGGAGAGGGAAAAGTGGGAACAGGAAGAGCGGAAGTTCGCAGGCGGCGAAGAGACCGACGGTAGTTGGCGATGGTTTGATAAAAGGCGAAAAGAGACTCCTTAATACCACCATGCCGATACTATCTACATACCTCAATCACATATCGTCCATCTACAAACTCCCTTTCCTGCCTCCTTCCCTCTCCCACCGCTCTCTAGCAACTTCCTCCGCCCCGCTTGCTTTCCACGCACTCATGATCAACCCGACAATATCCTCGACCCCTTTCCCATTCTTAACCTCCGCAAACACCGTCGGACCTCCCTGCCTCATCTTTCCCGCATCCCTCTCCATCACCCCCAAATCCGCCCCCACCGCCCCGGCCAAATCACATTTATTCACAACCAACAAATCACTCCCTGTAATCCCCGGCCCTCCTTTTCTAGGCACCTTATCTCCACCCGCAACATCAATCACGTAGATAATGAAATCCGCTAATTCCCTCGAATAGTTGGCGGCGAGATTATCCCCCCACTCTCAATGAGCAGCAAATCCACGCCGCCGAATTTTCGATGCAGGGACTCTAGAGCGTGCAAGTTCGCGGAAATATCCTCACGGACTGCGGCGTGCGGGCACCCTCCTGTTTCTATGGCCACGATACGCGGGGCTGGGAGAGCAGAGTGCCGATGTAGGAACTCGGCATCTTCGCGGGTGAAGATGTCATTTGTGACTGTGGCGAGGGAATACTCGGAGCGGAGGCGCAGAAGGAGAGCAAGGAGGAGGGCGGTTTTGCCTGAGCCAACGGGCCTGAGTAATTAGGGCTCGGTTAGCTTGTCTGGTGGAGGAGTTGTGGGGGGGGGGGAGGCGGAGGGCTTGGGGAATGGAGGAGAGGATGAAGTAATTGAGGGTAAATAGGAGATTGATTGGCTTACCCACCGATTCCTATGGTGAAGGCTCGTTCGGTCCAGTCGCGACCTGCTGTAAGAGGCAACTCGCGGGTCGAGTAGGCGCCGGGACCACCGAAGATTTCGTGCGTATGACCATGTTCGGCGGCATTGAATGAGTGTGAATGGGTGTGAGGAGAAGATCTATCATGGCTGTGGGAAGATGAGGAAGCCATTAGGTTACATGTTGACGCAGAGCGAGGAGTAAAGTCTGTGCTTTCAAACACGCGTGCTACGTGGGGGAAATTGTGGGGTAATGCTCAAAGTCTGCTTCAGGGAGGGACCTTGAAGGCCAGATCAACGGTGCGCCAGGATGATGCTGCTGAAATGATATGAGGATTATGAGCATATTCAAATGATTATTTTTCTGGACCTGCCGTCTATTTACATGTCATTTGACTGTGGTTCTTATCCACAACGAGCTGCGTAGCCCCTATGATACAAATGTCCCTTCTAGCCACAAGAAGAGCAATGCCTGTAAATGCAGCAAATAACGAGTGATAGAGTATCTGAGCTGTTATTGAAATATGCCTTCCCAAGATGCTGGATGCGAGCCTGAGCGAGCGTCCGTTGTAAATACATTAGATAAAAATGTGAAATATTATGTCCGCGATGGCTTTTGATAGTACATTGGCGCGAAAGCGAGGGCGAAAGCCGAAACCCTCTCGTTGTTTAATCTATGATATCTTTTTATTCATGTGATGTTGAACGCCCGTGCGGCATGATCGTCCATAGATTGCGATTTTGACACGGTAAGAGCTTTTGGCAGATTTAGGTGCTGTAAGATTCGCCGGTGATAGCGGTGTGAGCAAACATTAATCTTTCGTCACTGGTAGATAGAACCAGCGGCGAAAATGCTGGCAGCGGCTGAAGCAGCCCATTCATTTTCCTCCGATGGTGGAGTGGGCCAGCGCGGTTTAATATTCTCCTTTCGTTGCGCCTCGTGTAGTCTGAGCTTCGTGACGGGCTCAGTCATGATGTTCTGTTCAAAGAGCATACCGTTTCTCTTCGAGGGTGGAGAAGGCGTCGGATACGGGTTGAGATACGGCGCGGGTTTGAAGGATGGTTGCACAGCATGAACATCATGCTTTGTCTTTAGCAATCCCTGGTCGTGCTGTGCTTCTATTTGACTTCTCCGCTCCATGTTTTTTCTTGCGTTTTGAGCACTGGTCAGAGCTTCATGTAGGAGTTCGTCCTCTTCATTTGGAGTGTCGTAAATGTGACTAGGATGCGTCGACTTTTGTAATGCTCTGCGTGTTCGAGTGGATATTGGCGTAGTTGAAGACTCAAAGGCAGGTGTACTAATGCTCTTTGATAAGGATGGATGTCTTTGCGGTGTCAAGTCGGTAGTGCTAGCGCTGGGCAGATACTGATGGGATGGGACAGGCTCTGGTGATGGGGAAAGCGGCGTTGTTCCGTAAGCTGCTGAATGTAAAGCTTTGTCCACATCACCAAAATTGTTCTCCAGGATGCTATCCATGTTAGAGTCAACGATCATGGTGTTTCGTTGGCTCTGTCGAGGGCTGCCCGTTTTGGATGGCACGTCTTCGATAGCGGAAGATGAGGACACAGATGGTTTGCCGGAAAATCTTCGTGCTTTCTTGCGGAGGTGCGAAAAGAAGCCCCTTTGTTCGGAAGGCGATTGAGGATTGTTCGAGCCGCTGAGCGCTCGTTCTGAATCTCGACAGTGAAGGTCGGCGTAATGATTACTCTGTGACTGAATGGAAAGTTGACGTCCGATCTTCTTCCCTGTCTTGGCTCCTGCTGCTGGTATGTTGGACTGAGTAGCCTGCAGTGGAGGGTTATTCTGCGCCTCTGCATTCACAGCTGCCGAGAAAGGAGAGATTGGTCTGATGGACGGTAGAATAGGCATTGGTGCCGCATTAGGCGGCGCAGTTCCATTCGTCCAAGTACTGCGCTTTCCAGCGAAAGGTCGAAATCTGTTCGTGTGCGAAGACTCCTGTACGGGGTCTGTTTTGTTCTGTACTACTGGCGGACGTGTTGCCGTTGAATGTTGTACTTCAGCGGGGGCACACGGTTGCTCTAGTGTCTGTGATGGTACGACAGGCGTGTGATCTCGAATCAGTGACTTTCGAAACCAAGACGGCTTGCTTGCTGCAGCTGTGCCGTCCGTTGAGTCTCGGTAAGATTTCCCGTCAATACTCGCATGTTTTTTGCCCAATATACGCGATGTTGATGACCTAGGTCGAAGTGGGTCACTGGCATCAGTGAAGAACTCGTGACGCATTGCTTCTAAAGAAGTAGGTCGATTTCGAGGGTCCCACATCAAGCACCACGTCACGAAACTAGCAAAAGCGGGAGGCCACTGCGGAGGCCGCAGTATAGTTTCCATGGAATGGGGGGCCATCTGTGAGAATTCAGCGAATGTAATTGAGGATCGAATAGGAGACATACCTTAGGGAATGAGAACCCTAGCTTGTGCGCCAGCCGAGTACCTTCCCTCCAGTCACCTCCACCAACCCGATTACCAGCTTTATCGTACCAATTTCCAGGCGAGCCCATGATCTCACACACCCTCCAGACTTGATCAACCTCATTCGCACCAGGGAAGAGGGGCTTCAAGTTAGCGATTTCGACAGCCATGGCGCCAAGGGCCCAGATATCTACCGGTGCTGAGTACTCGCCAGCTCGTAGCAAGACTTCGGGTGCACGATACCACCTTGTAGAGACATAAGTAGTATACGGGTGAGGTGAATTAGTCTCCCGTGCAAGGCCAAAGTCAGCGATTTTGATGGAATAAGATGGCGGCGTACTTGGAGGTGTGATCATGGCGGAGTATCGTCGAAAGGATGTGGAAACATCTTGAGGTGCAGAGGTTGACACAAGTATATTCTCTGGTTTGATGTCTCTGTGGAAAAATTGGTGCTGATGAATATGTCCGAGACCTGATAAAATTTGGAATAGAATACTTTTCACGCTTGATCCGTCGAGACACTTATGTTCGCGGGACTTCATTAATTGATAGAGGTTGCCGTCCATGTTTTCCATACAAATGTGCAATTTCTTTGAGATTGGATCGAGAAACATATCGAGAGCTGGAACAAGGTGCGCATGGGTTGGTACAGATCGTAGAAAGATCACCTCACGGAGCTCCAGACATGGTGAAAAAGACTCAAAGGTCTTTTTCATGGTTTTTATAGCCACCTACTATTGTTAGCAACGATCATTGTAGGCTTCGTGCGATATTTACGAGTGTTCCTCGTCGAGCAATCTGTGCTCCAGCTGTCCTGACCCTGGCCAACGCTACGCTTCCGAAACTCCCGTCGCCAATGTCCTTGAGAAGCTCGAAGCGATCTTCGAGACATGAGGATGATACGCCACCATATGATGAGCCTCGCGGCGAGAAGTCTTGCGAGAGTGGCATCTTGGAGATAAACCACTCGACTGGTTGAAGTGCGTTGTTCCCGCGTCAATGAATGTTCCAATAGAGCAAGAGCAATATTGCTTCAGGCAGTCCCGAGTTGAGCTGAACAAATAGACGTGCGATGCCTGCAACGATCATCCGGCGTTCTCAATGAAGCGAGAGGGTGAAGCGTTGATCAAACAGCAATTGGTTTCCAAGCATGGATCCTAACCCTGGCAAGTGCTCGGTGTCCAATCTTATTGTCTTCTTTGAATTCTGATTGTCCCGTAGTTTTCAAGCGCGGGGTGGGTTTTTATCCCAGACCCTGGTGCTTTGTTGGCAACGCGCGAAATGCTGAGGAATGCTCGCTTGCGCCTCGTGCCATATACTTCTTCGCACGTGTTCCTCAGAGCTTTTGGTCTTTCAGAGAGTGTCGTATACGTCGAAATGAGTGCATAGGTTGGGCTGGACGAAGCTGTCAGATAATTGTTGGCGTTTACTGGGAAGCACAAAGAACCGGGTCAGCATGCAAGCGAAGTTGGCAAACCGGAGATTGCGACTTACTCAATGGGCGTGTAGGGAAAGAGCGAACGCGGCGGTGTGAAGAGCGAGACGAGAGATAGTCAAGACATGATATGAATAAGAGAGAGAGGGCGATGGTGATGGCAAGCCTTCGTCACCCCATGGTCCAAGGAGAGGAGGTGAAGAGATTGGGACTACCGGTAGGTGAGCTAGGTGGACTGCTAGGGCGGTGGTGTGTGATGAAACCAGCTAATAATAATTTGGCTTCAAAAGTATTGGAAGATTAACAGCCCCCGCTGCAGGCCGAAAAACGTGGTAGAGGATCACAGGGACCCAAGGGAAGCTAAAGGCCTTCCAGCAGTTCTAGTCCAGAATAGTCCTGCGATGTGCTCACTTAGTGGAAAGGTAGATTCATGCTAGAGCTCCCAATCTAGCACCAGCACCACAGGTCCCACAGGCAACTCATCCCGCATGGGCCCTTTCAACGGGGAATTCGCGTGGAGCACACAACTTTACTGTTCCTGGCGTGGAGGACTATGAAATAATCACCAGCGATCACAACGGTCTGGGATCACCCGTAAATCCCCTTTCTCAACATCAAAACCAAGATGACTACCGAGGGCCTTTCACTAGAGTATCACGGCTATGTGCATTCCCGCCCTTGTACCTGTTCAGCAACATTATTGCGAGGTGAAAATGCCGCAGATGCGCCCACCTCTCGTGCAGCCTGTTGTGCGTAGGGATGACGTTCCTGCAGCAGCTCTGCTTATCCAGCAGCCCGCGCTGGCTGCAATGCATGCTGTGTATTTAGCGTTCTCACCTAGAATTCCCAGAATCAGCAATAAATACGAATCGCTCTCTCCTTTTCCTGCCCCTGCGATCGCCCGATAATGTCAATCATGAATCAACCCAGCATGCCGGGGCCGGCTTTCTTTCCGACCATTGCAGATCGAGTAACGCTCGATAGCCACGGCCAACAGCCTGCCGGCACCAAAGTATCCCTGTAAGTTTCGCTGTTCCTGACTACATCCCATTGGTGGGATGGGCTAAGGGACTTTAGTGGTCCATCGTGCATGACCGGGGACGGCGGGAGACCGGGGGAGAGGAGCCACCTGAATCTTTTGGCAAGAACGTGTCAAAGTGTAATTAGCCTTCAAATGATGGCGATGAGAGTCAAACGAACTTCGCAGGCCAAAAGTCATGATATCTCCATGTAGTACTTGTCACCGATGGAAATCGTCAATGCGATGCCTGATGCTGGGAACTCTAGATCTCACCGCCTCGTTCGTCCCATGCATGAAACATGTGGGGCCTCCCATCACAATTTTTCCAATGTTTGGTCGCCGGTTTATAAAACCTCGAACTGAGGGCCTGATGATAATGATTTTACCGTGTAATTCTGCGGCGGAGTGATCTCGCGCTTTCTTCAAGTAAAAAAGAGTTCACGTATTTTGAGATCGATGTCAACTCGTCAGATGTAATTCACATCAGTGGCAGCACGCGCATACGTTACTGCGAACTAAACTGTGCAATGACAATGAAGAAACATCATGAATTTCAATGGTGATTTGTTCGCAGCATGCTTGTGCTCAAAGATTTGGTTAATTTTGCATTTCGTGGTGATTGTATGGGAGAGTGAAGAGATTCGTGAAGTGAATGATTTCGGCGAATTTCGCCACATGGTGTAAACATCAATCTTTTGACACTTCGTCTCTCGACACTTCCCTCCCCGGCTGTTCACACTCCCTCAACATCGCGTCCTCATTATTCCTCTCTCTACTTGTCTTTTCTCTCCATCTAGTTTCCCAACTCCGCTCATCACCTTCGAGATGTCGAATCAAAACCATAGTGCAGGCATGAAGCATATCCATGCTGGAGGCTATTCCTATGACAAAGCTCAAAAGTAAGTAAATGATGCCGATCGTCCGACTCCATGAACAGTGCTTACTCCTACCAGGCTCAAGAACCAACAGCTGCCTGAAAAGTGCGTCTTTGCTTAATGTCCTGCCTTAGTGAATCTTCCTGACACTCGTTTGAAGGACAAAGTGTGATATGTGTCATCGTTTGAAGAATATCAATGCATATTCGAAGAAACAACAAGAGATCCTTCGCTCTGGCCTCGCAACCGGCCGAATCCGTGACCTTAATCATGCTAAAGCCGAGTGGATCAAATGCCAGCAGTGTCACGGCCAAGCGGACGAGCTTCAATGTGGCTACTGCAGTCTTTGGAAGGGCATCGAGGGATTTTCAAAGCGTCAGAGAACAATGGGTGACGACAAGGTACGTCATCCTTCGTGGGTGTCATCTCATACTGAAATGGTAACCGTCTTAATAGGCATGTCTCACGTGTGTCGCTGAGTTTGAGAACGATGAGCCGGTCCCTGAGAACGCCATCAGAGCAATTGCGGATGAACTGCTCTCAGACTCTGATGAAGATGGTTCCGAAAGCATTGACTACACGGAAGACACCGATAGTATAATTACAAATCGCTTCGATGAAACTTCGGACTCTAGGAATTCGGGTGTTCGCCTTCCTTTGGAGAACCTCAGTATCAGCAATCCAACGAGTCGGCCATCCACGGCTATGTCAAATACGAGTAGCTATCAGACTATCAAGGGCACGAGCAAGGGGGTGTGAGCAGAGCCACAGCGAAAAGCAACTCTTCAGTATTCGATCCCGACGCAGACTCTTCCTATTACGTGTCTACTGGTGCAGAAAATGCAAACAATCCGTATGTGTACAAGAGCCCGCATGAGAATAAGAAGGTAAAATAGCCCCAACGTACTCTACATCCAAGCTAATTGCCAAAATCTAGAAAACCAAAGCGGCAATGGCGTTTGCTTCGAGCCGAGAGGAGAAGAGACCCCGTCGGCTTATGCCGGTGCCTGCATATGACGCTGGTCGGAACGTCACTTATGAGCCGGAGAGTGATGGCGAGGAGGTCGAAGATGGCAATTGGCTGTGAGGTTGAGGATGACTGGCAAGTCCAGGATGGTTGAGAGAAGCAAGGGAAGCCTATGGGGGACGGGAGGCTTGTAGTGTGTCTTTGAAGACTCTGACAATCTGCACCTTGTATGCTAGACTGAATCCCTAGACATACAGTGTGTCGTAAACAGCCAAACCCTTTATTTAGACAGGAGCTCTCAAAAGACTCTATCACTATCATCAAACGAAAGTAATACTGACGGTGCCTGGGGGCCCTATGCAGCCTCGCGTGTCTCAAGCAAAGGAAGAAGCGCGGAACGACAGAGGATAAAACGGAGAGGAATCACAAGTATGGGGCGCAGCGAACAGTGGAGGGAGGCCAGACAGCTAAGCACATGAAACGATGGAGGTATAGACGCTCGAAGCAGCAGCCTCAGCCTCGTGGTCTTGTGAGCACAACAGTCGGCAGACTGGGATGGCAGGAGTTTCACATCAGAACAGGTGTAGCAGAGCGTGTACGGGCTTTGTATCGAGGCTGCGGCCTCCAACACGGTACGGATCGATGGATCTACGGCACGGGTCCTCATGGCGACGAGGTAGAGTAACTTTCAGTGACTTGCATTTGAAATGTATCATTCGCACTCCAGTCAGACTCGTTGCTGCCAGGCGGGCGAACCTGTCGTTCTCGCAGATAAGGCTCCATGGTGGCAGGCCGAGGATGTTTATAGCCCTCGTCAGGAAGGAGACGTTTCAGGCTCTTTCGTCGCAAAGGCAGGGGACTTTGTCTATCTTCTTACCAATACGTTGATAAGGAGAAGGCTCTTGTGATTCTGCAGGCCAAGGTAGTAGCCATTATCGCCAGACACCATGTGCAGAAGCGTCACCCAAAGGCCGTCCAGCAGGGGCTTAACGGGCAGTTGTTCATTGCCTGCTACTAAAGCTCTAGTAGGAGGCTAGTTGATGCGGCCAAAATAATGCACAGCTGCTGTTGCAGTAGTAGTCGTATCCCCCCCCATAAGCCAACTTTAGCCCAACCGGAAACAGGATTCAAGGCTGAGCTTGACAGAAAGCTCAAGAAGCACAGCAGAAGAGGACGGCAAGCCTTTCCTCTCACTACAACTGTCATTTCAACACTCCCCACTGCACTCTACCATCATTTCCACTCTTCAACATCTGGTCCGTCCACTGTAATCTGTACGACACAACCTTAAAACAAATATTACATCATCGCCCAGCCGCAGGATTGCGCATCTACGTCGGCTTTCTTTGGCTTGTGAATCAGACAGCAGACAGACACCTCCAACCAAACAGCTTTCCCAGCCTTGCTTTTCGTCCGGCTTCTTCTGCACTGCTGATTCGACTTCCACAAACTATCCTACATCTACAGACTACTACAAAGAACCTAAGGCTGTACCTCAGGAAATAAGTAAACACTAGACTTTAGGGGAACTGTCGACGAGCCAACACTTTCTCACGGACTGGACACATCTGAGCTCGCGGAGGCCGCAGGGTTTTGCAATGGTGTAGGCATGGCCAGCCACGACCAGAATTACAATCATAACCTCGAGGCGTATGAAGCTACCCAGCGCAGGCCAGAGACGACCATTCTTCGACAAAATCCTACGATGACGGCCACAGATCACAGTCGTCGTGCCTCACAACAGAAGCACGTGGATGAGGCCGTTTCAAGTGCCTTTGATAAGGCCGAGACCTCAAATTACATGCCACCAGAACTGATTGCGCAAATCACCCAAAGCGTAATCAAGCAGCTCCAAAGCACTGGACTCGATGGCAGCACCCCAGTCCCACCGCAGCAAAGCTCTTTCCCACCTCCACCTTTAGCCTCTCAGCCCACACAAGAACAACCACTTCCTCCCCAATCGCCGTCGACCACCACCTCTGGCACCTCTCCTAACATGCCAAACCGTGTCTTCACCCCTCCTTCGCCACACCGTCATTCCGACCCCATCGACCAAATTTCGCCCCCTCCACAATCAGCCCAACCATTTGAACCACCCATGAGCCCATCGAAAGGCTACAGAGCAGCACACTTCAGTCCCAATAGGTCTCCTTCGCCCTTTAGCCAGGGCAGCGACACAAGTGAAAAGCAGTATTCGAGGCCCAAGGGTCCATCAAGGCTGCACTCTGGCAAAGAAGAAACCACACTGGAAAAAATATGGGGTCCCTTGTTTGACGAAGAATGCAAGGCGACGGCCAGGCTTGGCCAGTTTTTACGTGGGTTAGCTGTACACATTGTGAGTATCAATTATAGCGTGCTCAACGATTTTGCAGATATCTAACGTAGGGTAGATTGAGGATTACAAGCCGCAGCATAGTATTGTTATTACGCCTGATAAGATGGTGAAATACTATGACGATGTCAAACTCGAGACTGAGCTGTATCCTTGGTCCGGTACGTGCTCCTTCCAAACATCTCATTCGCGGTAGCTTACCTTATTCAGTTGTATTTGACGACGAGCGGTCGTCTATCTCTCGCATGTATCGAGATCTTTCCTGCCAGCATCATCTCGTACAAGAAAGACACGATGAGCGACCCGACATTCCCGGCCTTACGCCGGTTGGCTTCGAAAGATGGATGACCTTGCTAATCCTTGCACATCCTGAGGCAGAGTTCGAGCGGCTCAAGAAAGCAGTGTTGGAGATGCCGATCAACAATCCAGATGACAAGAAGGAGCGCTTTCCGAAAGAGATCACAAGACGACTCTTCCCAAAACACGAGGACATGAAAACGCGTTATATGGTTGAAGATTCGATGATTGAGCACGCATCAATCCAAATTCCACGGCAGCGAAGCCAAGAAGATCTGCAACCTCGTCAAGATCCATCCGCACAGAAGACCAACACTACTGATTCGTTCATTCCGCTACAGCCTAAGCCAAACGTTGCGGAGTCCTACATTCCGTCACAGCACAGGCCGAGCGTTCAGGAGACCCCCACTCCCCAGAATCCTCGTCCGAGCGTTAGCTTTGCAGAACCGGAGGTCTTCGCATCTCCAACACCCTCTCACCCCAACTCTCAGATTGAGCGCGAGCGTGCGCCTTATGCCAATGTCCCTGAGTCCGCGGTGGTAGATGACATGAATCCGCCGGAGCCGCCAGTCTCCAAGCCAATAGAGCGTGAACGAAAGCCTTATGTGTCCCAAGTTGGAGGTGGGCGACAGTATGAGCCCGAGGAGATTCGACCACGCGAGACCTCGAAGCCAAGGGCTGACTCTCTCATGAACGGCAAACCAGCCAGATCAGATTCAACTGCCAATCGTACTCGACCTATTAATATCAACACCGGCAATCAGCAGCTTCCCAAGCCTGAAATCCACCAACACTACCGTGCTGGATCAAATGCTGGGAACAATCGTCGCCGGCGCTCTCCGTCATTTAGCCGTGGCACCACTGCAGATTTCAGACGGTCAGAGCCCGATGTGAGAGGCTATGGGCAGGGATATGAGCCTGCCTCGGCGCCTGTTTTGGACGAGTCAGACACTAAAGCCTACTTCGATAATCAAGCACGAGAACGCGCACGTAAGAAGGCAGAAGATGACAGCCGCAATTACGGTGCCAGTCCAAGGCGAGACTATGATGACCGCCTTCCCAGACGTGGGGATTCAATGTACGAAGGCGACTATGGCAGGAGGGATAAGCGATACGAGGATACGCATAGGGAATCGTATGCACCCGTGTATCGGTAAGGAGAAGCAATAGGATGGATTGGGTCAGCTTGCGATGTCAGCGATGGAGTTGTTGAGAGTGAGGAAAGGATACCATTCATTATACCTCATTCTTTTTCTACTTGTCTTCATTTTGCTAGAGAGGCTAGGGGAGTTTGGGAGAACACGGCACAAATTTTTTTAGGTGCTTTGAGGGCGTCGGTCGAAGTGTGGCGAACACTCGTTACTGGATCTTTTTGATCGGAGCTGGCATCTGAGGATGATTGAGTTAATACATTGCGCATTGAGCCGAATTTGCATTTTGACGTCGTAATCATTCATGTGGGCCATAAGGATTCTCTCCATATCTTTTCCTCTTTGCATCCTTCTCCCCGCAAAGCCCTTGTCCTTCAAAATCCTTAAAGGTCCTTGCTTCAGCATCTCCATCCTTTTGTATGCGAACATGAGCGGCTTCCGCCTCTCACATGACAACAACAGATCTTTATCTTCAGGATGACTCCTCTGCGCAGAGAATCTAGCCTTTCCCAGCCCGATTTCGTCAATCATCAGCATTCACCTTTACCTAGGCCTCGTCGCCAACCCCCCTCCCCTCACACTTGCCCCCACAAAGCACCTGCAGACTCCCGAATTTCTTCGAAACAACTCCCTGCGTTTCAGCACAAACGACGCTCCACCTGCCCTTAAATCGCAGTCGCCATCGCTTTGAGCCTGTCATGCTCCAGACTAACTCCTCTTCTCAAGGCTTAGCAACGCCTCTTACCAGGGACAACACGCAGGCTATGTATTAGGAACTAAGCAATGAAGAGCTCTGCTCTCTGCCGGCCGTTCTAGCTCTTGCTCTAGATAGGTGGATGCAATGCTGGGGGCCAGGGTTGTGATAAGCGTACTTGTACATAGCGAGCAGACGTATAGAGAGCATTTGATGCCTCTCCACCACTGCTCTAGGTCTGGTTTGTGACAGGAAATCATCCATCTGCTCAGCTGTGTGGCAGGAAGGTGGTCTTTTTTGCACCCTTGGGAGGCGGTGGGTTTATAACCTAGGAAAGAGGCCCTTTCTATACTGTTGGCGGCGTGTTCGGGTAGTAGGAAGCGAGAAAAGGAAAGGAGTGCCTTGACAATAATCGATGGGGAGTTTCTAGCACATGAAAAATATGAGGCTGATTATTCATGTGCAAAAAGAAAGTGGGGCTTAGGAAACGTGGCAGATAAAGAAAAAGGGAATTTCAGAAATAGAAATCAAGGGACCGGATGACTGAAGAGCGTGAATGGCAAAAAGGGATAGTATTGTACCTTATCAATACTCACCAACTCCTGTCTCACCGTCTTCATCTCATAATGTCGTCAAAAGCGGTCCGTCTATCCAACGCATACGCTTTACAATCAAACAAGGCACTCAAGTCCCGCGAACTGAAGACCGTCATCCATCAATCTCCTCCCTCCCCACCACCGATGCACCCCTCCTACTCCCTCCATACCACACCTCCAAGACCCTCTCCTTCTGCTTTTCTCTCACGCGCCTTAAGTGCTCATACGTCCCATCCAACCCCTTTATCTGCTCCTCCACACCCAACATCCTCCCCCCACCTTCCACGCGACTGACAAGCGGACTCATCAGCTTCCTTCTCAACGCCTCCAGATTCCCCTTCAGCGCCTGCAGCTTCCCATTGTGCTCGACCAGCAAGCTTTTATTCTGCGTAGTCTTAGCCCGCACGCTTGCGAGGAGGTTCTTATTTTTCTCGTATTTGCGGAGCGCGCGGGTGTTGGCACCGATGATTCTCGTCCATAGCGAGGAGAGGAATTCGGATTCTAGCCGTTCTTGGGTGTCGAATTCGCGGATCACCGTGCGCTGAAGGTTGAGGAATTGGCGGTCGATGTTCTCGAAGAGGGCGAAGAGGGCGGTGCTGTAGATGAGCTCGGAGTTGATGCTTTGTTCTAGCACTTCAAGAAATTCGTTGAAGGTATGGTGTAAAGTTTGATGCGTGCGCTGAGAGCTAGTAGTGCCGAAGATGGTAGTGAAGATTTTGCCAAGGGGGGTTTGCAGGCCCGTAGAGCGAGATTCAAAAATTCCGGCGTTAGAGAGGAGGGAGTGGATGTTTGCGAAGGCATAAGAGAGGGAATTGCTGGGGAGGGAGTCAAGGGCTACGAGCTCCCGTTTCGCCCAGTCCATAACAATGAGGATGCCATCGATGTCGCCGTCGACATTTGCGAAGAATTTAGTGAGCTCGATGGAGAGTCCTTTGAGGGATTCGCTGAGTTCGTCAAGTTCATCCACAATGATTGGCCCGGAAGTCATATTAGTGGAGCGAACGCTTTCGCCTAGGTCCCATACTGCAACGCCGGTTTCTTGAAGATCACCAATCTGGCGTACTCCAGTTTCTGAGTAAAAGACTAGGGGTTCAAAGGAGCGGGCGAGACCCGCTACTTTCACTAAGTCGGGGGTTGCTGGTAGGATGGGTGTTCTGAAGAGGAAGCGCAGGGTTGAGATTGCAAGAGTGATGATCAGGACGTTTGATATCAGGGAGGCCCATGACCTCAGTGCGGAAGTATAGTAATTTCGGAGCCATGTGATTGCAGCATCGATGGGCTCCGTTCTTTGCTGGACATCTGCTCGCAAGGAGAAGCGAATAACTTCGGCAGTCAGTATTAGCAGAAGAGACAGGAAGAAAGCAGCGAACAACTGTTTGGATGGCCCTCATTCGAGACAGGCTCCACATTCTCTTCTGCAATATCCTCTCGTTGGGCAGGTAGCGTACTCAGCGGAGTATTTACTCTGGAATTCCTGACGGCCTCTCGTGCCAAACTCTCCCTCACGGGACTCGTACTGCCTCTCGGTAATGGAGTTTTTGCAGCCAGCGTAATATCTTCGTCGTCATCTGGCTCGTTGCTAAACCCTCTGCTTCCTGTCCTACTTCTACTGGCGCTTTTGCTCTTCAATCTCTCCACGTCTTGGGAATATGGCTGGTGTCTGTACCATCCACCAGCAGAAGCGGGTTGACGCCATGCTGGAGGTGACCACGGTGATTCGTCTGAAGCAACATCCTCTTCCGGGTCCTCTTCATGTTCAGAAGCTGACCGTTCGCCTGCGCGGAAACCTGAGTGTTGAGATGGGAGGCCAAACACTGGAGACTGCTGTTTGTCAGAATCTGAAAAATCGTTCAAAGAGCCGGTAAGGCTTGTGCGATCATCAAATGAAGGTGGCGATGTGTAATGTGAGCTCGCCATTGCTGTGTCAAGACTTGTAGCACGTAAAGGGAGGGGTTTCTTGGGATGAAATTGTGGAGGACAATTGCCTCTTCAAGATCGCAGTCAGTGTTGCCTATGTGACCTCGCACATGGTTTCGATGATGGCGCACTATGGAGGATTAAAGATTGTCAGTGACTCAGGCAGGCAGTCGGGCATGCTAGCATGGTCTGAAAGGCGGTCGCGTCTTGAAAAGCGATGGCTGGTGTTTGAGGCAACCCCCGCCCTGCAGCTGATTTGATCCAATGATCGTGCCGAATGCCCCTGTCATGCAGGGGAAGTCAATCACGCTATACCAGGTTGGCTTAATGGATAGGGAATGATGGTCTAGAGAGGCTTCTACGATTGCTCTCAACTATATCGTACATTCGTCTTACAAAATTTGTATCAGTCTAGGGCGAACTTATTGCTGGGCTCTCTTCTCTGAACCCAGAGCAGTCTCTCGTGCACCAAACTCGACAAGACAATCAATGCCGTAATAAAGAAGTGGTAGATTGGGTAGATGATAATGTACAACGTCGCGATGAAGTATCTCAAGAGCGGAAAAAGGCGATCAACGTCTATTCGTTGATAGTCAACCACCTGTCTAATCGAATCTAGCGCCTAGAATACATCTTTCGAGAAGGACAGTTGACTTTCCAGGGTATCGGAGTGGAGTGATGGATAAGGTGAAGTTGATCTACTTCGTGGCTTCCCGGAGATGTCTGTTGTAGACTTAGCAAATGCGAAAGCGATACTTGGGATCATGGATACATACGTGATCAGATCGTTCCTGTCCTTTCCTTTCTTCAAGCCGCCGAAAGCCATCTTCGTGCCGGGTATATATTTCTTCGGGTTCTCTAGGTATTCAAACTATCGGGATTCATGAGCTTCGGACGGAGAATAAATGTATCGAGCGTCCCATACCAAAGTGTCCTCTTTCCATGTGATGCCCTTGTGAACATTCGCATCCGTGTACGAAAAGCCCTCAACCTGACCTGTCTTGCGCCCAAAAAGACCGTGTAGATTTGGCCCGATTTTGTTACCGGCGCCCTCTTCTAGGGTGTGACATTGCGCGCATCGCGTCTGTGGGAATGTCAGGAAGGCCCTGAAGAAGACATAAAGAAGGCCTTATAAGCTTTACCTTGAATAGCCCTGCACCTTTCTTTGCATCGCCTAAAGTCGACAACTGTCAGTCAATGCCTCGACAAGCGGAATTGAAAGAAGCAAAGACAGTGCGCAGCTATGTTCGCGTCGGCAGTATATGCAATCCCAAAGTCGGTGCTGCGGGATGCTGATCTGCTACGCTGGCTCCTCCCATTGCCACGAGTAGATGGAGCGAGAGCTTTTCGGCGAACGCGGATGAGGCAAAGGCACCTACCATCTTTAAAAGAATCGTTTTTTGGAGCCATGACAAAGAGTGCGCGGCGAAGGTGTGTATATGTATGGGCAGAGAGAAGGGAGTGTCGTGTGTTGGATTGAGCGATTAAGATCACGAACGAGGGTTGGGCAAGTTGCAAACAAATATTCTTTTCAATGACGATCTGGGAAATGCACAGAGCTAGATCCCGTCGTTCAGCCACACCTCTGTCAGCATCGTCAGCCAATCACAATAGTCATATTGTAATTCTCATACGCCGGTGGTTCCGTGAAATCCCGGAAGACACACCAGGAAGCAGCCGAAAGCCCTCAATTCGGATATTTGGGATTTGATTTAGCCAACCATCAGATGGACCGCCAGCCATATAGGCAAAGCATTCAATTATTCAACTAAGTGGTTGGTCTAATCCAGGGGTTAAAGCAATATAGGGAGGCTTCGGAACCCAAATTCTTGCCAAGACTTTTGGTATGCCCCCGGCCATGTGGAGCCTGCCTTCGTCCATCAGATACGTACTCGTTACTGTCATTTTAGCAAGCTATTTGACCTGCCAAGTGTACTGCTTCGGTGAGTTAGTAGCGACTTAGTCCACAAATTGAGCCAACGACTCACTTCTGACTATGCCATCGACGTACCAAACTGGGTTTTAAGTGGACTGTTTTCATGGTCAGCTGCTTGGTAAATTCTCGCCTTTCACTTTGAAAAAACCTTCATAAATCAAGTGTGGCTTTCTATAAATCAGAGAGCCCTCATGGGCTTTCTCCTCCCCCACTGCGTAACAGCGCCTCGCTCTCGCCAAGCTTAAGCAATACAGCTCATACTTCAGCCTCCTTGGTCTGGATCATTGTTGGTGCCAGTAGGGGCATCGGGCTGGAATTTGTTCGGCAGCTTCTTTTTCGTGGAGACAGGGTCTATGCCGTCATTCGAGATCCTGCAAGTGCCTCTCAACTGTGGTCACTCGCCGGCTCAGCGCCTAGAGCCACTTGCGAGCTTCTGGAATGTGACATATCCAATGAAGCAAGCATCACCGTACAAACCGTTTTGCTCTTTTCTTGGCTCATGGTCTGATCTTTCTTAGTCATTTGCACAAGATCTAGCTGCTAGGAAAAACCTTGACCGAATTGATTACGTCGTCCTGAGCGCCGGCATAATGAGATACCCGAATGTATGTCATGGATCCGGAGTCAGAACCCATCTAATGACGCCTTAGCGGGCATGCGAGCTGTACGATGAGATTGTCTTTGGAACATATAACAACTAATGCGTCTAAGATCATTCGGCCAATTCGCTGAGCATCTGCACACTAATACGATTGGCCCCATTATCACGTCACAAAAGTTACTGAGTACACGGATACCAATCAAGACCATTGTCTTCATGTCCAGCGATCTCGCCACAGCGTCGAATAGCTGGCAATTCCAAGACGGGTATGGGAATGCCTACCGTGGTAATGTCTCGCTCACTGATTTTCAACAGCTTTGCTGCTTTTGCAGCTTCCAAGGCAGCATTGAATCAAATGTTACGAGTAAGGTGAAGAAAAACCTCTGGTGGTTTTTACTAATAATTGACTTGCAGCATCTGGCCGCAGAATTGCAAAACAAGAAAATCTTAACAACAATATTAGCAATGCATCCAGGCGAAGTATCGATGTACGTGATTTTTGTTCAGGATTCATTGAAAAGGCTAACTCATCTCAGAGATATGGCAAGTGCAACCGGAGGAATGGATGTCGACGGCATTATCAGCCCCGAAGAGTCTGTATCGGGTATGCTGAGAGTTATTGAAACCAAAGATATGCGGCACACTGCTACCTTTTGGACTTGGGAGGGGAAAGTAAGTAGATCTCGAACAAGGCCGAAATCATGTCAACATATTGACACAAAAGTAGATGCATCCCTGGTAGACGGCGCAATTTATGGAAACACTAGGAATCGATGTAGGTAGATCTCTCTGCGTGGCTACAGGAATTGAAAAAGCGATGGCGCGGCGGCATAAATTTCTTGTTTGAGGAAGACCCACGGTAGTTTTGTAGATAGAATGATGCCAACGACAATGGTTAAATTTGCGGATAGAAAGGAGGAAGGCAGCTTTATATGAAAAGATTCACAACGTGGCATTGGGTGCACCCTCTCAGTCGGGGGCATTGAGGTCTTTTTGAGCGAATCAAGATCTTCAAGAGATTCGATTGATGTCAAGCAATACACGGCCGACATGGCTTTAAGAACTCCTAGCCGTCTATCGTTCTTAAGAATGTTGCCTTTGTTTTCCCGGCCATCTATCCAACTAGGCTCATTGCGAACCACTCCGCAAATCTGTCTGCTATGTCGCAATGCTTCTACCAATCGAACGAAACCAAGAACCCTCGAGAAACCAATTCGATTTAATCCTCCTTCCCATGGCAGACGGCTGAAGCAGAATGTACCACGCAATTATGGCCCGGAACTCACCCATGAGCAAGTTGCCAGACAGAACACCAAATACTACCCCAACATGATGCCCCCAAAGGGGACATTCTTGCACTGGTTTCTCACCAATACATGGATACACTTGTGGATCACCTTGGTATGTCTACAGTCTATGCATCGCTCTTTCTGCTCGGATCTAACATGTGGGGTACAGGGAACTCTTACACTGCTCGCTTCGTTCACTATGTGGGAAAATTGGAAGCGCTCAACAACCTTCAAGAATGGGCTTCCCACACGAGGCCAGGTACTACTGCACCCGCTCGACAGTTTTTATCAATTCATCTTTGCATGGCGGGCGTCGGCCGATGAGCAGAGTATGCCATCCTACACAAAGAACCAACGTGGGGTAGACGACGTACAGAAAAGAGCTAGCTATCGTAAGGCACATGGAGGTGACCCGGATGATCAAGGAGTGGAGTATTGGCCACCTTTCGAGAAAAAGTATGGCCACTGTGTCATCGATGAGAGGAGTGGGAGGCTGGTAGATGCAAGCACGCTGCCGAACAATGGTGTTAGGCCTCAACCAAAGAAATGGTTTGGGATTTGGTGAAAAGATGGCGCGAAAGGGATGTCTGCCAAACAGGCTCGATCTAACATCCAAAGGACCGAGAGAGGCACGTCGCCACTTCTCTGCCAATGCTAGTGCTACGCTTTCCGTGCACAAGGCTCACAGTGCTGGACAGTCGGTTTTAGAGACATTGACGGCAACAAGATCAAGGCGCATGGCATCACACCTAGACATAGTCGCGGTATGGTCGCAGAAAGGCCGCTAAATGATCCCTACGGTGACAGCGACATAGGAAGTCAGAAAGTAAGGGTTCCGGCTCTAGTGTCAGAAGGCAGAATGGCTTCGCGGGCGATTTACGGGAGAAAGAATGAGCACCTGTGCCTTCACGACGGACTTATTTATTACTTCTAGACAAGCATGCATCTATCTATATTCCATTAGCCTAAGATCTAGGCCGTGCATTAGCGTTAGAACTTAGCGTCAGACCCAGCCACGACCCTTATTACTCGGTCGCAAATCTTGATTTCTAAAGTTCTCCTCAGGCATCATCACCAGCTTGCGCCGCCGAACACAACATCGAGCGTGATGCCTCCTTACGACTCGGGGGCAGTCATGGTGATGCGCGACGGTCCTGTGGCGAGGCTTTGATCTCAAACCGCCATGGTGACTTGACAATCAATGCGCCTGGCGCAAAAGCCGCATCCCGATGCCCTCGAGTCGCAAGCCAGTACTGTCAAAGTACCGCGCAGGTCTTCTCTTTGGCCGACAGAAGATCTCAAAACGAAGTCAAGAACTGGTCATCTCTTCAACTTGGGCATCAAGTCCATACATAGGTGGCCCAGTATTTTCGGCATAGACTTGAGGGCGCGCGTACGAGGAGGCGCTCTCGGCCAATGGAAGGCTGCCAAATGACTGGCCTGTGAAGAATCGTGAACGCGACAGATTTGAAACACTCGGAGCAAATGGCAAGCTATTGTTTCACACTCACGATATTCTTCATGGCTTGGTGGTGGAGACCTAGAGTGTTGTGAGTTTCTATTCTTACTTTGCCGGTCCTGGGCGCTCTTTGTGCGGTTACCGTAGCTGCTTTGTTTCTTTCATCTCTCTTTGTACTCACTCTCTTTCCCTTTCATTCTACCAAAACCATGATTTAACATCCACTCTTTGTTCAACTCAACACCGCTGCTGCGCAGCAAGTACTGTCTCTGTTTCTAATTTCATACTACATATGTTGTGCAGCTCGTTTCACCTATAACATAGGCTTATATTGTACCCCCGGCGGGATAGATCTAGCACTCCTAATACACCAAAACTATCACCATGTCTTCCACAGGGAATCACCATGCCACAACATTCCCAGTTGTGCCTCCATCTCTCTCCGCTGGCGATCATGGGATGCGAGATTATTACACAGCCGAAGATAATGCACCACGCGTAACACCGAACACAGTTCAAAACATCACACCGTACCTCGGATTACGCTCTCGATTATCGCAAGTCTGGATCAACAGATGGACCGTACTCTTATTTCTCATTCTCGTTCGAGTACTTATTGCTATTTCTGGACTTAACCATGACCTTGCTTCAGCCAAGACCGAAGCGATGTCTGCTTGCTCAGGAGATGAATCGATGGGCAGTGCTATGGCTTCCATGCCTCACTACCTCTCAGGAGGGGTAAATGAGCTGGCTGCTGCTGGCGTAGAGAAGGCTGTTCATGGCCTCATGTCACTCCTCCTCTTGACCATAACTGGCGTCGAAGAGTTGATAGTCTTCTATGTAAATATGTTGACCTCCACATACATGTGCTTGATCACTCTTGCAGTTAGTGGAAGTCTGCATGTTGTGTTGAAAGTCATCGAAGATGTCGCAGACTTTGTCAACAAGACGCTGAAAGGCATCAGCGACGACATTGGAAAGGCCGTCGATGGGTTCGAAGGCGACTTCAACAAATTCACCGGTGCCCTCAACAGTATCCCAAAGGTTTTTGGTGGCGGCGATGGAAAAATACCGAAGATCAATTTGGACGCCGAGCAGAAAGCACTCACCACTCTCCAGCTCCCGTCTGGACTGGACGCGGACCTCCAGAAGCTCAACAAATCAATCCCCGATTTTCACGAGGTTCAAGACTTCACTGATGACATCATTCGACTACCTTTCGAAGAGGTCAAGAAGCTCATCAACGGCTCCTTACATTTCAACTTTAACCGGTCGATGCTCCCCGTACCAGACAAGCAAAAACTCAGCTTTTGCACGGACGATAGCGAGATACCTAAGTTCTTTGACGGTCTAGCCAAGTTAGCATACGACGCCCGTAAGGTGTTCATTGCTGTTCTAGTCATTGCTGCAATTGCTGTCTGCATTCCAATGGCGTATCGGGAAATGCGTCGCTTCAGAATCCAAAAGGAACGCTCTGGGCTAGTTCGCGATCATTCTTTCGACCCAATGGATGTCATCTATATTGCTTCGCGACCATATTCCGCAGGCGCTGGGATCAAACTCTCGAGTCCTGTCAAGGACACTACTCGCCAAGTTTTAGTCCGTTGGGTCGTTGCGTACGCGACTTCAACACCAGCCTTGCTTGTACTGTCACTGGCAATTACAGGCCTGCTGTCTTGTCTTTGTCAATACGCACTGCTCAAAGCAATTCAAAAGGAAGTCCCTGTGCTCGCAAACGAGGTTGGTGCATTCTCAGATAAGGTAGTAGGCGCCTTGAACAACGCTTCAGCATCCTGGTCGAATGACACCAACCACGCAATCTTGAACGTCAACGATGGCATCAATCACGATGTCTTTGGATGGGTCAATACAACGACGGGTGCTGTCAACAAAACGCTTAATTCATTTGTTGATCACACCACCGATGTGCTCAACAAGACCTTTGGCGGCACCGTGCTTTATGACCCCATTACTGAAGTGTTCAATTGCCTCATCGGCTACAAAATTCAGGGCATCGAGAAGGGCCTTACATGGGTTTCTGACAACGCAAAGGTCACCTTTCCCTTACTTCCGAATGATACGTTCAGCTTGGGCGCCGCCGAAGCCATGGGCGATGACTCTCCAGATAACGAAAAAAGCCAGAGCTTTCTAGCCAACCCAGGTGACAAAACAACGAGCAAGATCACCGGTGCAGTCGCAAAAGTCGTCCAGCATCTTGCTGACGGCATCCGTACAGAAGCAATCATCTCGACATGCATCCTGCTTGTTTGGTTCATCATCTTGCTTTTTGGCATTTGTCGAGCAGTTTGGCTCGCTTCCCGCGGCAACAAAGTCCGTGCAGAGGGAGGACCTGCTCCTTCTAATGGCGTATCACGTGAGCTTCGACCTATGACAGTATTGGATGGACCAGCTCCGGCATATGAGCCACCCGCGAGTGCTGAACACGTTGGATCTAACCCATTCGTTGATGCTGCAAATGATCCCGTACATGCTGCACACCGCCACATAGGTCGATCAAGTATTTCTGGTGAGCACCGCTGGCAAGACGAGAAGCTAGGTTTCGCGGGACAGCGAGCTCCTACTATGGAAGACTCACACGTTGAGACATTGAGAAGAAGTGTCTACCCAACATTTGGAAAGACCGGATAAATAATAAGTACGAAGAATAGAATTCGAGTTGAATAATTGAGGTCGTTAATCTTGGAACGTGATCCACCTTCTACACAAATAATCGATCGAGCAAACACTCCTTGAGGGAGAGCTGTGATATTCGCGAACAAAGTTCGACATGCACGAGGTCTGCACTATCTCTATGCAATATTTTGTGCTTTCTGGGCAACATGTCTGGAGCTTGGCTCGACATGCTCGTGAGCACGAATACATACAATATAATAATAATTTTGCGTCTTAGGATGGATGGTTGGATGATCGCAGGAATATCTGCTTATTGCGCTATGTCGAGGGAAGCTTCTCTTTAAGAGATTTACATTGTACACTGAGAGCTCACCTTCCGAAGCCTCTTGGGCGGATTTCATGTGTCGGGGATTGAGAAATACAGAGGTCCTCTACGACTACGAGGATTATCCCACGCATTTGAATGGATTTTTCTGCAGCTACTTGCCTGGCCCTCTACTTTCCTATGGATATCGACAAACAATGCGAGGAGATCTTTGGCATATTCCGGAAATTGCTAGATGAACTCTTCATATTGATGTGCGGATGGCACGAACGTCTTCCTTGGCCATCCAAGTATTTAATCAGAGAGATGAGCGTCACGGGCGGTCTTTGGCTGCCTGTTCGCCCATAGCTTGTACCTGATCTCGGTCGTCGAAAGGACGCGCGCTTTAGAGCTGCTGCTACCTCTCCGACCCAGCACACTTATGATATCTTACAAGAAATTGATGGGCCTACTAATCGCGCGCTTTACCTATTCGATGTGAGGAAATGATACAACTGTATACCACTGCTGCTACCTACATCGCTCTACCCTCCTGGGCCTGTGGCGAAGTGGGACGCGCGTGATGGAAAAGTTGTGATATGCGGTGGGTGGGTTGCAAAGGGGGTGGGACTGAGGGCTATCTTGTCCGATCTGATAGGTAGCTCGAGTAATGCAAGTCTTGAAACCCATTCTCATGTGTTTTACTCTGCAATGCTTTTTCGTCTGTTTTGAATAGTCTTGTTTACCAACTACTGACCCTCGCTTAGCGCTTCGAGTGCTCAACATGGCCTGAATGCGGAACTTACCAAACAACCCCTCTCGGTATAAGACAACAGCAAGGAGAATCAAGCCCTCAAGATGCAGGAATCTCTTCGTTGGGGTTCTGCACGCTAGGAAGGCCGAGCATGTCCGCAGTCCGCAGGCGATGATCCTTTCTGGTACTTGCTAAGCTTTTCTTCTCCAGGCTGTCACGTTTCTGGTTAAATTAGGTACTTGAACAAAGACCGATCATATCCGTCTTGTTGGACCACTGTGTCTCGCGTCAATGGCTGCAGTAGCCGTCTGTGGAGGCCGATCCCTTATAACGTCTCGGTAATAGCGAAGATCTTTTCCACATATTGCACCTAAGGCTGGCCAGTCGAGAGACTTTGGCTAGCTCATGCGTTGATCATTTCAGTCACGCCGGCATAGCCTTCCCAATACTAAATTTCGACATTAAATGAGGCAGGTCTTCATCACGAACGGCAGCCACCGAACGCAAACAAGTAGATCAACATCGGTCGACAAGAACACGCAATGATGGGTCGTTAGACCGCGACTGGCAGATCAAATAGCGTCAATTTTCCATTTCACGGGGATTTGATACCACAATAGATCCGGAATTTCCCACACAATACATTGTGATTTCAAATCTAGATCAGGAGAGGCAGCCCGACCCAAACCGCAGTCATGGGTCCATACCCCAATGCATATCAAATTGAGGAAATATTTGCCACCCGAACGCAACCAGAGAAATTCCATGAATATATGGCTGACCCGGTCGACGTGGAGGTTGTTGGGGAAGATCATGAAATCGCTGGCCACTACAAGTCTCTGGAGGAATTCAACGAGAAAGTCTTTGCGCGGATCTCGGATACTGTAAAGCGGGAAAGCATCAGGCTTGAGATCAAGCGTGTCATCGGGGGAGGAGAAAGTGCTGTGAGCCTTGTGATTTCTGAGTATCTGCGTTTGCTAGAATTTTAGAAGCGCGATCGCTATTGGGCTCTCTACACCCTTTCCACAAGCACTTCTCTTGATTACGGGCGATCTTGTTCGATGGCTTGCTTGCTGACGTTAGTATTTTTAGTGGGCGGCCGTGGAATACTCCAGTACGGCAGAATCCAAGTATGGTAAAGGTTCGTGAAGAAAAGGAGCCGCATTTGGGAGGGCAGTGTTCTGACCGTGATGCTCAGATCGATGGCATACTTTAAAACTCGTCGATCTTGTCCGCTTCGACTCCAATGGGAAGATTGCGACAATTAGAGAATATTTTGATACTAGGCTTATTCACGACTTAGTCCTCGAGCACGAGGCCAATCAAGGAAAGGAAGAGGAGCAGACTGAAGGTTGAAAACCATAGGCAGCATCCATTCAATCTTAGTCATACTTGCACTCAATTGATGTTCTTAAATTGGAAATGAACAACTGAGCCCAATATAGATGTCTGTTTAAGCCAGGAGATGCTTCATTAGCGAGACGTTGTCCTCTGCCATCATATCACTGAGAGGTAGGTCAGCCGAGATGGAAATGAAACAAGAAAATCTTGGGGTGCTTGTAAAGGGTCGCTCATGCAAACACAAGCCTTAGAGAAGCAGTCTATCACCCCTCTTGATCATATCTTGATTTCAGAAGGATTGAGGTTATGGTAGGAAAGAAATACAAATCCATGTTGAGAATCTTCTTTCACTCGTTAGAGATCTCGATATTGTGCGTAATAGCACAATACAAATGAATATCAAAGATTCATCTATCGTGCGTGACCACAAGATCTGTCGACCCACCCGGAGATGATTCTCGGCTAGTCGTCCTCTTCAGACCCACAAAGCTTCCCACAGTCCAACGAGACCGAGAGACTCGATATCTGCTTCTCAAGAGGCCAACTTAGGGCCGGCTACAACTATGTATGGCCTCTTCACCTTTCCACTCAATGCTCGCCCCGTTTGTGCAGTACACGGGAGCAAACGCAGCTCTTTAGAACGTATAGACTCTGCTCTTTGATGTCTCATAACACGTGCATCTGATACTTTCCCTGACGAGCAAAACTTTCCAACCCCTCCATCACTTCTTCCCCCACGCCTCTCCGCTTGATGCACATTTCGGTCATCTTCTTCAACACCGCTCTCTTCATGCCCCCTACCTTCGGTCTCCAGACACCCTCCTCATCTTCATTCCCACCCCCCTCACCGCCAGGCTGCCCACTCTGCTGCGCCAAGGCAGCAAATGAGCTCGCACTTCCTCTTGCTGGAGGGTCTAGCGTGCGTATGCCCAGCACTTCGACCCCTTCCCCGCCTTTCGCATCATCCTCTCCAGCTTTACTCTTTTCATTCCTCTTTCTTGCCTTTGTAGTAAGCGTAATCACAACAACAGAGTCAGCGACAGCTAATTCCTCAGGTGAAGGATCGAAAAAGATGTTATCTGCTACGGAGATCACGAGCAGATGTACGGGGGGCTTGTTGCGGCTGTTTTTGGTAGTTGCTGTTTGTTGACTCAAGATGGTGTTGGTAATCCTAGGGGTAGAGGTAGGAGAGGGAGAAGTATAGAGAGGTAGTGCGGCATCCCAGTCATCGTCGAAGAGCGGATCCTCTTCGCCTCGTGATATCAGGGCCGGGAGACGTGTGGAGAGCAGAGCGAGGTGCGTGGAGAGGGAAAGAAGGGGAAGAGGGTAGGAGAGCGGTTGAGAGAGGAGGAGGATCTGGACTGAAATGTCAGTAATTTAGTATGCAGCTAGCGTAACATGAAGCGTATATGGGGGCAAACGCACGTCAATAGAGAGCTTCCAATGCCAGTGATCATTGATATAGAGACGGCGCTGTAGATGTCTGTCCGTGACGAAACTTTCTTGGATCATTTGGCAAAGGAAATGGATTGTGGGATCGTCGTCCCGTTGGCCAGGTATATCGATCGTGACCTCAACAGAGTCGTGCTCGCCCAGCCGTAGGCTCTCAGCATCATCCTGCTTGATCGGATCGATGCGATCGCCACCTCTCAAGCTACCGTATGTGACAGTCGTCTCTATCTCGGCTTTCACGCCAACAATACCTTCGGTACCATCGGCAAAGCACAGACGCGCACTGCCATTAGCGAAAGGGACGAGATCTGTTTCCGCAATGAGCGGCCGGAAGGTGGTTGGGGCCCGAGCATCAGGCCGGATCGGTGGTGAAGCAGCAAGTGAGGAGTGCAGGTAGGCAAGTTCCGTGGAGGAGAAGACGGTCGGTGTTTGAGAGGGCATGCTCAAGCGTTCGGAAGATTGTTCATGCCGAGATCTCAAACCTCGTCTACGAAAATTTTGCGGCCACAGTTGAGGAATAGTAGCAAGTCATTCGAGTGGACATATCAAGATTTGTTCAAAGCTCTTAGATTCAGCCGGCAACTAGGTCTATATGGGCATGTCCGTTCTGATTCCCATGATCAGCCACATTGTTTGCCTCTCCCATCTTTGGGATGCGCTCCTGGCTTTGTGAAGAATACTTGCTCTCCGCATTGCCAATGCATCTGATGTTAGCAGCGAGTTTATTCATGGTTTCCATCCATTCCTCGTCAGGAACACTATCCCAAACGATTCCGCCTCCGGCCTGCAAATACGCCACACCATCCTTCACTAGCATCGTCCGCAAAGCTATGCACGTATCCATTGCCCCCTCGATCTCTTCAGTCTCCCCGTTCCCCTGCTCATTTGTTCGTACGCAAACTTTGTTATACCCGAAATAGCCCACAGCCCCAGCATAAACACCCCGTTTTTCCTTTTCCAGCTCTGCAATCAATTCCATCGCCCGCACCTTTGGTGCTCCACTCACTGTCCCGGCAGGGAAGATCGAGCGAAAAGCGTCAAATCTGGTTTTATCCGGCCGTAATATGCCGCTGACTTGAGAGACCAGATGCTGTACATGACTGAACTGTTCCACAACCATTAGGCGATCAGTTCTTGTGGACGTTGGTTCGCAGACACGATTTATATCGTTCCGCGCAAGATCAACAAGCATTACATGCTCCGCCCTGTCTTTAACACTTGCTCGAAGCTCATTCGCAAGCTTTATGTCCTCGGCAGGGTTTGCGCCTCGTGTTACAGTGCCCGCAATGGGGTGAGTTATGATCCGGCCGGTATTAGGCTCGCGCTTGATGAGTAATTCTGGAGACGCGCCAACGAGCTGAAAGCCGTTGCATTGAATATAGAATAAGTATGGAGATGGGTTCGTCATGCGAAGCTGGCGATATATGTTGAAAGGGTGGAGGTCTGTCGGGCGCGAGATGCGGTGGGACGGAACCGCCTGTATTATGCTTCCCTTCTTAATTTCCCCTTTCAATGTTCCGACATGCGCTTCATAGCCAGATTGACCGATGTTTGAAGTGTAGGTATTGTTGGGTGTAATGGGCGGTTGGTGTGGAAGTGGCGTCTCAGGTGATTGAAGAATTTCTATGTAGATTTCAAGTTTCTGCTTTGCATGCTCGTAGGCTGAAAGCAGTGTAGCTTTGTCAATTGGTAACTCTGGGATTTCGATGTATGTGATGACTTTGATGACTTGGTAGAAATGATCAAAAGCTATGATCGTATTGTAAAGCATGAATAAAGACTCGGGTATTTGTAGAACATCTTTCATCTTCCTCGCAGTTTTCGGTTCAAAATAGCGAACGCAATCATACCCAACATATCCAATTGCCCCGCCCAGCATTGGAGGCAACGTCGCCCCGGGTACGATTGCTTCGCGAAAGCTAGCAAGCTTTGACTCAAGAGCGGGCAACGGGTCGCCAGCAGTCCCATAACCAGGGCCGGTTTGAAGAATGCTGTGAGGATCTAAAGAGGCCTTCAGTATCACGGTGCAGCAACGAACGAATGGTCTTCTTTCCACCCACCTGCACCAACAAAGCTATATCTCCCAAGGGTTTCTGATGTCGCGGCGCTCTCGAATAAAAAGGAATACTCCGATACACATCTAATAGATAGTGAGCTGTCAAGCTCGGCTAGTAGGCGGCTTTACACACTTTGAAGAAAGCTTGAGGTATGCGGAAGTTGGTGTCAGGATATCCGCTGGGATTGTTGTCCATATGGGAACGACATTCGGCGGAGTGGGAATGCTCCGTGCGTCTTTCAAGACTTGATAGACAACATCGATGGCTGGCTCTACATTAGACTTGAAGCAGGGTTAGCTGGACTTAAAATACCTAGTTAGTTCAGGAGGCCAGTTCACTCACCAACGGAGACATTAGAAGATGTAGTTTTCCAATGAGTCAGATATTTTGTTGCAGGGAACGAGAATTAGGGACAATTGGAGGTAGGTAATTGAAGGTGCGGCCCGCGGGACGGCGGAGAGCCTCGATCGGAAGCTCTCGGGGGTCGCCAAAAATTGCACCATCCAGCCCTGGATATTGGCTCTCCCACTCCGACTCCATGTCATAGTCTGAGCTGAATGTAAATGCGTTTGTGGCGCTTTGATGATTGGCCAGTTGACAATTGAATTGACAATGATGGCTCAGTTCAGTTTCTGCTGCTTCAATGTACTGTGTCGCCTTAAAGGAGCATCTCGCCCGCATGCTCTGCTTCAAACCCCAGTCTGGCCAATTTTCTAGCCTTCGACTTCTCCTCTCGTTTACCGTCCTCCTGTTCTTGCTTTTGTGACTCTTTGGCTTCATCTTCGCTAACCTGCCGATAAGATTCGGGGACATGGTCATCTTTATCGAGGTCCTAGATGTTGCGTCAGGGCGACCCCACACTTAATTAGATGAGCGTACAATTTCGCCGAGGAGAAGGACGTTTTCTCCTCTAACCAGGAAAATGCCACGAGGAACGACGGCGTATACAGTACGAGCATATATGCGTTCTTGTGATTCTGAGAGCACTAAGTTTGCTAAAGATCTTCTCAGCAACATTGGACGCGTATTCAGATCTTCGGACTGACCGAACTGATCCCAGCTCCTTAATATGCCGGTGATTTTTCTCCCATCACGCAGCACAAGAACGAGCTTTTCTGACAGGGAAATTAATCAGTCGCTCTTCTGAACACTTGCTTAGACACAAAGTAGCCTACTATCTGTCAAGTCTAGCAGTTGCGCTGCGGTGGTGAACATCTAACCAGTCAATTCTGGAAGTGTTTTACTTTGCATCAGATCGGCTTACTTGAGGCGGTAGCTGAGGGCCTCCTGGCAGAGGGGGCTGCACATGATTGGCACCTCCCCTGGCGTCGCGTCGCGTAGTGGCAGGTTCTCCATACACGTGTGTCACTTGGAAGATTCCATGCCTTGATTTAACGTGGAAGGAGTCAAGAATGAAAATAAGTTGAGCATCACGGTTGGTGACTGAAGGGGTCGCCACACGTGAAGCTGGCACAAGGCGGCCTTCCCGGGCGCGCTAGCCTAAAGGCGGAATTTATAGTGCCTACTCCACGAGGCCCGAGGGGGCCCTTCTGAGGCTTCTTCCCAACATTTCACATTCATCTTACAGACGCCTCGGAACCACAATATTTGATACAATAACTATGGGGTTATTGAAAGTGGAGCGTGCTTCATGCTGTGCTTCTAGTTCCTAAGGTTCAAGAGTATCTCCAAGCGCTCATTCGCCTGCGCTACTGACGCCGCATTTCCGAAAGTGATCGCTGGACATGGAATATGAGAATATGGACCTTGATGAGATCGGTCCACGGGTGACCGTACGAGAGGTCAGCGAAGTTTGATTCCCGACTTCCTGACAAATGCTGAAAATGTACGCAGGCGGGCAACGCCAATGTCGACTTCACTCTCAACAATGTTTCCCTCGCCTTTGCCAACTCGCTACGCCGAACTATGCTTTCGGAAATCCCTACCATGGCTATAGACCTTGTCGAAATTAATGGAAATACATCAGTGCTACCCGACGAGTTCATCGCCCATCGCCTAGGCCTTATTCCGCTCAACAGCAAGTCTATCGAGGACGTCCTCTATACCCGAGATTGCGACTGCGATCAGTATTGCGAGCATTGCTCTGTCACGCTTAGTCTGCGTGCGAAATGCACAGGTGATGATATCATGAGAGTGTATGCTAGGGACTTAGTTGTTGCCGAGCCACGACCGAATGAGTGGGTCGGTAAACCCGTGATCTCCGACAGTGCAGGACTTGGTGTTGTAATCTGCAAATTGAGAAAAGGCCAAGAAGTAGACTTCAAATGCGTTGCAAAGAAAGGCATTGCCAAAGAGCATGCTAAGTGGGCACCAACAAGTGCAATCGGCTTTGAGTACGATCCGTGGAACAAATTGAGGCACTTGGATTACTGGTATGAGGAAGATCCTGCGAAAGAATGGTACGTCGGTATCAATGCTCTTCAGAACCTACTCTGTTCTCTGCAAGCAAATCTAACACTAAGATTAGGCCAAAATCGAAGAATGCTGAGTGGGAGGAGCCTCCCCAGGAAGATCAGCCCTTTGACTACAATGCTACGGCGTCGCAATTCTATTATTCAATAGAAAGCGTTGGCAATCTCGAACCGGACAGCATAGTCCAACAAGGTATAAAAGTCCTTCAGCAGAAACTTGCTACCGTGCTACAAGATTTGTCAGATGGAGGTGACACTAATACTAATGGTGACATGAATGACGCCGGTGGCTATGACAATGGCCCGCGAAGTCCGGATGCCGGAGGAGACCATGGCTACACTACGCCTTATCTCAACGGCGGTGCTACAAGCGCTTGGGGGGTGGACAGACACCCTACGGTGCGACACCTTACGGTCAATCTGGATGGGGAAGTTGAGTGTAACCTCTAACGGACAGACTCTGCAATGTCCTTGAATATAAGGAGCAGGAATGTAGTATCCACTATCGTTGCACGAAATGAGCCGCTCCTTCAGATTGTGCAAGAAAAGGATTCGACCGCGATATAAGATTCTAGATGGTCCTGTCTACCAAAACAGCATTGAGAAGCTACTTGGATGGCGGAAGTTGTCAGCTCGGCAGCATGGCATATCAATTAGGCTATCAACGTTCGCGTGCCGTGCCGCGAATTCATTTCTGATGCCTACATCCTTACATTATGTCTCTTTAGAGAAACAGATACCGACGTGACTGTTGGGTTGTATCGGCATCAGGTGCTGTGTGAGCCCATTGGATCGAGAGTGTTTCTAGGAACGAGAAGACCAGCAAATTATTCCACGTGGACTGGCCAAGTACAGTGGGAGCACGAGATGGCCGGCCATTATCAGCTTCAGATTTTGCTATCTGATCTATTCGGTGATAATTCACAGGCATCACCACATTGCAAGCTCACGAGGAATCCCAAGCACAACTCGCAAAAATCGTGTCGGTTCTAGGCAAAGCCCTATATCCTACTTGCGGAAATCGACCCTTCCGATTTTGGGTGCGAACTGAGTTGTCAGAATGCACACTTCCTGTGGCCTTTGCTTGCGTAGGCCCTGGCTGTGGTGTGCTACGGCAGTCGCGGCCCACTGATGTCGATCCCTCTCTACGTTGACGTCCGTGTTGTGAGCTCAAGTCGTAGATCGTGTCTTCACATTCCTTCCTTTCCTTCTCCATGCGCGAAACATCGAGGCTAGGTTTCACAATGGGCTGTTCGCGTGGATCTGAGAGAAGACGAAACATCCTTCTGTCCATCTTCTCGCGACGACTGGCTGAATACGGTGCTTCGAGGGGTCTTTCAATGTCTCTGAGGGCCTGTTGATCGATTTGGTTCCTTCCCCTTGCACCGTGGGAAGGATTGACATGCAGTGGATTCGGAAGATGCTTTCTGAATATCTCGTGCACCTCCAGGGTGGATAGAGGCTCCTCTGCAGGAGAGTGCGCCATAGTGTGAACTGATATTTGGATTGCACCTGCTTGAAAGGGGAATGGACAAACACGGTGACTACACTGGACATTTTCACGAGAAACACAGTCCCATTTCTGTTATGTGTGTCGCCTTTCGATGCCGAGTGATCCTCCTTTAATTCACAATGCGAGCTTCTGCTGAGGATCTCATTGCGGGTATCTGAAAAACATAGTCCGGCTATCGACACTTCCCAAATGCCGTGGCCCTGTCCTCGCTCCTTCATGATCATACTAATACTCTGGCAAAGATCCGGCTCTGCATCGCTCACAGATCTTCAGGATTACGAGGAGATCAAGAAATCTACGTCACCCGCAAGGAAGCACTTTTGCTCCTCTCTTCCTTGAGCTCTCCATATTGCATGGTGTATCTGCAACAGCCATAACTTCAACATTCACGCAGGAATAACAATCTGATTACATCCATATTAGCAAAGTACCGGCAGCGGGCTTTCCCGTGTGGAGCCGTTGCGGCCGTTAAGGAGGGACGCAAATAGCCGGGGCCAGAATCGTGCTTGCAACGATATATGCCGCACGATAAAGCCATGTCAATTGGATGAATGCTGGCGTGTCTGACGCTGGCTGTGGTCAATTCCCAATCTCGCAGAACTCAACTTGGAGGTCGGCACTCAGCCCCATCGCAATCACACAGGCATGCTCCACAGCATATTTAATCATAGAAGCATGCACACATGATCCTATGGCTTGGCATACTTTGGATCAGCAGAAGCATCGAGGTCCATTAGTCGCTTGGCAGCTATAAAAGGACACGATGGACTAACGACCAGTAGGAAGTGTATGAACGAGATCGCTATTCAGCAAATCAGCGTACAACAAGAGCGGGACGAAGTCAATGATTGGCAGTACGTGTAGTAAGCCAAAACATGCCTAAGTGAGGACAATTTTGCGTTCCTTAATTCGTGATATCATTGGCATGGCTTACTAAGACCGACTTGGAAGATAATATCTGAACGTAGATACGAATCTGCGGGCATGCCCATTTATTTTAAGTTCAAATTTCATTCTTCATTTTTCTTTCGTCAAAACGATGTTTGCGGGCCTGTTAGCCTTTTCGAGAGGCGTCTTCTTCCCGAGGGGTGAGTCCGAGGGGTGGGTAAATTTATCGTGGATTCTCTGCATGGTCCATTATAGCCAGCCTTTGCGCGTCATCACCCACTGAGGGAACGACCCATTCAGCCCTCGTCCAATCGCCCGAGGGTCCTTCCCCGGCGATTAGGATCGCGGCAGAGTAGACTAGGAACAGTCCGCAGCCGTGATAGTCCATCTACTATTACGGAGTTACGCGGTACTGTATCCCAGCCCTTCTTATTAAACGATGTGTCGTGTGTGCTGTCGGTCTTATTGTACAAATTGGTCTCTCGGCGGGTGCATGGATGTTGTATTGGGGAACCCAATTGATCTCTGTGAATCAGCGCGATTTTCTTTGTGGATGACATTCGCGGCATTAGCGGACGATCACGCTGATAATCGCTATCTGTACTGGGGTTTGCTTGAGTCAGGGAGGAAGGATGCTTGATTACCCATTATTGTTGGTGCTGCAATTATCCGTCATTGAAAGCAATGACAGCTTGAATTGCTGTCGAGTGGTTTCACTAGCGTCGAAGACCGTTTACTGGAGCAGATCGGTGGCATAACATATTGCTTGCACTCATTGAAAGAAAACATTCAGCTTAAGAGTCGTGACTCTTTAGTTCGTCGAAGAACTCTCACGCCAGATTACAAGCCCGAAAGCGCTGTTTTATTAAATATGAGGGCTTAATTTAGTGAGGACCTTATCAAAGTCGTTAAGGATCACCTGAGAAATCCGAACCTCTGAGGTGATCAAGAGAACTCCCGATGCTGCTTGACCATGAGGTCGAGTCGCAGGTGCTGCAACAAGTGAAACGCTTCACTACGCTTTGCACGCGTGTGACGTAGAGCCGACCGCTTCATTTCTCAGCCTTGTCCGTTGGTTGAGCCTAGGTGCTTCACAAAAGCCTCCCAACTACATGCTCTGCGCATTTCCATTCGATATACTCATATTCTTTATTGGCTAACTGTGACGTGACAAGTATAAATGTCGGTGGAGACGTGGTAGCGAAACGCCTTCTACGCCTTGCCTCTTCCGCTGACCTGGATGGAGATCCACAGGTCTTGCCATCACCCTGCAGGACGGTGGGTGGAAGAACATCGAGAGGCATTCCCTGTGGTCAACTCGAAATGGAGAGAATTGTTGTGGCCACGCTATCTTGATCCCGTCCGTGCCGAAGACTAGCGCACTGTGGTCGTGGAGGCTCCTAGGCTAGAAGGTCCTAAAACGACAAAGGTCGTCGCACTTACTACATGGAGTTTCACCTACATGAATAAGCGGAAATTTGGGGCCCCATACCTAGGCAGGATTCGTAAGCTGGCCAGATATACATGCTTCTGAAGCAAGGGTAGTGACATGGTAGGCTGACCGTGAATCATTAGCACAAGACGATGCAACTGAGGCTGCAAAGGCCTTGGGCTTGGTCCGTCGGGACCTCAATCCGGAATGCCAGGCTGCATGGGTTCTTACACAGGCTGCTATCGTACCTTTAAACGTCTCTTCAACAATGTGTATGGCAATGACCAATTGCGACTTGAAATGTGTCACGGCCATCTTGATTACAAGCGTCGTAGCTATGGCTCTCAATTGTGCCGCTGGGGCATTGATGAGGCAGAGAAGGAGAAACGACTGTGACTTTCATTGCAAGTCCAATGGGTAAGGGGCTATACGCCCACTTCCATTTAATCAGAGTTGGGAGCTTCTCTGTCAGAATGCCACCAGCGGGCGGTAGCCAAGAAAAGTTGGAAGAGGTATTGATAACGCTCGACTACTCAGCAGCTTCTGACAAGAGATCTCCAAGCCTTGAAAAAGACCTTACCTTGGCATCTGCCCGTGATAATGGTCGAAGCATGCAGAGCAATGATGCACCGGCTTGTGATGGTGGCACATCAACGTAGAGCAATGATGCTCTAGCGAAACAAGTATAAGAGTGCTTTAGTTCTTAGATTTCTAGTCTTTAAGATACTAATATATAGAACTTATAAATAATAGTTTTCTTATCTTTTTAATAGCTATTACTAAGAGTTAGTTATTACTTATATTAATAATTAGTTTATAAACTTTATTATATTATTTAGTTTTTAATATTTATATTTTTTTAATTAAATTATTAATTAAATTAATATTTAATAAATTATTTAAAAGCTTTCTAATTTAGTATTTATTAGTATTATTTCTTTATTAAAAGTATATACTTTATTAAATAATATTAATTATAAGTTATTTATTATAATAATATTAAATTTAATTTATTTATTATTTTTAATTATAATTATTAAAGTTTTAGAAATAAATATTAAGAAATTTATTTATATAAATTTTATAAATTTAAGTTAAAAATACTAGTTTATAATAATATTAATTATTAAAATAATTACTAAGTTAATAATATAGTTTTTAATAAAAGATATTTAAATTAATAATTAGAATCTTAATTAAAATAGCCTTAGCTTTAATATTAAACTTTTCTAATCTATTTTTTTTAAAAAAAAGAAAAAATTATTAATAATATTTAAAAAAGTTATTTATTATAAACTAGATAGGAAAATAAGACAAAGTTTAGAATAAGTATTAATTATAAAATCTATTTGCTAGTATACTAGAAATAAGGCAAGTCCTATATATATTAATACCTATCTTATATATATTAAGTATAAAGCGTTCTAGAATTATAATAGTTTATATTAATAAAGTAAAGAAAATTAATACTTTTATTAAATAATACTTTAGAATTTATATATTATATAGTTTAAAAGTACTTTTCTACTTATATACTAATAAAGTAAAGATAGAACCTATTATTTATTATAAATAGATTCTAGTATAGTCTTTTCTAGAGTAGTAGAAAAGATAAGC